ATTTAAAAATGAAAGTGTGGCTGTGACCGGTGGTTCCTGTGGTGTTGAGATAAGAGAGACAGCAGCATTCATATCAAAGAAATTCTACCTCATTTTCTATTTATCTGCTTTTTTTTCTTAATCAGTTCTTCCCGCTGAGCCAAGAGGCAGCTGGGGCATTAACTAGTGAAATGAGGAGGGGATTTGGCTCGTAATGACGTGACGTACAGTGGCTTTCTGCATGTTCCCATCAGCTACCTCTCATCCGAGGTGACTGAAAGGACCAAGTGATGAATCCCTGAGAGTTAATCCCCCTCTTCTCGGTGTCTCCAACACAGCAGATGTTTTTTTCTTTGACCCACACAAAAGCCTCTGTTTTTGTTTCCAGGCTTGTCCATTCCTCAGAGGTCAGAGGTCACTGTGGTCTCAGGGTGAAGCTGTCACTGCAAGTCTAAACATTTAACAGCCAGCAGAGCGTGATGAAAACGTAGTCCCTTTGAGAAGGCTGCACAGACCCCTCATGATTACCTTAAGTAAAGACCTACTTTCCATATGCTGATGCGGTTGAGGGCACATACTAACACCCTGAGATTAAATTACAGTGGTTGCTGGGGATGCCTCAGGGAGAGGCCGGTCTAACTTTAGACACCAAACACATGGGGTGTGGATGGTGGTTTTTCTTATGGGACCTCTGTTACAGACCCCAAGGCTTTTCTTTAATGGTTTAAATGTTAACCAAATCAATAGCTAGCTGAGTTGTGTTTGGGCCTGCCCAGAAATGACAAAGCTTGGTCATTTTAACTTAACAGAATTTTCAGTTATTTTGTTTTTTGAAGTTGTGCCACATCATAACAAAAGCTTATCTACTGACACTTTTTATAAAGAGCAGGAAACCATATTCTCTGAAAAGATGAGACCCATCATTAATCCACCAAAGTGAGCACAACAGTACCGAGGGTGTTTAACAAGGAAAAACCTTGAGAAGAGCCAGACTCATGGTGATAGTCATCAGCTACATCTAATCGACACAGACAAAAGTGAACGTAAGTTATTTCTAGCTGTAAAAAAGGTTTAACAATCCACACTCTTGTCAAGCAACAGCTGAGATGATCAGTAAATGTGGTCCCCAATAGTTTTTTGATGGCCGATGCCAATAACAAAAGAAGCCGATAGCTGATATCTATTGCAGGTACAAGGTTATTGTTGGTTTTGCATAAAATAGAAAACAAGAATTTGATAATAAAAATGACAAATGACAAACAAAATTGCCATACTGGAAAGAACATTTTCTCTAAGATTATGAATGTACGATAGGTACGATAGATAACATCTTGCAACGCATATCATGTTTTAATAATTCAATTTATTATGAAGGCGGGGGAGCACAGTCCACAAATTCAAAATGAGGAGGCAAACAATCAGACCCCAATTCAGTACCTACTTGCTTCAGTGTAGATTGTTTTATTCCACCCATTGCTGCTGATAATGTCAACAGGTGTGTGTGTGTGTGTGTGTGTGTGTGTATGTGTGTATGTATTTGAAAGAGAGGGATAGCCTGGAAACCAGATACGGAGACGGCTAGTGGCTCAAAATGGCAGCAGTAAAAGAAGTCACCAGGGCAGTGTGTGGATTTAGATCAGTCATTAAAATTACATAAAATTCAGGTTAAAGAGGGTGGTTTAACTACTGAAAGAGATTATTTATAAATAGATAAAGGTAACAGAATTAACCAAATGATGACTGATCTGGGGTATGGTGCAGGTCCAACAGGCTCCAAGGGTATACTTTTATTCAAGATAGTAATGTTAAGTTAAGTCATTTTTATATTTGACCACAATCATTTGCCTGGACAACTAAGTCCTGGCAGTGAACAGATAGGCCCTTTTTCACATGTCGTTCACAGTGGGAGATTGTCTGTTATATGTGTTCTCATCTACTGGTAACAATGTTTAGTTTTGGTGAGGATGCACCTGTGTGGAGCGTGCAGGAGGAGAAGCTGTTTGTTCTGAAGGGTGGCTGCATTTGAATCTGCATCATTATATACATGGATGGAATAAAGCAATCTGAACTACATCAACGTATTCGACAATAAACCTGCAGCTCTCTCTGAAACCCCACAAAAAAATTACAAGGCTTTGTTTAAACGAAAACAGACTCATCAAAAACAAAGTAAAAAAAAAACATCCATGTTGATCAGTTCTTGCATCATTCCAAAACTGTGTTCGGCACATGCTCAGGAGTTTGAGCGTGGGGTTTGGCCTGGAAGTTGAACAGTTCAAATGTTTTGGAAACCAGGGATCAAACAAAACTGCAATAGGCCAAGAAAGCACGCTATAAAACATGAAACTGTCTGATCAAATGAACAAAAGAGACTACACCAAAAGGTAAGTGCCTCAAAAAACTGTTTGGTTGTTTGGACCCTTTTACACATGCAGTGCACTCCTAAAAGTTTCCAGATATTGTCCAAAAGGGGGGCATGTGTAAACACAAAAACTGAATTTGTTTACTCCTTGCTTCATGCACTTAACCTGTGGGCCCTCCAAGCAAGAAGTCTATAAAAGTTGGTGTGAATTAATGTGTGATTACAGCAGGGAAAAGTTTGCAACAGCCACTGCATGGGGGAGACAGAATGATGATGTACACGTCAAGAAAAGTTTTTAAGCCTTATGCTGGGTTGTAGTGGTACTTGGAATTCTGGAATTCTGGAACATCTGGACCCCCCCCCCCCCCCCCCCTCGGATGATCCTCACCAACCCTGACTTGACAACAACGTCACATTCCAAGATGGCAGCGCAGTGCATCAACAGGAAAGAGTAACAGTAAAAGCTCTAGTAATGTAACATTTATTAGCGCTTCTGTTTTGTTTTTGTGAAATTACATTAGTGGTATATGTTGTACTGCCCAAGGAGGTGGTGCTACAAACAAGCAGCTGCTGGAAGAGAGTGGGTAAGTTGTGTTTAGTCTCTTTGCTAAAGAATTAAGCAAAGTTAAAAAGATGGCTAGTACTATGGCTAGGACCCTATATGTACTGTTGATGAAGTTAGGTGCTGTCCTGAACATTATTTGTGGCTATAAAGTAGTGTTTTGGTTGAGGTTTGTTTATGGCTCCTCAGACCGCTGTGTATTGCTATTGTGCGGTCGTTACTAAAGTTGGTATAACTAGAGAGGCAAGCGGTCAGCAACATTCATCTCTAGAGGGGATGTCTAACTCTGTGTTACGGTGTGTTTGACCCTAAATTAATTTTATGCCGGAATATCCATTTAATGCAAACTTTGAATAGACTTTTTGATCTGTGAATTACTTTCAAACCTCTGTGTCAGAGTGTCAGCTGTCCCTGTATGTATAATACTGAAGATTTTGCAGTTTGGCAGACATCTTTTGCAGTCTTGCATTTTCTGGATTCCTCACTGGGAGCAAACACATTCCTGACTGCTGGTTCAAAGGTCACATCAGTCTTGCCCTTTGTGGTGTCTTTCAAACAGACGAACTGGAGCGGAAATGATAGGCAGTACAGTATCTTGATGAATCCACAGATTCTCACTCTATGTGACGGACTTAACAAATCTTGACTTCTTTTTTTAGTTTGCTTGAGGTTAAATCAGATTGTCTTATGACACACAACAATATAATTTTTGATACAATTTGAATTAATACCTGCCACTCCTACAATGCCAACTAGATTTAAAAAGTTTGGCTAAAATAATGCTGAGCCCATATCTAAAATTGGATACCATATAAAACTAAATACAGAGCTAATTAACTGAATTTTGGTAGTTTCTGAGGAAAACTATTGATTAGAAGCTCTGTGGATATCTTCTCTTCTTCGACAGGCCCTTTTATTTGACAAGCTTTATCTTTGCCAGCACAGAAAGTGACAATAAGCAGGCACAGCAGCCTAATTAAGGGACTTTCATTCAAATTAACACACACACTCTGTCCTTCACACACACACACAACCCTCTGATGACCTATTAGCTGCACAATGGCTAGAACAATAGCTCTCTGTCACACACACATATACATGCAGTCCTCTGGGGGGTAAAGCAGCGATTAGATTTAGGAATGCCATAAAAGTGTCATTTGAGGGGAGAAGGATGCCTTTAGAAATGCCTTTAAACACTCCAGATAAGACAACAGGTTGCATTTGGTGAATCTCTCAGGGCGCCCTCACTTTCATCTCAACATATCAGTGACCCACAAAGAGCCACACATTTACAAGCAGATTCATCACCTATCTATTGAAGCTCTTATCCAGGGTCGCCTCTCCTCCTCCCTCCTCCCTTTATCTGCATTTGACCCTGGGGCTTTTTTTTTTTGCAAAACGTGGGTGTGAAAGTCAGTTTGACCTCTTGGGGTAACCTCGAACTTAAATCACAGTGTGCGGCACAAAAGCGCAGAGACAGAAGGCCTTCATCAAATGAGCAATGACCACATAATGCTAACCTTTACTTCCAGAGCAGTAAGCTGTTCTCAAGCGGGCTGCTCGCACATACGCAAGATCAAAGCTTGCTCTTTGCCCAGGAGAAAAATACCCTCCCTCTGAGACACACGGATAACCTTTATTATGCATTTCTTGGCTTTTTAAATAGTGTAGAAACATGAAGATGCAGTGTTTGATTACTTTGAGGAAGACAAAGGGCAGCGCAGGAGTTCAGCTTGGTTGTATTTACTGCTGGGCTTCTGGGTAATCTGGTTTTGTTGGAGTGGTTTTGAGGCCTCGAGGTCATGCTCTTTGCATCTCTGAGGAGAAAGATCCTCCACATCCTTCCTGCATATATGTGTGTGTGTGTGTGTGTGTGTGTATGTGTGTGTGTGCGTGCGTGCATGCTGCCCCTCACAACCCACTCTTTTTGCTCTTTGACTCCTATGGCCATATAAGGCGGCCAGCACCATGGTAACCGTAGGGCTTGAATAGCAGTGTCAAATCCCTGGGAGCTAACACACACACGCACGCACACACATACACATTCACACACTTACCCACATACAAGGCATTCCCCCTCCCCCTCTGCACACACTCTCCCTTCCTCCCCCTCTCTCTCTCTGCCTGGCTTTGCTTGATCTCTCCCTCCCTCTCCCTCTCTCTCTCGCTCTCAAAGAGGTTAGAGGAAAACAGACAAGGAGAGAAAAAAGCAAGCAAAAGCGGAGAAATCCAGCCTCGCTTGAATCATAATTTGATTTCTGGACAGGGTGAGGAAGAGGGGGGAGAGGAGCACACGTCCCTTCCACCCCCACCTCACACATACACACAACGAAGGGGAGCAGCATACAGGGCTAGGCCGCAAGTCATTAGTTCTTGGTGGACAAGCACTGACAAAAGGTTGGAGGGAGAAGCCAGCATGAGGGGAACCTTCACAGGAACTATGGAGAGCTGAGAGGACCAGAAGAAAGCCTTTCTCGCTTTCTTGTTTTTGTTCTAGGAAAGCCGCAAAGAGGACACTGCTACAGCTGAGCAGACAAGACAGAGATCACTTCCTTGTGTTGTATTTTGAGGGAGTGCGCGCAGTCCACATCACCTCTTCTTCTCTGGCCACATGAAAGTGATGCTTTCATCGTGCGGACATCGACTTGTTTCCCTTGATTTGGAATTTCTTCATTGTGGGTCAAAATGCAGCCGCTGCTGAGAGGATTACAGCAGCACAGAGCTGTGGAGCTGCAGCCCTGAAGGATCTAGAGCGAGAACAGGATTTATTTATCTCCCAGTGAGTGGACGCCACGGACACAGCATATTGAGGAGGTAAGCTTGACACCATTTCAGGGAGGATTTGGTGGTGAAGGATGAGACAGAATGGCACAGGACTAACAGGAATGAGAAGATAGAAAATCAGTGTGAGGGGTGCTTTAAGAGGGGTGGCCAAAGCCTCTCCAGGCATGTGCCGAGGAGAGCTACACTGAGGTCCTTTTTCAGCCATTACTGTTGCTACAGAGACCAAGCAGGGAGTGTTTCATGTATATGTTAGGGAGGAAAGGGAGTGTGTGTATTTGTGTTTGCAGACGAGGGTTGACTTTTTGTTTATAGCTAAAAAGCTAACACTCAGGAGAATGTGCCGCATATGTCTGACTTGTTGTTTTGTGTGAAAAGGTGCCTCGGCTGAAGCGTGACAGCGTCAAACTGGGCAGCTCGAGGAGGATTTGCTTCAACCATTTCTCAGGGACTCTTGAGGAAACAGGACAGAAGACAAATTCGGACGCAGAAGAAAGCCATGGGACTGAAAACCACTCGCATGCAGACATAAAAGTTGTCACAGAGACTGTTTCCAGGTCATAGTGGAGTAGGAGGAGACAGAAGTGGTGTATTTTTTTTTTCGGTCAAACACCCTCCTCAATGCTACAGTCTGTTTGTCTCTCACTGACATCTGCTTGTTAAACCGAGGATTTTCTTTTCTTTACTTTTTTTTTTTTTTTGCAAGTTACCTTTATTGACGAATGAGAGCAAAGACAAGCGGGATACAGACTCACTGATTCCCTCGAGGTAAAAGGGGAAAAACAACCTAGACTTTTGATGTTTGTATTACCTTGACAGCAACCAGAAATCTTGGCTGCCTGTCCCATTTTCTTCTTTCGTGGTTCGGTAACCAAGCGATGGCAATGGTGAGTGGGGGCTGGGGAGATCCCAATGGGGGCACTAACGGGTTAGGAGACAAGAGCTACCTGCGGGTTGAGGAGGAGGACGGCTCCCCCCAGGCGGGAGGCAGCGACATGGAGGCCGGAGACGACGACAAGGCCTGCGTGGTGGACTGTGTGGTGTGCGGGGACAAGTCCAGCGGGAAACACTACGGCGTGTTCACGTGCGAGGGCTGTAAGAGCTTCTTCAAGAGGAGCGTTCGACGCAACCTCAGCTACACATGCAGGTGAGAGAGGGGCATTCTGGGTAAATTTCAAATTTACTACACAGTTGTCAACTGAAGCCGTCTAACGTTAGCCGACGGATATAGCAATATATGTATATGGTTTGTGTACTTAAACATGATGTAGATCGATGATATGAATGAGACAAAAGACACATTGTCGACTCTAACTCAAACCTCACTGCATGTAGTCTCTTTGGCTATTAACAGACCAGTCAAATGGCGATAAAGTAGGCAAAAATAAACCGAAATATTTTGTTAAAAGATAAACAGAACACAATTACTTTAAGCACAGTGTCTGCTGTAATGTGACAAAAATACCACACACTAAAAACAAGACTTATCATATTAAAATGTCGCCATAATGGTACAGCAAAACTAATCAGTCAAAAATATACACTATCCACTGTTGGTGCCTTGTATGCCTAGTAACTTCTACCTTATTATGCCAAAATATTCACATTTTGGCCCCTTTTACATTATTTAACTCCAAATATCTATACTAAAGGAGGAAAAAGCATGCATCCCTGTATTTTATGAAAACTGTGAAGGTTGTTTTTCCTTAACACAAATCTCTATGAGCTTCTTCTCATGCAAGAAATCTAATAATAACGGACAAAAATATCAGTCAGTGATTTTAACAGTCGTTTTTCAAAGCCCTGCTTGGTTATTATGTTTCAACTGATAGCGGGAAGTGTCTTCTCTAGTACATCAAATATATGCTTAGCTGATGGACAATTCCCACTGAAGGAAGTCACACTCCTATCATAACCTTGAAACTCCTCATACGGACTAAAAGAAATATAGAAGACTTGAATACAGATTCTAAAGATTTTTTACAGCCTGGAGCTACCTTTGCATCCAATTTATAGGGGATAAATGAGATATAACTTACTACGAAACTGTCAAACATTAACTGAACTTTTATGATTTCTGAGAGCCAGATGTTATGGCTTTGTTACTTGTTCTGTCTGACCAAAGGTCATCATTTAAACATATTTAATTTTTGATTTTATGTGATAAAGAAATGCCTAACCTTCCCACACTCAAGATGTTGAATCAAAGATCTTGCATATTCTGTTTTCTTGGTAAAGACAAGGTTAAAATAATCTCAAACGGTACCCCCATCTTCTTTCTGAGCATGGTGTTAATGTTTGTAGCCTTTGGTTGTTTTTGTTAAAACAACATGCTGCATTTCTTAGCAAAGTCTCCTTGGAGGGGAGAAATCTCTAATCTCAGAGGAACTACCACTGATAAAAACATGTTCAACAGATACTCAGAAAATGAAAATCTTATGGTGGACTATTGCTGTTCTGAAACACTGAAAAGGGGAAATTGTGATGTTGTGTTGTAGATGTTCATATAATCTGTGAAAACAGCTGTTTGAATACAGTAAAAATGTTTATGAATAGAAGATTGTGGCTCTCCATCACTGAACTGCTTTTCTATTTAATATCTATATTTACTTGACTGCTTGCACATCAGTGTTAATGTATTTGTTGTTGTGAAGCTGTGATAATGTTGCATGTTCTTTTATTTGTAAGTTTACTTAACCAGTACTTTCTGGATGAAGTGAAGTGACTGTGTAGTAAACATATCCCAACAGTATTAGGATCACTTCTTTGTAAAATAATCGAGAAAATTTATTTTATGGAACCAAGCCATGCTTTCTCACTTATGGTTACTATAACTTACCCAGTGGTTGGATTCCTGGGTGTGTTGCACATACTTCTGAGCTATTTTAATGAAGTCAGATAGAGTCCAAGCTTACAGCCAGTTAAATTGCGTAAATGTGACAGAAAATAAATAAAGGCCTGACTTTTTAATATTAAATCGTTAATCCAAAGTTGGTTTTAATGAATTTGTCTCTCTCCTCAGGTCAAACAGAGAATGTCAGATTGACCAGCACCACAGGAATCAGTGCCAGTACTGTCGACTGAAGAAGTGTTTCCGTGTTGGCATGCGCAAAGAAGGTAACTGTCTACCCTGATCCATAAATCCGCTCTGATCCCTAGGAAAGGATGACACTGACTTAACATGAACATTACTGCAAATGATTCAATAGGATTTATATTGAAAAATAGTAAGTTATTGGTATTTTCCTTAGCGAAGAGCCTCAAGAGTCTTTTTATTCCCTCAATCAGCCACTCTAAATGAGAACAAAATCAATCATAGGCAGTTTTGTGCTTGTCATTATCTCACCTCTTCTGCTCCATGGTCTCTTCAAAGCAGAGAAAATGCTGCACAGGGCTGTCTGGGCCCTATCATGGCTAAGCTAACCATGCATGTCAGCTCAGTGCCATGTTATAAGTGGCTTAATCTAGTGCCTGTGTAAGAGTGACTGTGAGGGATCCAGTGCTAAGACACCTGCGTCCCAGTCGGAGCCTTAAGCCTCTGGTTGATGCTACAGAAGCCCCTACGACACGTTTGCTCGATCAGGCAGAATCCAATATGGGGATTTCTCCTTAAGTGCTGGAGCTGGAGTAAAGCATCCTTCAATGTCATGAAAGAATTTCACTTGACAAAGAGGATTCAATACAGAACATAAAGAAAATCACAAATTTGTGTTACGTTTAACCCTGAGTCTAACACGTCTCTGGGTTGTTTTTCCCCCCCTACTCACAGATCATAAAGCTTGCTGATTTGACAAATTACATCTCCCTGTAGAGAGATCCCCTCTGATTGACCAGCCCTAGAGAGAGGTCAGAGGTCAGGGTCAGCTGCAGAACAACATTCCTTTGGCTGGAAAGGATTCAAGGACACTTTAAGCTGTACAGATGCGTACCACATGAATCCATATCCCCACAGGAATGAAGAAATCCCACATGCTGTCTCAGATTTAGCAGTCATGCTCTCTGTCATGGCTGTGGTGTTCTCAGTTATTTTTGCTGTTTTTGAATACAGAATGCATCCTTTGTATATGCACCAAAAGTTGCTGCAATAGCATGTTGTAATCCTTCTTCAAGACATGTCATTACAAGGGTGTAAAATAATAATACCATGTTAATTCTTCTCTGAGTTTCTTTGTTTTACATCCAGAGATAACCTTCACTTAGCCTGACAGGCACAAGAGCATTCTTTCTCTCCGTCATGGTCTTCCTTCAAAAGTCATTCTGAGCTTGATTAGGCCTCTATTAATCTGGAAGAATAGCCTCCTAATCAGGCTGAGTCTGTCTGTGGATAATCTGACACCCACCACTGGCTGAACTCAGTTTTAACTTTTTTCTTCTCTGTTTTTTTCTCCAAATTCCCCTCCTTTTCCTTTCCTTGCCCTTTACCATTTCATCCTCTCTCTATTCTCTGCTCTCTGTGTCTTTCGTTCCTTTGTCCTCCCCTCCCCTTTGCCCCCCAACCACACTACAGCAGTTCAACGCGGTCGCATCCCACCTCAACCGAGTCTCAGTCCCTCCATCACGCCCATAGGTGGCGCCAGTGGCCTTGGAGGTGAGTTCTATAATAACAACAACAACGGCGGCAGTGGAGGAGGTCAGCCAGTGTCAGAGCTCATTTCCCAGCTGCTGCGGGCTGAGCCGTATCCCAACAGTCGCTATGGACACCAGTACAACCAACAGGCGGGTCCTGATAACGCCATGGGCATCGATAACATCTGCGAGCTGGCTGCCCGGCTGCTCTTCAGCACAGTGGAGTGGGCCAGGAACATCCCATATTTCCCTGACCTCCCTGTTTCAGACCAGGTTAGTAGACTGAGGAAATGAGAAAAAAACATGCGGTTTGATTCAGATGCAACGTTTTTTAGAGGACATCCCTGGAAATGCTTAAGAGAAACAGAAAAGATGAGCTGAGCTGAGGCAACAACATAAATACACAGTGAATACATAAAGCATTAAAAATGTATGACACAGGTGTAGAGCAACGTGATTAACACTAACTAAACCACAGGTGGCCCTGCTGAGGCTGAGCTGGAGCGAGCTCTTCATCCTCAACGCAGCCCAGTCAGCCCTGCCGCTCCACATGGCTCCCCTGTTAGCGGCGGCTGGTTTCCACTCCTCACCCATGTCTGCAGAGCGTGTGGTGTCCTTCATGGACCAGGTTAGGGTGTTCCAGGACCAGGTGGACAAACTGACCCGGCTGCAGGTGGACTCAGCTGAGTACAGCTGTCTCAAGGCCATTGCGTTGTTCTCACCAGGTGAATATTCTGCATTATATGCTGCCATTTCATCATGAAGTACTTCAAAACCAACAACAGTTAAGATACTTCTAATAATAAAAATAATAATGAAGCCTTTTAATTGATGTTTTGAAAATTTGTTTTAAAAACTAAATGTGCTCCACAGTGTCAAAAAAATAGAACTAGGAGGACATTATGCAAGAAGTATTGATAGAGGGTCAATATCAATACACTTAAAGTAAAAATGAAGAAAACAATCTGTTGAAAGAGAAAATGTTTTCAAAAGGATTTTAATCCATGAAAGCTCCTGTGATGAATTTTTAGTGAGTTAGCATGCAGACTGAAATGATCGCTAACGTCTCTACAAAAACAATCAAGATCATCATTGAGAGAGGCAACAGTTATTTTTGTGGTTTGAAACCACTGACAGGGCTAGTTTTCAGATCATGTGAATGACTGAATGCAGCTGAAATAGTATTACATTAAAACACAACAGCACACATATAGAGGGCAAAAAAGGCAAACATTATTATGTCCACACGTAGAGGAAGTTCCTCACTTGAATTTTTAAGGTATTTGGAAGAGACTTCAAAGGAAAGTCAACAACATACAGTATTGCAAGTCTTGAAAGCACAGACAGGGTCAGTGGGATCAAAAGAGTGGTGCCTTATTTTGAAAGTCACAAATTAGGCTTATTGTGGGATTTAAATTCATGAGTTTAGAGTTAAAGTTTAGATGCAGTTGGACTCTTACAGTACCCATGATGCAACCTGCATTGTTTGGCTCTTCCTTCCCTGGTCATTTTCCATATATTCCAAACACAACATTTCCAATTCCTACTGAGTGAGTTCTGTTAGAAACTTGGGGTCTTCAAGTCTGAGCAGATGTGACCAGCAACATCACCGTGATATCTCCAGTTTTAAGGCCACATGAGAGAGAAATGGATCAACTGATGGATCAGAGGCACTATGTGTTACTGATTTTGTTTCACTGTAAATTAAGTGGATAGGCACAAAAAAGAAAAATGTAAGAATAGATGCACATAAAATGAAACGGCAAAAAAGAACAAAAACAAAACTGTGTTATGTAAGCGTTATGGGTCAGGGACTTGTGGTTAAGTTTGGCATATTGATCTGGGTATGAACTACTGCAGCACCATCTCCTGGCTTATTCATGAAAATGTAACAGTGTGCTCAGGTGTGAGCTGCATAATGTGGTGCTGTCACTAAAACATGCAGCACTGTGCATTTCTGTATTCAAAAAAGTAGCTCTCCTAAACCGATCACCTGCTGGTTAGACATCTACCAGAAGCGCTTAAATCATTAGAGTCGTGTTGCACATTATGTGTCCATTTCAAAGCTATTTTCCAGGTTCAGAGGTGTGAAACCAGATATTTATGTTATAATGCACACATGCTGAGGATCTATATTTGTAGGTGTTTCCCTTCAGGGCATTTTCTATCTGCTAGGATTGCTACCTTTCTCTCAGCACATCACGACTCTTTATGTAACCTGCCCACACGATTGAGTAACTGCCTCCTCCTCCCTCCTTCCTTTCAGACGCCTGCGGTCTAACAGACCCCGTCCATGTGGAGTCTCTGCAGGAGAAGGCACAGGTGGCTCTAACTGAATACGAGAGAATGCAGTACCCGAGTCAACCTCAGCGCTTCGGACGCCTGCTCCTGCGCCTCCCTGCCCTACGCGCCGTCCCCGCCAGCCTCATCTCGCAGCTCTTCTTTATGCGCCTGGTAGGAAAGACCCCCATCGAGACGCTTATCCGGGACATGCAGCTCTCCGGAAGCTCCATCAGCTGGCCGTATGTCCCCGGACAGTAGCTACCACCCATGACGGGCGAGGTCTCCGTCTGGGATTAATGACGACAAGGACCCACAGGAAACCTCCTGACTCATCGCTTTCCATCTGTGTGGTTATGAAACTGCAGCGCCAGCTGGCCGTCATACGTACTGTACTGTAACCGCTCTATTCCCTTTCATGAAACGAGTCCTTTGTCTCCTGAGAAGAGGGGAGACAGTGCCAGGTTAGATCTGTCTTGTTGCCAGCCTTCTCGTTCTGGCGCCAGATCTCAGGCCAGAGACCAGATCCTCATGCTGGGTCCCGATATGGTCACCACAGCCAGTCATGTACCACCCACATGCTACAGTGACAAAAGACTCTGCAGTTTTTATGTAGAGGGCAGCAGCACCCCGCTATAAACACATTGAGAGGACAAAACTGTCCCGTCACTGAAACACTGGGCTCATTTTTCATGGCTCATCATTTGTGATACAGCGATCTTTTTATCCTCAAATCTGAAAACATGACATCCCAGCACCAAGATCGTGATAAACTAAATAAAGAGTTATACATTTGGGGAAGCCATGGTTGGCCTGTAAACACAGTATGGGAAGAGAAAGTAACAAACTCACTGCAAAGGAGGGATCACAACAGAAAGAAAATCAAACCAAGAAAGAAAATCACCAAAGTCTATCAAAGTATCCTCAGAGATTGTTTTTAAATCAAGAGTACACATTGACAAGAGAAGGAGATGAACTGTTAAAGACTGTCTGACCATCATGTGAACATTGCATTTACATTCATCCACAGGGCTCACTGTTGCTGTATCTAAAGACAATTGAAAAAAAAAAGAAACTACATGAGAATAGACTATTACCTCACAAGACATCAGAATGCTTTAGTCTGATATTTCCTAAACACAAACCTCTGTAAATGTTGTTCACCAGAAACCGCCTTCTTTTTGACAACTGCCTTGTTATTCAGTACAAATTTGGGACACTCCTGAGCATTACAAACATTCGTCTTGTATCTTTCTAGGAAACAACCCCCAAAGTGATTTTCACTTGTGTTTTGACTAACTTCATTTGTTGAACTCAATTATTATATATTGTTTGGATGTTTTTATTATTTCTTTAATGGTATCGTCTGACTGACATCAACTGGGGTTCTAATTAAAATACTCAAAAGTCATAAGAGTGTGCAACAAATACAGTTGGTGTGAGAAAGTAAAGCCAACACTACCAGTTAAATATCAGTTTGTGTAGATCAATGCAGTTTTGAGGGGATTTTCTCCCTTGAAAAAGTATTGACTTGTATATATACTGAGGCCAACTTTGTCTTTTTGCATGTTCAGATGTTGTTTTGGATGTCTGCCAAGTCAAGACAGATTCTTTTCTATTTCGTATTTCAGCTATCATTTAAATATTTGAGCATTGCTTTTACTGTTGGCTCCTAAATGTTTTATTTCTATTTGTATTTACATGAAAATACCTCTTACATCTATTCAGATGTCAAAAAAAGAAGCTTACCCTCATGCCATTACAGCTGATTTGACATAGAGATGTTCATGCTCTCATTTCCTGAGTGGGTCTCTGCTGCTGTGAGACGACGCTGTAATGGATAAAAATCTGGTGGAAAAGAAAATGCACTTGGAGGAATGCCAAAACATCACATGACAACGACATGAGAATAAGAGGATAGGCCCTGATTTGCTGGTCCACCTGGATTTACCTCAAACAGGTGTTTCAAGAGGCATGTTTACTCTGACAAGTTAGATATTTTAAAAGAAAAGTGCAAAATCGAATCTCAAATCCAACTTATCTCAGCATTTACGACAGATGTAACCCTGCCTCTTGATCTACCAACAGGCCTTTAGAAAGTTGTTTGGATATCCCAATGTTAGGCAAAAGCTCATCCAATCATGTCATTGCAAAAGAAAAAAATAAATATACTCTTAATGTTTTCTTATCTTTGTGTTACTGAGTTCTGAAATTTCTAAAGTTTTCTGTGTATGGCAGCGTTATCAAAAGAATAAAAAGATGACAATGTGTCTTCTGTTTAGTTTTTGTTTATTTTTTGCAAACTACTTGAAAATTGTTGTAATTACATCTGTATGAAGAATGCCAAATAAACACTGCAACATGTACCATTGGATGTGTCACTGGAGTGTAATCAACAGAGAAAAAGCTAGGTGGTATGAACAGCAGATTTTTTCAAATAAGAATCTTAGAATCTTATGCTCAACATTCATCACATTTTTGTATAAAAACTCACATTTAGTACTTTCCTGACTACATTCTGTAACAAACATAATAAACGAGAAATGCAACTGAAATGGGAAGTAAAACATGACAAAAATAAGAGGACATTTTAGTGTTTACAGTACATTTTTTACCACAATGTTTGTAGTTCAATCACACAGAAAAGCTCTCTTAGCAGACTCAAGCCTGACAGCTGTTAGAGTAATACAGAAGCTGTAAACATCAGGGTCAAACACAGTCTTGGTTCATAAACGCTGTCTTTAGGCACTCAGGGTACGGCTCTAACAAAAAACTCGTCAGCATTTTTTCCGTGGCTCTTTTTCATGGCATCATCTCTTATTAGCGAAAAGCTTTTATTTTACCCTTGGGTCTGACATGCTTCTCTGGATCGACAGACAGCACTTCTTTACACCTCATTCAACTCACATTTGGGTATGAAGACAAGTAAACCAGAAGCCAGTTCAACCTTATGGGAACTGGTTTTGATATCTGATGTGTAAAACTCCTCCCCTCCATGTAATTTAACCCTGAATCTGCCTTAAGTATGTTGAAAAAGTTGAACTACTCCCTTTAGTTCAGCTGCTTGTCAAGTGAGCTTGTATGATTTCAATGAAAGAACTGTATATCTGAGTAATTTTAATCTGCAGGTATACAGTTTATATTTATCCCATAAATATAAACATAATCCCATTTTTACAAATCTACAAACACTAGTCACCTAAATCAGTGGACATAGTTTACAGAGCACCTGGCATCAAGCTGTAGTCTACCCCCACTTACAGTTCAATATGTTTGAGGGCCACAGTAGAGCCTTATAATTCAGACCAGAAAGTGCAAATCAAAAGAAAAAATACAGAGGGAAACCCTGTTTTTCTGTACTAGAGTCACAGTCTTTCAGTGTTCTTCCTCGGATTTTTACAGATTATCAAAACATGCTAACAAAGGCCTTGGTCGTAAGTTTTCACCAGGCGTTTGATGTGGAAAAGCTTCTGGCGAAGTTCCTTGCAGTGCTTCTTTTTTGCTTGATAGTCTGGCGTCTGGATGACAGAACAAATTAAACATCAATATCTTACATTGTATTCAAATAAGTTAAAAGAGCTGTCACTTGGCTAAATATGTAGCTATTTTTTTGGAGGTAGCTAGCTAGCTAAGCTTAGCTAAATTTAGCGCAAAGATTGGTAATAGGTAGTAACAGCTAACTGGTCTCCATCTAAACTGGCCTGTTAACACTACCTTTGTTCACCAACTGTGTTACTAGCTCAACAACTCAAAAAAGGGTTAAATGGTTCATTGTGGATTTACAGGCGGTCAAATGTTGTACTGAAGTTGAAATTTCACTTCAGTAAGGGATGATAGGTAACACCCTGGAAAGGAGGAAATCACAGATTAGCTTCCACTCACCTTTTTCAGGTCTTTGAGCCGGAGGTACTCGTCTGCCACACCCTGAAAACATGAGAACATTACATGAGAATTACAAAACAGTTCATTAAATTAAGCACAAAACTGATAGCCTATCTGGTTTGACTGGCTGTGTGGGTCTGTGGTAGTCACTCAGACTCACACTGAGGATGAACTAAGCCCGTTCATCTAATTAAAAGGCACAGTTATGACTCAATACTCTCCTGGCAGCTTGTGCTAAATTCCATGCACTCGTCCTTCCTGTCCCCACCCCTCTACCTGGTACTTCACGGAGCTATAGTCTAATGTGTCCAGCTCTCGGCCCAGCTTGTGGATCTTGTCACTGATGTCATCCATTTGGGCGCACAGGCTCTTGTAGCGGGCCAGATCCGAGTCAAACTCTGTCTTGTACTGGTGGCGTTGCTCGTCTGAAGTTATCTCTGGATACAGCCTGAAGTGAGACATCAAGTTGATTTATAGGCATAAACGAATGTTAAATTAGAGGATAATCTAAGCTTTCTGGTTAAATTACAAATCAAAATGAATTTTACTGGTGGTCAAGTTTCCTTTAAGTGTCTTTATGTTGTGAATTGGGGATTCTATTTTTGTATGATTCGTGAAGTAGTAGTAGTAGTAGTACTTTTAACCATACTGTGTAAGGTGTGTGCGGTTTAAATAAACATAAGGTATATTACTTACATGCTCTCTCATAAAAAATAAAATAAAAATAACAGTATCAACTGTTTACCTATACAGGTGAGCAGTATGGTCCCTGTCCAGCTCATTCCCAGTGTCTCCTGTGGTATAGCCAGTCTCATACTGGGACTCTATCTTCTCATGAGCAGCAGCCCTGGTCTTTGGACCCTCTTTTTGCTCCTTCTTCACATGATAAGAAAGAGGAGGAGGTTTCCTGATGCTGTCACTTTGCTCTGAGGAACTACTGGAACAAACTGTGGCCCTGTTGTTCTGGTACAGAGCCTCAGGCCCACGACTGTTATTGTTATCAGCAGAGACACTGGAGAAAAGAAGGACACACAAGTGAGAAGACCGATATTATGTCAGACAGTTCAAAGTGTAAGCCACAGAACTCCAAATGCATGTCTTGTTTTTTGTTTTTTGTTTTTTAGATATATATTGTGATTGAAGACCACAGATTTGCATTGGATCACCAGTGTTTAAGTTACCAAGTATTTCCAGTTTTTAAGTGTTTTATTCTGCCACTTAAGCCTGAAAACAGGACTTGTGGATCATTGTAAGGTCAATTGTAGGATCAACAAGTTTTTTTTCCAGAACACTAACAGTAGTAATATAAATATATATAAAGCTGATAATATATGTAATATATATAAAGTTGAACTGCTGGAAAAATGGGGATCATGGAAAATAAGTGATTTTAGGTAAAACTGACATTTTTATTGTGGAAATTCTCTTTGAAAGAGGATTTGTAGATTGATAGGGCGATTAAGATCGTCTTGTACAGATTTGAGTAATGGTGTGAAGTTATGGGTAAACAGCTCTGACAGCTTGGCTGATAGATGGATCCCTAAATATTTTATGTTACCTGTGGGGATATGATAAGGTGGTGGCTGGGCAGCCACATCCCCTTTATCTGTGTTAAGATGGTAGAAAAGAGGTTTTATGGCAGTTCTTGCCTACATGACGTAAGAGTCAATCTACAGTTGAAACCAGATGTTTACATATACTATATAAAAAGACACATAACCTTTTTTTCCTCACTGTCTAACAATAAATCAGATTAAACTTTTCCTGTTTTTGGACAATAATGGATTACCAAAATTATTTTTATATGCTAAATGCCAAAATAATGAGAGAGAGAATTTTTTAGACAATTTTTTATTATTTTCTCAAGAGTTAAAAGTTTACATACATGTCATTAGTATTTGGTGGCTGCCTTCAAATTGTATGTCTTGGGTCAAATGTTTTGGATATGCTTCCACAAGCTTCTCACAATAGTTTGCAGGAATTTTGGCCCATTTCTCCTGACAGAACTGGTGTAGCTGAGCCAAGTTTGTAGGCCACCTTGCTTGCACATGACTTTTCGGTTCTGCCCATACATTTTCAATAGGATTGAAATCAGGGCTTTGTGATGTCCACTTCATTGACTTTGTTATCCTTACGCCACTTTTTAACCAGTTTGCCATTTGGAAAACCCATTTGTTTCCAAGCTTTAACTTCCTGGCTGATGTCTTGAGATGTTGCTTCAGTATTTCTACATAATGTTCTTTCCTCAAGATGCCATCTATTTGTGAAGTGCACCAGTACCTCTTGCTGCAAAACAACCCCACAACATGATGCTGCCACCCCCCATATTTCACAGTTGGGATGGTGTTTTCAGGCTTACAAGCTTCCCCTTTTTTCCTCCAAATGTAACAATGGTCATTATGACCAAAGAGTTTCATTTCAGTTTCATCAGACCACAGGACATATCTCCAGAAATTCAGGTCTTTGTCCCTGTGTGCATTTGCAAACTGTAATCTGACTTTTAAGGTTTCTTTTGGAATAATGGCTTCTTCCTGGAAGAGTGGCCTTTCAACCCATGTCGGTACAGGACTCCTTTCACTGTTGATAATGACACAGTCTTACCAGCTTCAGCCAGCATCTTCACAAGGGCTTTTGCTGTTGTACTTGGGTTGATATTCACACTTCAGACCAAAGCATGTTCATCTCTGGGACACAGAACCTGTCTCCTCCCTGAGCGGTATGATGTCTGGACATCCCCATGGTGTTTTTACTTGCATACAATTGTTTGAATGGATGAACGTGGCACCTTCAGGCATCTGGAAATTGCACTCAAGGATGAACCAGACTGGTGTAGGTCCACAATTCTCTTCCTGATATCTTGGCAGATTTCTTTTGATTTTTCCCATGATGTTATACAAGGGAGCAGTGTGTTTCAGGTGTGCCCTAAAATACATCCACAGGTGTGTCTCTAATTAACTAAAATGTTGTCAATAAACCTATCAGAGGCTTCCAAAGACATGATATCATTATCTGGACTTTCCCAAATTGTTTAAAGGCATAAAGAAAATAATAAAAAATTGTCTAAAAATTCTGTCTCTCATTATCTTGGCATTTAACAAATAAAAATAATTTTGGTAATTCTAATTGACCAAAAAGAGGAAAAGTTTAACCTGATTTAATGTTAGACAGTGAGAAAAAAAAGGTTTTGTACCTTTTTATATATTGTATGTAAACTTCTGGTTTCAGCTGTATATGACCTTAAACTGCATGCTTGTGCAATTAAATAAATTGTTGGTGAATCATCTTAAGGGGGATCCAGAAGCTTTTATTTTAAGTTTCTGATTGTGGTTGTAGGATGTGTGTGTTTTTTTCAAAGTTTTCCTTTTTTAGGTGTGTCTTGTTTTCTGAGCTCAGGCCTTAATGTTGTGCTCACACACTCATCAGCAGCCACCCATCACTCACATGTTGCTTTTGTAGTTTGCCTCACTGTGAATGCTGACTGTCCCATTGCTGTAGGACACCACACTGTTCTCCGCCCTCAGCTCAGGTGCTGTTGGTCTCTCTGATGTGACGACAGTTGGTGCCTGCTGGGTGCTGCGTGCATATCCAACATCATCCACCTAAAATAAAACCAGGGAACGAATCAGCATCCATTCGCTTGGTTGATATACTGTCTGTTTATATGGAGATTTATAGGACAGAACATTAGAAGTAACTAAAAAACACATGTTAGGTGTTCTCTTTAGTCTGTAATGTTCAAAATCACAGTAGAAAAAAGTGTTTAAATAATAAAGAAAAGAACCTTTCTCTGCTGATTCAGTCACACACAGAGAAGATGTAGGTTTCTCTAAATCAAACTCTGAGCCTAAAAATAATCAGCTGTGATTCTGTCAGGCATGTTTTCATGTAGCCAGATTAATTCAAGGACAAACATACACACCCACTCACCAAACCCCACACACACATACTCGCTTTGGCCACCATGTGACACACTACATCTAAATGACTAAAAGCTCCAGTGCATCAAACTGAGAGAGCAGAAATCCCCTTTTTCTCCCTCCAAGATGATATGTCTCACCTCAAACCTTTCTGTCTATAAATAACAGAGACAAATTCACAAAAGAGAAGAGAATAAAAATAGACTGAATTATGTCTGACATGAGGAGTGTGTGAGTGACCAGTCTGAAAAGGTAGACAGGAGTAATGAGTGAAACAAAAATGTCTGCTGTCACATTTTCCCGGACTGTCAGGTGACATGCAGTGGAGCACCAGGGTCTATTCAGTTTCAGAGGATAAAATAAGGTTACCAGACTGAAAATGTGAGTGCCTGAAGCAAAATCAGCGTTGTTACACCATTCAGCCGCAGAAATGAGGAAAAGAAAAGGAAATGCAGCGTTAACACAATTTTAAAGGCCAGAAGGAAAAATAAGCCAACACTAAAACTGCATCATGTATCTTATAATCCTCTGTCATAGTTTTTCATCCATAATTAATGACTTCCAGTCTTTGGCCTATTTCTGAACCAGTGCAGTTACACAGGATGAGGATCCAGTGAGCGGATAAAGATGTCTGGAAAAAGCAGCCTGTGAAACAGATCTCATGACTGAGGAGATGGAGGATGGTTGTCTGCTGAGTGTCGAGACATTTCTTGAAAATCTGCAGGGACTCAGATGCAGTGCTGCAGAAAAGTGAGGTGGTGACCGCTGCTTAGGGACAGTTGACTGTTATTGGTCATCTTTCTCCCTGATTTTGAACTTTTTGTATGTAGCAGCTGCTCACTCATCATATTTATAGTTCTCTATGAATGTAAATAAATATGATTTGGCTTTTCTTTTCAATGCATTCAATACACAATCTAATATAAACAGTAGAGTAGTTATGTAGTGCTTGCGTTAATCCTCTGTCCCACTTTCTTTTCTCCTAATTACCAGTGTGCCACATTTTGGCACAAAAACACTAGAAAATGACTTCTTAGCCAGGAGTCTAATCTACAGCAGCCGCTTCTCATACTGAATCATTTAGCCACCACACTCTGTAGGGATTCACCAGGCAACATTGAGGCAACTCAACCCTTTTTATACATTATACATGCCACATACATTATATATGCCTCCCTGCAAGGCAAGCATCTTCACTGCAACACAAGAAGACGTCCTGTGTCTCCATGAAGCGTCTCGCTCTGCAGTGAGAGGACGTATGTGGGCCAAGGCCTTGCAGGATTAACTAAGTGTGTTTCCTCCTTTTTTTATAATGAGACATGGTAGACATGATACATATTAAGTACACTCATGCTGTACTATATTAATCACTATTAAATACAACATGAGGTGGCTGCTATAAGGTACAAACAGCACTTTAGCTTATAACCATGTCAGTGAAGGTCTAAGACAGAGGAGCTCAACCTTTTCTATCATTAGAAGAACCGCATGAAAATAAGGGAAAACAATACAACTGTTTAAATTCTTCAGGCCACCATAATGTCAAGATATATTAAGAGGAAACTAATTCCCTGAAGTAACTCCCGAAGGTTTCACTATAAGTCTTTAGCCTGCAGAGGAGAAACATATAGGGAAGACTTTATTTTGAAAGGACACAAGCACAGAAACCTTGGGTTTACTAGAGACAGAGAGTACACTACAAGTTATCACATATTCATGCACATTGGTTTAAAAATAGAGACAAAAAAAAGGTTGTGTGTGTGTGTGGTTTTTTTTTTTGTTTTTTTTTTAAGAAAACACATTCAGCCACAAGAGGTCACTTATCTTACCAAAGAAAGATGGCAGGGTTAATGTTTTACTTGAAAAGTTTCATTACGAGAGTCCTAAAAATAGATTTATGAGACCTAGATTTAATAACGTTGTTAGTGACACAGACGACAGCTGTGCTTTCCAAACAGCATAAACAATAGATCATACTGTATCTAACCCACAGTGGACAGAAGAGAGCAGCCAGATTGCTGCCGGTCTTCAGGGTCCGGTTACACGCAAATTTAAAATACATGACACCTCTGGATTCATGTGTCTGATATGAAGATGGTCTTAAACCCATACTGAGTCCAGAGCAAAATTATACAATACTTTTTGCTTTTTTGATTGCTTTTAATGCGAAAATAAACAAATAATGGAGATCTTTAGTACATTTTCTTCAACGCAGTCACATTAAATCAATCAATCTTTATTTATATAGTGCCACTTCGCAACAAGTGTTACCACAAGATGATATGATTGAGCCCTATATTGTAAGATTAGACCCACTCCATCCCATCTTCAACCACATCTTTTTAACAGGCAGAAAGGTAAGGATACCTGTTTAGACTAACTGAAACTTAAATATTGTTCTTAACCATCGCATGATTTTCTCTCTTGACCAGTTTCCTTTTTCAGGAAGTCCGCTTGTTACTCAGTTTTACTGCTATAGGGCTGTGGCACTTATAACATCAGTCTGGTTAATGATCAGCCAGAGTGAAACCTGGGAGTGCCAAAGATAAACAGCAGCGTTATCTAAGTCAACGGCAGCTAATGTGAGACTTTAAAACTGAACAGTCGTTTGCAAGAAATGATGATGAAGGGTACTGGTCCTGAAATATCTAGAAGGTTGTTAAGAAACCTGGTGGAGAACAAGTATGGAGGTAAGGCTATCAACCACTGCAGATAACTTGAACACCACCATCTAATCTAGCAAATTATAAGAAAGTCTGATACAAATGTCAGCTGAAGTCTACGCTGTATCAACATTTTTTCAGTGCTTTACTCCACCGTGAGGAAGTCACTTTGTCTTCATACAACAAATACATGCTCCTCTAATTTTACATTGACTCTGCAGCGGTTGATAGCCTGGCTTCAGTGTGGTCCTTCAAATTGTTCCTCAATGAAAAGGTCAAGTTGAACAACATCCCTCTCTGAGTAACACTTAACCCTCACATACTGTTCAGGTCAAATTTGACCCGTTTTGACTTTTAACAGCAGTAAAAAATACCCTAAACGTCATTTTTTAAGCCTGAAACTTGATGACTTTTCCTGAAGTTGCCCAAAATACGTGAAATTAATTTAAAAATATTCATGTGTATTTTTTTTTATGTGCTACAAATTTTTCCCCTCTAGGGCTGTTACAGGTCAAATTTGACCCGTATCTATATTTAGATCTAGCAGTGTGGGACAAGTGATAAACAGTAACAAAAGTGTTCAATATCAGGTTTGTTGTTTAAAAAGATATATTCAAATCATTATGAAACTATCATTACCTTGACAGAAACACACACACACGCACACACACAGACATACAGTCACACAGACACACCTAGACAGAGGTCAAAATGACCTAACTAGTCAAGAGAACTTTCTGTGACAGAAAGCTGCTCTTTGAACTCTTTAAAGGGGCAATTTTGACCCGCAACATACTGTGAGGGTACAGGATTTGAACAGTATTTGAGGGTTAACATACCTCATAAAGACATTAAGTAATTAAATCAAAAGCCCCAAATATCACATAGAAATTGAGAACATAACAACAAGCAGTTTCTCACCCAGTCCTGAACATCTTGTCCCTCTGACCGTCTGCTCCTAGGCTCGTCCCATAAGATATTAGGTTTCCCATGTCGCCAAATCTTACTGCGGGTCTTGTAGGCAAAGTAGGCAGACAGAGAGAGACTCAAAACCACTATCAGACCCAAACAGAAGGCCACCGCCTGGGGAAAGAAATTAAAATACAGATTAGAGGAGAGTACGGTAAAATGTAAAAGAATACAGCAGAACTCTTTGACTCACCTCCTCAGGGTCCATGTAGCAGTAGTGGTGCAGATATTGATTGTACATGGGAAACCCTCCTGGGTAACCAGCTCCTATGCTGCCACTGTAGCTGGGGCTGCCCTGGAGGTTCTGGCACATCATCAACATTGGGTTATAGAGCATGCTCTGTGAGCTCTGAGACAATGGGTTCACCCCGATCACGAAGATGATGTCGATGATGCCCTGTAAGTCAAAAGAGAGATTTGTTAATTCAGTGAAATTGAGTATATAATGCTCTGTGTTTTGGTTGTTGTAGATGATGTTTATGAAAGGTCTTTATAGATGGAACAGCTCCAGGTTTCAGTCACAATTAAAAGGCAAATTTAGCTTGTTCTGACTTTTTTGTCTGTTTTTCTAAACCTGAAAGACATCATTGAAGTGACGAGAACAAACAGCTACATTGTGGCTTTTGTCCTGAAAACATAAAATCTTCCCACTGTTTCTGGTGCCTCTGTCTTTGGGAAGCAATAATAGCTGCAGTTATTCCTGGATAACCAAAAGAACACTGTCTAGTAACTTTCTAAGAAAGCGCAGAACTGAAGAGAGAAGCGATCGTAGGAATAGTCTGCTCAGCTTATAGGTGGGTGTGTCTTTGCCAGAGCTGCCAGAGCTGCCAGGTGGACTTGTCTTTTAGCATCATGGATTCAATCACGCTGTCCACATTTTATTTATAGGCGCCTCAACATCACCTTACAGAACAATGAAAATGACAAGTGTGTGGTGGTAAGGTAAGGTCACATTGGGGTGTGAATGAAAGGGTAAATGTAACAGTACCTTGAGTGGTCTAATTCAAAAGTTCACTCCTCACAGCTTTTTCACTTTGATTGAAAATTGGTGAGAAATACTTCTTCACTATCAGCTTGTTATTTTGCACAGAAGTATGTAAAAGAGACAAATTCAATGGATCAGAATGCAAAACTATCTCAAGACAGGTATCTGGAGTTCAAAGTGTTTTTACTTTTCTGAACTGGAAACCAGATGCTTCACATTCACGCCACATTTTGAGAAACTCACCTGCAGCACGGCTAAGATGATGTCACAGATGAACACAGTGAGGTAGAAGGTGCATCCCCTCATAGCTCGTGATCGGGAAAAGCTCCCCACCAGAAACCCCAGAGAAACCAGGAAGTTGATGGCAGCCATGGAAATCATGGCCGCTTTTGCAGACTGTGGAGTCATGTAGGAGCTACTGTAACCGTAACTTCCTCCATAATATCCCATTTCTGCCCCTGCAACAGCCGCTGAGCCCCCAATGCCAAAGCCCCCGTACCCAAATCCATTCATGTCCCACACTAGTGTTGAAGCAACAAAGGCAAAGATGAGAAAGCACATGAGAACTGTGGCACCTTGGAAGGTTTTCACAAATCCAGGGGGAGAAAACCAGCGGTAGAAGAGTTGAGGCCTCCCCTCTTGGTAGTAGGAATCTTGAGGGGCATTATAGGTGTAGGGGGTGTACTGGCTCTGGGGGGTGTGAACACTCCTTGGGGGATAGTAGCTGTGGGAGTTGGAGCTGTAAGGAGGGCTGTACATAGGGGGGGAGTCGTAGTACTGAGGCTCATGCATCTTTTAAGGGTATAACAGCGAGATCACCTGAAAGAAAGAACATTTTGTTGAGCTCAGTTTGCAGTCACTGTATGTATTTAATCTAGATCAGATCAGTTTATCCAGATTTGAACATTTTCTTTTTCATTTCATTTATTTTTGGATACTTCACAAAAAAAAATTGAATTCTCTTTCACAGGCATCGACAGACCACGGAGAAATTAAATCTGTGCGTTGCAAATAGAAGAGGTCTTACTGTATGTGTGTTGTACTGAAAAATAGTGCAAAAACCAATGAACCTTTGCATGGCAAATCAAAGTGCTTAAAAGTTTTAAGTGGAGCGTTTAACCAATGAAACCAAGATGGGTGCTTTGCTGAGGCTCTCTCAAAATTAGTAAATTTACATGACGAAGTGACCCGACCTGTAGTGAACTGCTAACCTGCTGCACCTCACGCAAGTTTCACATTTAAGGGGCAAAACTCTGTCTGGGCTAATACACTTACCAATGATGTATAAGTCTTTAACAGACAAACTATTTGTTTAAAAATGTATCCACATTTGATTTGTTGGGTTAGTGTTTTAGCACTGATTTACTGGTCAACACAGGTTAGCCAAGTATGGCTACTCAGAGCTTATGACTCATTGATGTTATGACTGGAATTCTGTGTGCTGTATAGTTGCATATATTAAAACAAATGAAGAAAAAAATACATTTGAGAAAAAAATATTTGAATGTTTTGTAACTTTCAATTTAGCCCATTTCCCATCTGTTAAAATGGGAGAGTAACCAGAGGAAGCCCTAAATGTTTTGACTTCGCTTCTACGGAGCGGTTGTGCCAACCATTTTCATACAACCAGGTTTGATCCAGACAAAAATCAATCTAGATTACTTGACCTCATCTGACATGAGGATCCTTTTTAAAACAACTCTCAAGATGAGCACACCTATCAGAAAAGTATGGCTGCACAAAAAGCTTTACTCCAAGAGTCTGTCCCTTTCATCCCAACACCTAAGTGAATTTCATTGTAACTAAATTTTTGCACCTCTCTGCCCTCCGTTCCCCTCAGCCTGGGCCTGAACCCTCTCTGGTCAGTATCACATCACCAGAGGAACTCAACCCAACAGGTTTCAATAATTCAGATATAGACAGTAGGTTAGAGGCAAGCCAGGGCAGCCATGCAGGGTGTTTATTGCAGGAGACGTGTTCCTACCCTGAGCTGCACCTACTGTGTGTTACCTGAGTCTGAGTGCTCTGCTGACTGGCAGCCCACTGAGACAACAAGAGCAGACAGGTGTGCCAGAGCTGTCTCACGTTTTGAGATCAATTGAAAAAAAAAGTTTTTGAATTTGCTCCCAGAGAGAGGAGAAACAAAGAAAGAAACATAAAAACTTCTCCATTTGTTTATCTGTGTGACTTTTTGCTCTACTCTTCTTTCATATCTACATGAGGAAAATGTTTGGAAAAAACTCTAGATAACTTCAGTCTATCTCCTTTCCCAGGAATTAGGCTAAACTACTTTATCATGAGCCCTGGTGTCAAATATTAATACTTTTGAGTCTTATTAAACATTCAACAAATCACATAACTGAAAATGTCAACAGGAAAGTTCATTAATGGATTTAAAAATTAAACATGTATCCAGTTCATTAAACATGTTACTTACACGATGAAGAAAAGGTCCCTGAACGTCACACTCGTCCATTCCTCGAGTCTCTCCTCCGAGTCAGCGATCCTTTTATAACTCACCGACGGTCGCAAATTTCGTCATTTTGCTTCTCAAGTGTTTTTACCCGTAAATGAAACCTGTGAAATGGTGCTGTCTGACTCACACCGAGGGCCATAAGAGAGATTGTAGCTCGCAGGTGCAGGGTTCAACTGTCTGACGCCTCCCACTTGCTTTCTAACGGACTGTCCATAGGCTGCTGTCTACAATGGGAAACATTAAACCAAGGCCCTTTCCTGTTCAAGCAGATAATGGGATCTTTCATTTCTCCGAGGTGTAGGAGCGTTCGGGCACATCATAAAATAACGTAAACGGCCATTTCCCTTTAACAAGCAAAGTATTTGTTGTGAAAATGATACTTAAACAGTTTATTAGTAACCGTTCTTGTTGTATAGGGCTACACTGTAGAAAATATTATTGAAATCTAACAAAAAAGGAAACTATCCCGAGGCATTTTTTTTGTAGTTAAGCAAACGATTATTTTGAGTTTTAAAAACCCAATAATATGCATTTTAAGTTGACTGGAGATAGCCATGAATTGAAATAAACCAATGACAAAGAGGACAGCATATTTACAATACCACAATCAATCATGTGGAGTCACATTGAAAAGGAAAATTCAAAGGCATGGTTGATTATTGGAGAGATTGGTAATTATTATGAACCTCGTTTATATGGCGATCATGATCCTATAGTGCTATCTCCACAAAGTAAAGAAAAAATAACAATGGAGTCAAATCCATTCACCCTTGGGCTGCAAAAACATTGACCAATGGGAGCCATCCATCCTGGACAGCTCCCATTGGCCAATCTCCTGCTCTGCCTCTCCATCCAATCACCTTGCTGTATTTGACACACCCTTTATCATTTTCTTTAAGTAATAATCATCATATTAATCATTTTGCACTGCAGACGCAGTAGTTCTTTTGCCTTAGCGTCTCAGTCTGTTTGCATTTGCATAAAGTAATGATCGGAAATGTTCTTCCTTGAGCTGCGTCACCCCGCTGCAGTCGATGGACTCGCCCGCAGGTCTCTGTACAAACAAGCGGCTGCTGGAAGAGAGTTGATGAGTTGTGTTTAGTCTCTTTGCTAAAGAAACCAGGCAAAGCTAAAAATATGTTTGGTGGCTAGTACTATGGCTGGGACTCTATATGTACTGTTGATGAAGTTAGGTGCTGTTCTGAGCATTATTTGTGGCTGTAGAGTGGCATATGGTTGAGCATGTGGCTCTCTGTAATGCAATCTCCTGTCGTTATTAAAGTTGTTATAACTAGAGAAGCAAGCAGTCGCCAACATTCATCTCTTGAGGGGGTGTCTGACCCTAACGTAATTTTACGCCGGAATATCCCTTTAACCTCTCATTTTCAGTAATTTCAGGAATGGGAAGGACAATGAGGACAGGCCCACAACAAGCAATGAACTTTTATAGTCAGCAAAAAGGAGTCCTACAATTTCCCTCAGTTATAAGACACAGAAATTCTGTTTAACTTGAAAATCTAAAAGAATCTTCAAGAATTTATCATCAAAAATCAAAGTGATGATTTCATAGAGACAGATGGGCAGCAAGAGTCTATATATCACAGAGATTATTCAGCTGGCACCTCCCTTTGCAGATTTTATTGAAAACAATTACCAGTAACTGCCGTCATCTCTTCCCTATGACTGCTTTAAACCTTGGTTGAAGTCTATTGTGTGGTTAGTGCATTTATTATTTTTGCCCCACTTGAAAGTCTAAACTTCAGGCAGATTTGAATTGAACCCAGGCCCATTTTACTCACTGGCAGGAGCGCTTACCACCACTACGCAGGCTCGCCTGTCTGTAAATACCTCATAAATACCTTGTAATGTTTCATAATGATTTACCAAGAGCAGGGTCAAATCTAAAGTGTGAGGAAAGCATTTATCAGTGTGTCTCTGTTAATTACCTGTTCAGGTTGAATTTTAACCGAGGACCATTTCCCTAACAAACACACAACAGGCCTGTCGTACAGTACTATGGTGAACCATCACTGTCAAAATACTGGATGCCAAACTTTGACACTTTGTATCCACGTTTGAAAACTTTGGGAGTAAATACATTCTTGGTACCCCAAAAATGGTATAAATGATTAAGCAAATTATGAGTGTTTTTATTTGAGCATAAATTATGCAGTCATGAATCTGATTTCTACGCACACAAACGCATGTCCCTGGATATGAGGTGAAAAGCGACGTCACTGGGGTCACAGGCAGGCTGTAGGGAGACTTCATTGAGCCCCAACCTAGTGGACTGCTGCTGTAACTTGTATGTGTTTAAAAAATTTATATTATTATCAAGTGTTATCAATATAATACAGAAAATGTCAATAAAATACCATTTTATGTACTTTACTTGTCATGCCAAGTTGGGGTTGCAGCAGCAGCAGCAGTGTTTACCAAGTTACAATGTTATTTATGATGTGTCCAATGCAGAATAAAAACTGCAGCGTGAGGAGAGTATCTGTAAATGCTTTTTACTAGTTTAGGTCTTTTATGTATTTATGTTTTGTTTAAATGGCGCTGTCTTCATGCAGCAGCTGCTTAAAACCAATTGACCCCAGTGGAATTGTTAAGGTTGTTTAATGAAGTAATTTATTGATTTATTGAAAAGCTGTTAGTCCTTGGTTCGAATATCAATACGTTTAAAACTGCAGTTCTTAAACACCATCACAGATGGAAAAGCTATTGTTACTGTCCTCACAATAGAGAACAAAGAAGTCAGTGAAAAACACAAGACGTGCATTCTAACTGCTGAGACAGGTTTTGGTATTGAGGTTTTTCAGTGAAGAAAAAAACTGTAAATGCGTATTTATGTGCATCGTACAAAGCATATTAAGTCCCATAGAGTGATCATTTTTGTCTTGTGAACTCGAGTTATTTTCTTGAACATACACCAAAATTAAAATGCGTGCACTTGTTATAATCGTCTTTCACTTTGTTAATGTTAGATTTGTACTTTTTCACTGAACTCATATAACTCACTGTTTTCTGTTCACTTCAGATCTTCACTTCAGATTTAACCCACAGGTTGTTTCCATTTAATCAGAACAGATAAGCAGGAACCTGATGAACCACGAGGCTCTCTTTAGATACACGCCTCAAGGTCAACACACACACATATATTTTATCGCACATTTTAGTAAGATCACGTGAGCAGTGGTTGGCCTATTAGCATTGGAGATAACTGGCTAATGAGACTCAGTTGGGTTTAAGTCCAACTCCTGCCCAAGAAGATAGTTATGAAGTATACCCAGAAATGGGCACTCGTTGTGACAGAAATCCTACGAGCTCTGTCACTCTGAGTCCAGCGCTGTATTACTCTACCTGTGACCATAAAAAAGGTCTGTCTGAGACCTGAAGACTTCTCTAGTCGTCCTTGAGCAGTCAACTAATGAACTGATTCTTACATGCTTTAGACATATATTTTCACATACTGGGTGAAAATTATTGTGCGGCTTAAAACTGTGTTAAGTTTGATTTATAGTCTGGCTTATAGTTAAATTGCATACAAAATCAGTTTAGATATTCCTTTAAAGTGTGCAGTTAAATATGTTTAATGATAAAATGTCAGATAGTGGTTTAGGAGACATACAGTGCTGACTGGCGAGCGTGTTTGTCTGTATTTATTTTGTATCATTCTGTTAAGTGGTATATGTGATAGATAGCCGTGTTACACACTTACTGAGAACACCTCTGATAGGTCCATTTCTCTCTTGAACACAGATGCCATTTTATTTTATTTAATTAAGTAACTATAAGACAAATAGAGATAAAAAAGTATAAAAGCAAGCAATTACAACATACTTACTGTAAAAACTGACATAACAAAAAGGGCGTGGGATGAAGTAAACAACTTAAAAAGTCCCGTCCCTTTTTATATTTAAAATAAGAACAGATGATCCAATCAAAAACAGGCTGAGGCATAAAACAAAATAAAATACATTTTAAGTAAAAAAAGAAAAATTGAAAATGTTAAAGATAATCAAAATCACTGGCAAAAGTCATAATCCAGACAAATATATGGACTGATAAGATAAAAAGAGTACACCATTTAGTCCTTTTTCTGTTGTATTGTCAGAGCAAAAGTTGTATAAATCAGGTTTCATATAATTTCGATACAGGTATTAAGGCTTGTACAAAATACAAACTTTTTCTGTTAATTTAGAATAACTATATTTTGGTTCAAAATAAAATCATTTAAAGCTTTCAACAAACTGAAGCAGCAAAACACAAAAGAAAAAAAATCTTTTTTTTCTTTCTTGTATTTGTTTATCTTTTAGTGCAGGTAATTATTCTCTTCATCCTCAAGCATTTCTCGTGGTTTCCTGGTCAAAGGTGCGGATTCTGTTTTTGATGTGGCTTAATTTAGCTTTTAAATAATCACAGCACTCCTTTTTCTCCAGGAAAGCAGGGTCCTGTAAAAACATGAACATATAAGATTACAAACAAAATACTGTCTGCAGCCTACATAAGTCTCCATGAATCTTCACTTTTTTTCTGGTCACTTTTTTCTGTTATATCTCCTTCTGTTTACTGACATGTTGTCTAAATTATTTTGTAACACAGCGTTTATCACATTTTATGACGGAGGTACATGACATGCATTAGTGGACATTTTTTTGAAGAAAAATTTATACTGTACAGTTGTTAAAAAACGATTGAAACTCTAAAACTACTTTGAAATGATTTTCTTTTTATGTATTCTGAACTCATTTTGAACAGGAAAACACTCTTTCACAAAACTTACATCCTTCTTCTGCTGAAATGTCATCAGAATGGTCTGAATCCTCTGCTGGTTCTGAGAGAAAAATAACCAAAGGGTTTAGACAAAAATACAACAAAAAACAACTTTCAGCCAGTGTCACACTATGAAAAAAGATAATCAATGACATCAATACTATAATGAGTCTTGATTATTTTCTTATTAACTGAAATTACTAACACAGAGAAAGTGTCTTTATAAAGGGGTTTCAATAAAGGTTTGTTTTCTTCTATCTCACCTCTCGGCTTTTTCCATCTCTGAGTAGTTTTTCCATCATGGCGTCCAGCTCTCTGAACTTATTGAGGGTGGTGCTGACGTCTCTGTAGAGGTCCTTGTATTCCTGGTACTGGTCATTGAAAACTGCTTTGTACTCCTCCCTTTCTTCCACACTCCTGATCTCTGGATATTTTCTATGGGACGAATTTTAGGGAAAATTAACTCGAGATAGTGACGACAAACTGAACATTTTTACCGACAGTAAAAATGTGTACTCACATGATGTAGTCAGCCATGACATGCACTTTAGGTGTGTATTCAGATGCTGCTGCTCTGCTCAGACTGACTGGTGTTTTTTGGATGTTGGGGTTGAACATAGATTTATCTTTATTCGGAGAGTTATCCATTTCGTCCTTAAATGATATACGCTTTGTTTTTGGGAGGGTGAGAGGGATGGACTGGTGAAGCTCCTGAAAGATAAAAGGGAGAAACCTTCACTGGGGTACCTATATGTAATATACTTAAAGCTCCTGTGAGAAACTTTTAGTCAGTTTTGGTTCTTCCTGTGGCCACAACAATCTTTGTTGATCCTGTCCTCTGTATGCTTAAGTGGTGTCATTTCACGCAAAAAACCCTGATCATTCTGACTTTTGATAGTCAGATCATTTATTGTGGATATTTCATATGAATACTGTAAAATCAGGGCTTTTTCTTTAGCTGCTTGGGTGGCATCTACCCCCTCCCACACATTTCAGGTATTAAAAAATTACAACATAAAAGTAATTAATCTTGTTTCTGTTGTTGTTGTTGTTTGCTTTTATAAATCATAAAATGGCATCAATAAGAATTTCAGTCTATTTCATAAACATAAAAAAAGTCCTCACAGGAGCTTTAATGTCTGTATCAACATGACAAGAAGCTTCCTGAGAGAACAGAAAACAAAATTTAAGACATTCAAAAAAAAGGAAAATAAAAATAAAAACAAAAAAGATGACAAAAGCAACAGTCAGAGGAAAAATCTATCAAGATTGAAAAAAAAAAACAACAACAACCAGACACTATTATGAGTTAAACATTGCAGGCTCAGGCAGCCTTACAGAGCTATTGAAACTGGTCTATCAACCCAGCAAATGATCACAATTTATAAAGCTTGTGCCACAGCATATGGGTTAGGCTAAAAGCTCTACAGTATATTATTGTTTGTACGTCTCTGTTGTGGTTAAAATCATTTTTACTTTTCTTGCAGAACAACTCAGGCCACCTTGTCTCCCCAAATTTGTGAACATAACTTTGTCTTTTGTCATCAATTGTCACATGTTTGTCTTTAACGGCAGAGGTTGAGATCACAGATCAAGATATCATTTTATAATCTTGTTTTGGCGCACTCATACACGCATTGGTGGACTCTCTACTTGGTGTTATCAACTAATTTAAATAAATTTATATGCATGGTGTGTAGAAGCAAATTGAGAATGCATGCACCTTTCACACATTTTTTCCAAAAAAGGAAAACAAATAATTTGATTAATACAGATTGATAAGATAACTATTTATCCCATCTGATCTGCTGATGCTGTTGTGGAGCTTTTGTTAGTTCATTTGTAATCAGCTAAAGTCTCCCAAACTGTGGCATTTAATATGTCTCTCGTACCTTTATCACCTCAAAAACAGAGAGAAGCCGTTTTTTAATTTGCCTTATCATGTCTCATGTTTGACTCCTGAGAAAAGTGAAAGGGAAAGAGAAGATGAGTGTGTATGACAAAGGAGCTCAGACAGAGTAAAAGGATTTCCCCAACCTTATATTTGCAGAAGAATTGAACGAAAGGTAAATGACTTGCAAAGACTTTCTAGCTCTTTGGGGCCGTGTATCATTTAGCAGCAATTCCCACATGTAGTTTTACACAGCTAAGATTATTTTTATGAGAAATATTTCTGTCCCACTCTGAATTCAGATGGCATACGCTTGTCTCTCATCTGAAAGTCCCTGTAGAGAAATTTTCTGTTTTTGTAGATTTTGGTGCTCCCTGTGGACAAAATGGTACATCTTATCTTTTTTGTAGATTTTATCCTGTGCATGTTTTAGTCTGTTTTTTTTTTTTTTTCAATAAAACCGACACAAAAAATCCACACTCATCCAGTTGTGCTTTAGTTGAGAGCAAAAAATGTCAGAGGGTGTTTAATCAGTATGCTGTTGAACACTTTTTCCCAAATGTACCCTAAGATGGTGGTTCTGGGAATTCAAAATAACAAAATGACCAAAAAAAAAAAAAAAAATCTGCCATTGTGTTGCTTCTGAAGGCCACGCCGGTCTTAATGTCAAAATCTTTTTACAACCTGAAACAAACTCCTCACAGTCAAGTTTCACTGATGGATTCTTACCTGGTTCTCAAAGTACTCCCTCTCCCTTCGCGTCGCCTCATGCCTCCACATCTTCAGACACACCAGGAAACTTCCCAGATACATGGCCATGTTGATGAAGATGAAAGCTGTCCCCGCCATCTGGCCCCCTTCAACTCGGCACAGATTAGCCATAATGGGGTTAACACCTATCGTCATGTAGCACAGGCCCCCGCGGTTCAAGTCGTTCACGTAGACGATCCCGGCTGCCATGTAGAGTAGAAACATGGTCATGTTGATGAAGGCCTCTGTCAGCGGCCACCAGGGGGCGTCCAGTAGGATGGTGCGGTAATACATAGTCATACCCATTGAAAGGAGAATGAAAGTTAAAATCCAACAGATCCCAACCACTGCTACAATAAAGGGAGTCATTGGGCCTGAGTAGCTGTACCCAGACATGCCCATCCCGTAGTTGTACGCACCACTGTTGTGTCCATAGGTGTTGGACCACTCACTGTCTTTGTGAATGTAGGAGATGACACAGGCTAACGCCATGCCACCAAATAGCAGCTCAAGTCCAGCTTGGAGTCTGAGCAGCCCTGGCCAAGATTTTAAGTAAGAGTACTTCTGGTTGTAGACCTCCAGTTTTTCAGCGTAGTACTCTGCAGGGTGGATGCTGGTGAGGAGGGATTCCTCTGGATAGTCCTTATTGAACAGATCATCAGAGGGACTCTCCCGAAGCAGAGGTTTATGAGAGCTGTGGCTGGAGCTGCCAAGTGACTCAGACCAGTTTTTACGCCCCACCAAGGGGCTTACAGGGGGGCTCACCCTTGTCCCATTAGGAAGGATCTTAATCCCTCTGGTGCTGCCTTCAGAGTCATTTAAACTGTCTCTATCTGGAGTCCTGTTATGATTTGAACCCCTCCAAGACTGAGGGAGGAGAGACTTCAGCCTGTCCTTCATGGTCCCTTTTTTCTCTTTCTCTGCATCAGGTGAGCTGGCAGAGGTAGTACCGTCATCGTCGTCCTCATCTGTGTTATTATCCGGTGTGGGTGTGTGAGTCACCCACACAGGGGCTGGTGGATCACTGTTGGAGTTCCTCTTGCTGGAGGAGGACCCGACCACGCTGTCAGCCTCTTGACTCTCGAGTGTCCTGCTCCAGCTTTTCATGCTGCAGAGGGATTCTGTTGAGTCATTGAGAAAGAAGTGATCACTCAGTTCCTACGTCCCTATAGAGAGGGAGGAACTGTGGGGGGAAAGCTACCATTATTAGTCATGCTTAAAAAGCATACAAGGATAAATGCTAAATGGACAGCATTTCAGAGGCCTTCAGTGTACTTTGGATCTGGGATTCAGCCCCATATTCAGTCTTAGAATTGATAATACTATAAAGTTCTTGTGGTCATATAAAGAAAATAACTCTGACTGCACAAATGTCCCTGATTATGAGTTTCAAACTTCCATAAATCTTATACAGTAGAGAAAATGTTATGTATTCATCGTTCTATTACATGAAAACATTGTTGAATAAAAAGTGCAATAATCAGCTCGGTTTAAAAATACCTCTTTCTCTCTTTTAATTGACATCAACACACCTGAGGTATACAGAGCAAAAGTAGCATTTATTATTTGGAGTCATATTTGTGTCAGTCTTATTATGGTGAAGTCTTCTGCACTCTTCTTTCAGCTGTGTTTTCTTTCAACACCAGCACTAAGGGAGATATCTGACTCTAGAAACTAAATGCAACACCTTATTCATTAGCTAAGCTGTGATCCTCCTCAGGTAGCACTCAGTGCTTTTCCACGGTAAACAGGTGAAACAGTTGATGAGAGGAGAGTGAATCAAAACCATAACAAGAAGCTGGAGGACATTATTCTGCAGAGGTTCAGGAAATTCAACAGTATGAGAATTATGACCTATTAATCCATTTAAACCAGGCATAAATACTTATTTACTGTGGATTAAGTTCAGTCACTCACTCTTGGTATATATTGATTGATGGAACATTTGATTCATCAGTACATAAGACATCATCAGGTACATCCTTGTTAAAAAAGACCTTACATTAAAATAACCTTTCAGTTCTATACCAGGTTGATTAAAAGTAACTCACACACAGAGTGTATTTAGATACACAGATCGTTTGTAGAACCAGTCTGAAATGGGCCTATGAGTTAGCCTATAGTTTAACATAAATAATACATTTAAATATGTAAGTTATAGCTGCCTAAACTGATCCTTTTGTTTCTGACTCACATCATCATCATCACAAGGAAATCGTCATTCAAGACTTCAAAAAAAACTTTTAGAAAATAAAATCTCTGTTTATAGATTCTGTGTAAAAAACACAGAATCTTTGTGTGAGGTCTGGATTTTCAGCATGGGAAATAATCGGGTTTGTGTTTGTAGTCTGGGTAGAATTAGGCAGTGGTGTATTTGCAGGTTTGGTGTGGGCAGGGAGAACAGTCTGTTCTGAGGACAAAATCAGACACACTGTCATAGTGCTGGGAAACATGGCCAAGATGTTCTTAGTTTCCTCTTAATGCCTCCATAGTTCACGGAAATGTAAAAATGCTCAACTACTTAAAAGTTGGCGTGTGTTCTCAAGGGCATATTGATCACTCTTCCCTCACAGGTGATAATGGATGATAATTGCTGATGGGTACAGAGATTGGTCATGGGCTGGTTTAAGCTTCAAGGGTCTGCCTAAAGATGAATTTAGAGTAAAGTGTATGAAGTTTTTCAAACAGCTGGTTGGTTACAAAAGGATTGAGAGTAATATTCGGTAGGTTTTATGTTGTATGTGTCAATCTCTCCGAAACAATGTAAATCAATACAGTGATAAAGTTGTTGTTCAGCCTTAGAAGTAAAGCAGACCCCCTACTCTATTGGAAAAAACTCAGAGGGGGAACACAATGTAACTACAGCTTCCTTTATCACTGGACCTTTCCAGGTTTGTAACACAGCTTGACTAATAACAGAAGAGGTTAAGCTGCTGTGACTCACAGCAAGCTGCTGCTCAAGCTCCTAATGCACAGCAGCAGCAGCCGTGAAGCTGTCACAGCACATTCTGGCAGTAACAAAGATATCAAAACTACAATAATACAAAAACCAAAAACTTCTCTTACCACTTTGACCGCAGTTGCACTCTTGTCAGGTAGAGGTTATATATATGAAGGACCTGTCACCCTCTGTAAAATGGCTGCCCTGTGCAGGAAGCCCACACAGTTCAAGCTCTTGACTCAGGTGACTCACTCCTGATCGTAGACACTCAGTTCCTCACATGCAGGGTGATAGGGCAATGTGTGGAGAACTGAGGGGGGAGTGAAAGCTTAAACATTAAACTTGGACCGCCCCATGAGCTGGTGGAGACTGGCACTACAAGGTTAATCTGTGTGAGTGTGTGAAGAAAGAGAGAAAGGGAGAGAAAGAGAAGCGGAAACTGTTTACATTCATAAAACAAAGAGGAGTCTGGTTCTTTAAACGGCCTTAATGCTTGCAAAAGCTCTTTAAAGTCTGAAAATTCAACAAGTGTTGGAAGAATAAAGGGTGAAAATGTTATAATCTGCTCATTTAATAACTTCAAAAACTCCCTGCATAATCATGCCTTTGCCTAGTCTGGTAATACTTCAGCATTCCAGATAACACTTTCAACTATCAAACACAGAGGCTTGTCTGCAAGATTACACTTATTTTAGAGACAAGCATGTGTTTGATATCAGCCCTATCATATCAATTACATCTCATATCTATTATCTGTGAAACACTGCTTTATCATCCTATCATTTATGAATAATTCATCGTCCTATTAGCTGTGACATGGTGAGCTGTGGTCATGAAGCGTTTGGCACTAGAGGGCAGCATGCTCCTGTGCTTCTTGCTGGGATCGCCTGCTGAGTTCTTTCGATTTGTTCTCCATTGAATTCACTGTCTCTGTCTCCTGCTTCCAGTTACCTTTGTCTGACTGCATGTAATTTTCCCAAACACAGCACACACCAACTATTATCTACACTATTATATCGTTTAGTCGTTTCAGGGTTCTTAAAAACAGAGGAAAATAGCAGCTGAATTCATATAAAAACATCCTGGTTTTGAGATATTGTAATGTTTCCAGAGCAGCAAAGTACAGCTGGTTGTTTTGATATAACGGTTCCCTCAAGCAATGACCACATGTCTTTTTTTTTCACGAGGATTTATCTCTCCATATGTGACTCCAGGAACAATTCCTGGTGTATAATGTGACGTCGCTCTGTGCCAGTGATTGTTCCAGAGCAGCGCTGATTTTCATGTAGAGAAAGCTCAGGGCAAGGACATCTGTAGTGACCCCCACCCTCCCCACCCTCTCCCTCTCTCTCTCACACACACACACAGAGTACAACATTCATAACCAATACAGTGCAGCAAACACATAATGCAGCCCACTTTCTCAAGTGAGTGTACTGAATCCCACCAGTGGCCTTGGCTTGGGGCTACCTCATCTGTCGGTGCCATGCATGTCCTCTACTGCAGGCGCAAGTCTGCTCAGCTGCAAATAATATGCAGAACAATGCAAGAGTTATGCAGGCCTTTCGGTTCTACATAAAGGAAACATGCTCCTGTATGTCAAATAATACATATGAGTATAAATATAGCCCCCTTTCGTAAAATTTCTCCTCACATAGAATAAAAAGAACATCAGCAAAGACAGATAAAAATATGTTGAAATATTCTAGTATCACTTCAGCTTGGTTGAGCTCAAAAACAAGTGCGTAAGGCTTTGAGTGAAATGCAAATGTGACACTTTCTGTTATTCATGTGTTCATAGAGCTGGGTTATATTAGCAGTATTATTATCATTACATTATGAGAGCTTGCAATAAATATGATGTAATTATGGACTATAAGTTTTGAATATAAGGAATTTATTTTTGGTTCTGTAAGCAGGTATGCTTTCTCATTTAAAGCTCCTATAAGGAGTTTTTGTCTGTGTTGACTTTGGTGCCCCCTGTGGACTAAGTGTAAATCCCTAATTTACATTAAATTCCTGATAACATTTATTAATCCTTGTGAATATTTGTTGTTGAAAATGTAACAAAGGCTGTTTCACTTTGCCTGATGTGAGCTAATGTATCTGAGTTCCCAGTCTTGACTGATATTATTCTGTTGAGCAGAGAACATATGGAAAGATACAAGCCCATACTTTACATGTGTGTATCTGAACACACATGCACACACACACTGTGGACACATGTACTCTTTCATGCATGAACTCCTTATGCATGGCTGTAGGGCTCCGAAAAGAGCTTTTCTCTCTTCCTTCATGGATTAATGAAGAAGAGGAGCTGCAGAACAGCCGCTTCCAACAGACCGACAGACCTTTATTTTTAAGCGCTCATCCTGCCTCTGATCTGCTGGAGAGAGAGAGAAGAGAGACAGAGGAAGAGAAAAGTAGAGGTGGAAAGATAAAAAGAGAAATGATTGATGCAGAAATAAATGGCTCTCATAAAAACATTTAATGGAATGAAAAAGCCCTTCACGCCCACTCCCCACCACTACAGCACTGTGCATTAAAAGAGGCCAAAAAAACCAAGATCAATACTTATTCTCTCTGATTTGCCAAAGAGTATGCCAAACCGCATTAGCTGAAAGTGATAGCAGGGGCATTAAGCATAAAGCAGCTGTTAGCCATTAGCTCCCATAGGGCAGACAGGCAGGGAAGTAAGGCCTTTAATAAATTGAATAAATTACTTTCCCTGCAGGCCACAAACTGTCCCAGAAGGATCTTTTCAAACCCTGGAAGGATCTTCAACACCCAGCCTGTAGCCTGATTCCTCCCTTGGTCCCTCTTTAGAACCAGGGTCATCTTCAGCCCTACTTCTGCTAGTTGTTTTTCCTGTGGACTGAACCTTAGTGCCCTCTAGGGGACGTCTTTGGTAATTTGATTGATTTGAACTGCTGCTTAATAAACACTCTGTTCTCTTGTGATAACTAAACCTGACACCCCTCCTGCCTGTCTTCCACCCCCACTCTGTGCCTTCTCTGTGCCCGGTGTCACAGTCAGGAATGGCTGTATGTCTTTTGACTGCAGTTTGAAGGATTGGATATTTTAGATCATTTATTTAAGATAACTTAATCATCCCAACTAACTTGACATAACTTCAAAATACTTGAGCAACTTTGCCCTGCCCCTCACTATCTGAGCTGGTGCTTCGTGCCCTGGGTCTGATAACCTGATAATAATACAGTTATAATAACTGTATGGTTAACTGACAGACATTAATAACCCACATCACACAGATTTTTTTTTTCAACTTGTGCAGCATGTATTTTTCATTTGCTCCACGTTTCAATAGTTGTGCTTGTTCTGGACTTTCGCATTTGCTTTTGAGGCTGTGTCGTTTCTGCATTTACTGTGCGTTCCCCCTAAAGAAGAGTGTTCGGTCAGTTGTAGATCATTGACCCCTGTTGGCCACTGTTGAAAGGACAGTCATGATGGATCCAATTGGTGTGATGATGCGTTCAGAACAGAATTTTTATCTTAAGGTAAAGTTTAGGCAGTCTTGACCTTTTATGTTTAAGTTACAGTAACCTTATATTTTTTCATCGGACAATATAGTAAGACAACCCTCCATGATATTGTGCACAACCTAAAAAACATTTCTTTTTAACATGCCTTCTGGCTGGAGAAATGATTCAAGTGGATTGGATCAATCCTGTTGGAGAAATGATCCAAGTGATATCCAAGATAGTGGCTAAAAAAACCCTCTGTAGTTCAGATGTCCATCTTTGACAAACGGTCATGGCCAAGCTCTTTGACTTTATTACAGGGGCTGATGGTTTTGTCAGGTTTCTTCTATGTGTTTACCAAAGATGAGGTGGATTGGATTATATCCTTAATCTTATGTTAGCCTAAGGGAAATGACAAACAATCAGACTTTTTTTGTTGGTCTAGGGGTACATAAGCCCATTGACACTAATTTTCTAGGTTGATGATGCTGGAACTGAGTTTTTTTTAAACTGTTGGCATAGTTAAATAAACTCGTGGCTTGACTTTATCACCCTTTCTGCTTTAGATGATTATATTTATAAAATAATAGGAAACAGTTGCAAACAATTGATTAAATAAACCCTGTGTAGTGCCGTTTAAAAAGACAACTAAGTTTTCATAAGTGTGACGGACAGAGGTGAGGTGAGTCAGATTGCTTGCTGACAGTGGACCCATGACTTGCAATGATCGCATTTATTTTAGGCTGCAAGCAGGATTGCAAACTGCTTGCATTAAATTTTAAAAGCAGGAATAAACATGTGTATTTTACTCATTTTGGAACCATTCAACAGGTCTATCATTGCATATTAGTAATTAAAAATGATCAATATTGTACATCAAATGACAAAAACACAAGATTTTATTCAGCTACATTGTGGTTATTTCCAGTATTTAAGATGCTAAATGGTGAAAAATGGATTTTATTCTTTTTTTTTTTTTTTTACGACCGTCTATATGGCAACATGGAGGTTGAATTATCAACTGTCAGTGCACTTGAATAACCAATCAGGGCCTGTGTTTATATGTCCAACTTTACAGCAGAAAACACAGTTAAAAGAAGAGGTAATATGACTGTCAGGTGGGTGTATTGTCCTTGTTTGCAAAGAGGCTTGAGGCCCATCTCCACTCCTGTTTTTCAGTTGACCACAAAGTCAGCATTTCAATATGGCAACTGCTGCCATTGTTAGGCTTGATAATGGCTTTGCAGGAACTAACAGATGACATTACAGAGACTACTGATACAGTCCAGCAGTAATAATGTTTCCTGGATTGTGGCGCATGTTTTGAATGATAAATTATCCTCACCATATGGAAAGAAAAAAGGTTGAATTTGATAATGCTGTACAGGAGAAAGATGCACTGCAAGACACTAAGTTCCACTTGGCCTGAATGTTTGTCAGTGTGAAGCATAAATTTGGACAAATAATGCAGGTTGCAGGTTTGCAATCACGAATCATCTTTCGAACATGAACTCACACATACTTCACTTACTTTGGTTATTCTTGTGGTTGAAATAAAACAAAGCTAACCTGCCTAGAACATTCAATTCCTGCTATACTGGATCTGATTCAAAAGTTCTGCACAATGAGACATGTTATTGGCTTATAAGTGGTCGTTGAAGCTTAAAGTTATGCTGCTTTAGACACTAAAAAGGATTTGATTTGACCATGCTGTAGTCATGTGGGAGAAAGGGAGCTGTGTATTTCCCTGCTGTGAGTCTGTGGGGTTATACAGCTACAACTAGAGGGTGACTGACTCTGCCACTCTTGGATCTGGGTCTGCTGCCAACTCCCTCCTGATTTGGCTGTAATTAACCAGGCTGAGCCTTGTTTGTGCATGTGGACATGAATAGTAGCTTGTTATTTCAGCATTAATGGCTGTGTGTGTGTGTGTGTGTGTGTATGTGTGTTTTGCATGTGTTTGTATATGTGTGTGCAGCCCATAGTTCACCTTGGAACAGCGCCTCAGCAGCTGTGTGTCCTCTGGAGCAGTGTTTATGTTTCTGTCAATACATCCTCCTGTAATCATGTTTTAGAATGTCCCCGCCTCACAATTTTACAGGAAGAGACGTGTGATGTCTGTATCCGTCAACACATGTGCCAACCAACCTCTCAGTGTCACACTTGGCTCAGGGTGGCTGCCTTTCCTTTGTCCTTCGGGTGGACCTTATGAGAAGGAGTTTCAGATTGGAGGACACGCTTTGGCAGGAGTTTGGACTGCCATTTTGTTGATTTAATGGGGCAAAATTATAAGAAGTTAGTCTAGAGCTGCCAGAAAGAAGGAGAAAAAAAGAGAGTTGTGTTCATAGCTGAAGATAGTCTTTAATGATTGGACCTTGGTGTCTCTCCTTGCTAGGACAAAAGTTCACCTGCAAAATGAAGGAACAGCAACAGCATACAGAGAACATGTTTAACCCATTTGCCATCCATTAAAAGTTGGTTTATTCCAGTGCTACTACGTACATTATGCATCATGTGGCAGTGTACACAGAACAATGACTGGGGTACATCTCTTGAAGGGGTTTTCACTTTGTTTTTGTTCTGTAGAAATGTGGTCTGATTCCTGCTCTATGAGGAAAGCCTACTTTTCAGGATAATCAAAAAAATCAGGGACTCATCTACCATCATTGCTATTACATCATGAGTTTCCCTCACTTCACTACAAAATACTTTTTTTTTTTTTTACCTAATGGGGGAAAATATCGGATCACTATTAAATATTGGAATGATGTTTGGCAGGACTTTGTGTTGGTGGCAGGAAAAGAGAAAACAAACCTCTACAACAAGGTGGAAAAAACCAACAGAATCTGATCATAGCATTGAAAAAATAATCAAATTTATTCAACCCTTTGCTAGAATCTGAGGTCTTTTCTCTCATCTCTGAATTGTTTTTCGACTGCAAACTTTTAACATACTGTGCTTTGAACCCAGACACCCTCCCCCCTGTGGTTCACCATTTGTCCCGTTTACTTTGTGACATCTACAATGAGGTCATATTTACAGGACACCCTCTCTCGCTGCTAACAACCCCCCCTGGGCCAAAACGACATCTGTCAGTAAATGAGCTATCGCTCTCATTTGACTCTTTTCTCCAATCTACTCTTTCCCTCATTCCTGCTGCCAGGTGAAGGATGAAGTCCTTAACACCATCTCTCTGGGGAAGACACTCCAGCATCTGTGATACTTTGTCGTGTAACTGAATATTACACTCTGAGTGCAACTTGGAACATGACCTGGGGCTTCCCTCCTCTTTTTTTATTTGAAGCACTCAAAGGTCTTCACTGTGGGCCATTTGGGAAGCCACTTTGTAATGGGGGACCGGTGCTCTTAATGATGACAGATGACAGGCAAGAGGCTAAAAACCTTCAATGTAATGAAGAGGTGGAACCTTAGATTTGAACAGGCAGGTGAGGTTGTAATCAAGCAGATAATCTTCTATTAGCCGTCCTTACTCCTTGGATGACACTGATTGAAACAGAGACTGTAATGGCACGATGGGCCCTTTCATACTCAAAGATGGGGGAAGGACGTGGCACTGTTTGAGAAGTGGTGGGAGGTGGGGGCAGTAAAGAGACATGCTTCATCAACTCAAGCTGAAAGGAAAAAAAAGCTTGAACTCATGCTTGATTAAGTCCCACTCATAAAAAAATGAATATGTTCTTACATGAAGTGCTCTCTGGCCATGGTAAAGCCTGCATGAAAGTGGACTTGGTCACTGTCTTACTGGGTTTGCTTTAGACCTATCAAGCCCAGAGCAGAAATATTTTCACTCAGAAACTCAAATTGACCGCATCGCCTGTTTGCCTTGAAGATTTTTTTCTTTTAGCACTAACGTTTTACTAGACGCATTATTAACAAGTCAAACTGCTTTGCATGGTAGCATGCTAGCCAAGGGTGGTGCTTGTGAAAACAAGAGGTTTGGTGGATTCAGTGGGTGAAGAATAAATCTGATGTATTCAGCTAAAAAGTTTCTTGCCTCCACATTCAGGTTATTGTTGTGGGTTGGTGCCACTGAGTATGAACATCGGGGTGTTTCACTGGTTAACAGATTCTGACTTGTTTGCAGTTCGAGGCGTTTCTCAACGGTGTGGGGGATATTTGATGTTTTTTTAAAACTTTTTGCTGCAAGTGTCCATTAGGACATTTTTTCAACTTTAAACAGCTGAGCCAAAAAAACAGGCATGTTTCTCTTGCTAAACTCTTAAGTACCTTGTCGTTGGTTTTTAAAAACAGCTACTCTTCAGACTCAAAACATTTTTCTTCAAATTGAACAGTCATTAAAACTCTAGGATGTGTTAAACACCATAACTTAGATTTTAGATTTACATGTTAAGTTTTCTTCTTTTGATTTGAATGTGAATTGTTCTATAGAAAGACAAACTGGCTTGATATTGTAATGATAATTCAATAGTTGAACATTTCAGGACATATGCATACTCGCTTTCTTTTATCTCAGTCTTATATCTGTATGAAGCAAAAGCTAGCAGCTGTTTAGCCTTGCTTAGACCAAATAAAGGACCAAACTAAGCTAGCTCTGTAAATAAAGTTGATAAAAGTTGACTGTATAATGGTGCAAATCTCCAGTAACCAATAAATCATCACTTTTTCAATATTAAAAAGTTCTATGTAAAATTCAGTTGAAAGTGGCTGTGTCTGAAACATTAAACTAACAGTTTGAACTGCTTACTCGTTGCTAGCTTGATAGTTACTTTGTCGATAACAGCATACAAAGGCTAGCCTCCCATATGACTTCATCCTTTACACATCTCCAGTCTGAACTATGTTGGCAAAGCTGCTACACCGCTCAAACTATGTGCAGAATTCTACAGACATGTGCAAATGTTTGTCACAGCTATATAGTGATCAGAAAATATTTGTGACCAGTTAGAAAATGAAAACTCAGATTTGTAAGTCTCTTGCAGCTGGCTCGAGAGATTGATTGGTTCATAGAGCCTTCTTGTATGACTAGTGAGCTCTTGTCCTACACTTACAAAATCTTTCCAATCAAGTACACGTTTCCAGCGCTGATATACATAAAATTGCATGATGTGAATTCAGGTTATAACTAGTGCTGTCACAGTATTGATGGTGTTTGTCTATAATAAAGTATGAAATATTAATATCCTGCTAATGACAAGCAGAGGGTTATACTGTGAGTCCATAGCTGAGGTCCTTTACGCTGGTTCCCACACGTCATAAAACAGAGAGAAGACAAAGAAGAAGAAGCAGACTGCCTGTAAACTAGCTTGAAGCAGCTCTGAGAGATGATTCAGCACTTTTAAAAAACAAGATTATATGACTTTTCATGAATCCAAATGCAACATTGGTGTTTGTGTCTCTTCAGGTTACTAATTCATCGAACTTTTATACTTCTTAAGTGTTCTTTTGACTGTTTTCACTGTCCTTTCAAAATAAAGGTAACCTAAATGTAAGATAGGAACATTTCAAAATAAAAGCATACTGAACGGTAATTTTAGTATGCAGTCTTATCTCTCTGAGGAAGTTTCAGTCACACAGTCTAAGATGTGGATAAATCATCAATTTGAATAGAATTAGAAATAAATAACATGTGAGTTAGATGCCTCTATGGGTAAACTTTATAGAGATGTGATATTATGAACATAAATATTATACTGTTCAACCCTAGCCTTGCCTTTTCTCAATTTTTATGACGGTGCTGTTTTAAATTTAAAGTTTTTCACAAGACATGGTGATAATGATGTTACAGGATATTTTACGACCGTGATAATGGTGAGGTAAAGACCTGGTATTGTGACAGCTGTAGGTACGACATACTCAATATGATGCTTTACTTAATATGAATAGTATGATAGTTTGCAGTTTCAGACACGGCCTGCGAGGCTGCCTCCTGAGATTTCAGGAACTTTGTTTTCCAAATAAATGACAAATCATTAAATGGTCAAAATGTCCTGGACGTGACTGTCTGTTGCCCCGTGTTTCCAGTCCACATGCTAAGCAGGGCCACGCAGCTGCTAGTTGTAGGGTGACTTTATTGTGCGAAGGCATGAAGTTGGTGACATTTTCTCATCTAAGAGGTGTATTGCTGAAATATCAAAACTAGTCCTTTAATTTTTGAAGGGAAAACTAATTCATCAAAGTTTCTTTAGCACTTTTATTTGTATCCTTTCATCTTTTGAAGTAGCGATTTTCTTTACCTCATGTTTTAAACAGGGAATGCATTACAGAATCACATTACTGCAACTCTCTAGGTACTGCAACTCTAAAAACTCTAAGATCCTAGTAAAAAAAGGAGATTTTTTAGTAAAAAATAGCAAAAGAAAGGCAGCAAACAAACAAAATTAAACATGATAAAATCAAAATCAAGTAAACCATGTCAAATCATCAAGCCATTCAAGGAAGATTGTGATCCATTGTCATTTTTGCAGAGAACCATGCAAAGGGACAGGGCAAGTTTCTCAGTCGGACTGGTGATGTGAGGCTGTTTATAGCAACTGACCTCCAGCCACGTCATACTCTAAAAACCACAGGAAGCTTGAAGTAGTGGTAGTGAGGAAGGTAGACTACATATTTCATTGTTATGTGTAGAAGCTAACAGTGAGCTCTTTCCTTGACAAACATACAGACACATACTCTCACGTTTTCTCTCTGTCTCTCTGAACCTTTTCATTTTTCTAAGTGTTAGTAGAAATAGGAAAAAAAGGTTTGAAAACATTTAGAGTTGCTGTGTAATGGAGGCAATGTTATGCATTCTATTAAGACATTTTCTTTAAATTTTTGGAGAGGAATGTATCTGAAAAAGGAATGCAATGCTGTATTCAGACTGTTAACATCGTAAAAAAGCTCTGAAATTAGTAATTAAATAACCCTCTACTATTTATACATTCAGGCACTGAAAAATCACATGTCAATATGTAACTAAAAAAGATAGTCGCTCTCATTTTCCCTTGGTAAGAACAAGGAAGCTGAAACCTTGAAGTTGGCAACTGTGTAAATTTTCCCTAACCAGGAGATACGTCATTTGCATTCTTGGTCTTTCTTGGGAAAGTTCCCTCCACATTAATCTCCTTTTCATTTACTGACCTGAAGTCAGAGCTTTCACCCAAAGCTTGGAGAAAGAATCCATGACACTAGTCTCTGTAGGAACATCCAGTGGTTTGTCTCGCCCTCCTCCTCCTCATACCAGCACCTCAGCAGATGCATGTGTGGATGGATGTCCTCCATGGCCACACAGGGCCAGCAGTTGGGTCGAGGCCCTCAGCTGCACAGACCAACTTCCCCCTTCACGTTTAAGGACTCTCCGGTGTGATAGCCAGCTCTCACCCCAGCGACCCTGAACTCAGTCATTTTTAACTATACAAGGGCTTTTACAAAAAAGCTAACTTGAACAGCCATACAATGGCTAAAACATAAACCATATCTCTACTTTATCTCGGTTTTTCAGTCATTTTAACGTTTTTTTTTTTCTCTTTTTGTTGTTTTTTTTTTTTGGATGCATTTGTTTTTTCTTGTCGTCAGTCTATTTGCTTTTCTTTGTTCTTTTGGAGTAGCTCTGATCCAGTCCTGTGCTGAGATGCTCAGTCACAGAGGAATTGGTTTTTGGATTTGATGTTGTGTGGAGAGGAGGGGGATTGGGTGTGAGGCAGACCATCAGGTCAAGGATCAGGTCAGGGGTCAGGATATGGGTTCCTTAGAAGTCTCGGGATGGACTCAGCCAGCAGTTACAGTGACGGCTTTGGATGAGGTGTGGCGTTGGTTTGGTTGTTGGGGGTCAAAGGTGATTGCAAATGCTCTGTCAAGGTTATCCGCTATCAGAGGAGGTGTGTGGTGCTGTAGAGGGAGAGCGCCGCCGACGGGCGGTGGAAGTCCAGGATCGCTCCGAGCGTTCAGAGCGCTCCGAGGCTAGCGACGCGGGCCGGAAACGGTGGACAAAGCCGTCCAAGAAGTCCTGCTGCTGCTGGGTTATGGCTTGGGAGATGAGGCAAGGCAGCGCCTGCAGGCTGCCTGTCACCGAGTCCAGCTTGTCCTCCAGTGTGCCGATGCGCTTGTCCAGCTCCTCACTGCGCTCCTGCAGCTCTGACACTAAGTCGTACATCACATTCTGAGTCTAATGAAGAGGAGAAGGTAAATGTGTTCAAGAAGGAGCAAGAACAGAGAAGAAGAGGAGCAGGGTGGGGCAACAGAGAGAGAGTGGAAGAGAGAGAGAGACCAAAAAACATTTAAAATAGGTTTGTCCAAATCACAGTGTTTACATGTGATAATGACCGACATGACTCAATAACATGAACAGATAAGCAGGAGAAACAAAGACAAGGACGCATCAAGAAGAGGAGCCGTGTAGTTCCAGCGAGTCAGCAAAGATTTTATCTCCTAACCGTCTCACAGGCAGCACCTCCAGTCCATTTATAACCACAGACGCTCTTTAATGCTTTATGTATATGCCTGACACAACTCATTCATTTAATGAAAAGCACCTCCATTATTTAGGCACTTATTGTTCCAGGATGGAGCCGGTGGTGATGCTCTTTGAATCCTGTCATTCTCCTCTCAGTCTGTACATGCTATAACAAAAGAAATACATCTTTTGTATGTTCGGGTCTATTCCTTGTTTTATTTTTCTGGGAATTTCTCATGTGACAAACATTTAAACGGTCAACAGCAGAGCCCACAAAATAATTGATATTGCTTTGAGACCTCTCCACAGGGCTTACAAAAGAGACATTAAGCTGCTGAGTTACTAACTGCACAGATGCACCTGAACATGGAGCATAGTAGGAGCATGTAAACACACAATAAAGGACTCAGCTTTGGAACCTTTTAAGATACACACTGGAGTGCAAATGCCATCCACATCAAATGAGGCCGCTGTCATGTACCTCCCTTTGAACCTCCTCTCTGCTCTGCTTTGGTGGATTGGATAGAAGGCATATCAAGGCATGACAGCGTTCACCCTCTCACCCTCAAGATACTGTCTACAATGTTTAGTCAGGTTCAAGTTCCTCAAACTTTATTCTGACACTAAAGAGAAAAAGAAACGGGAATCTGGTCTGTGCTAAGTTTGATTTGATCAAATAAAAGCCTATCTGTTTTTGTCTTTTCCACAATACCTGCATTTGTAACATGTCCCTCCTGAATCAGAACAAATCCATATTGCTGTTATATATTATATTTATGTTTTCACAGGGCTAGCTGAAAGCTTGCTTAGCTTTGTCTGACTGTGTCAAAATGGCAAAATCCATGGCCATAATATCCCTCATCCAATAGTTCAAATGTTCTCATCCTGACTTTCGCAGTTCATGTTTTAGAGAGATTGCCAGCGTGCTTTCTCTTCAAACACCCATGTATTATTGACATGATGTGCTCCCATGAAAATCAACCTCCAGTCTACAGATCTTGTAGGCAGCACTTTTCTTCGCTGCGCTGAAGACAAACTGCTCTCTGGGTTTGGACATTTCCAGACATGAAGGTGTGGTGTGTTTTGTTTATCTGTAACTTCCTCATTGATTGACTGTGTCCACATTTGCATGTGTCACACTCTGTAAAATTTGTACAGACACAACAAGTCTCACTCCTCACTAATTCATTTTGCTACATTTTGTTAACCCCTGGCCTCCGAATCACTGTTTCCCATTTGCCATTTTCAGCACAGATAGTAAAACTGTCTGATGTCTCACTCCTTTGAAAGTCAGTGCCTGAAAACAATATCATGTTTTCATGCAGAGCATAAAAACATGCAGCTAATTTTTCATTGTTTTATGCTGACAGTGTCAATGAATAATAATACCTCTATTTGCTGGTCACTGAAAAGCTAACTACTGTTGCTTTTTCATGCATATGCACCATTAGCAAGCGCTAAATCATGTTAATTATGCTATTACAAAACTTGTGACAAAGTTTCTCACCCAATGACAAAAGAAAAATCATCGCAACCCACATTAGACTCTTTGAGCTGAAGGTAGACAGCAGTGATCAACATTGAATACCTGCAGTCATTTATAGCTACTCATGGACAATGCTGATGCTGGGCAAAAACAGCTAAATAGCTACTGTAATGATCAGTTTGTGCAATTTGTAGTGATTTGAAATGAGCCTCATACGGTCGCACCAAAATATATGTAGCGATTTGAAATGAGCCTCACAAGGCCGCACCAAAATAATACTGCAGCGATTGGAATTTATAATAAATGTCTGAAGATTAATAATCTCAAATTATGACATTTATGCACTCGTTAAAAGGGGCACCACCCACCCTTAATGGTGGGAAAATAAAGAAAAAAGTTTAATTCAGAAATCAAACATCAAGTCAGTTTTAATTAATCAGTCTTAATTAATCAGTCTTAATTAATCAGTCTCATATCTTAAGTCGAAATTCTAATTTCAGGGACTCCACTTCTGGAAGAACACTAACAGACAGGAACTTAGAAAAATAATGATCTGTTTATTACAGGATAAATGATGGTACAACACACATGCAATAAATGATGATAAGATAATGAAGATAGATAATAATAGGTGAATAAATCAAGATTCTGAGTCAGGCTAGGAGCACTAAAGTTAATGATAGTGAGTGAATATGCGCTAACATATTAACCTACACTAACTTTGGTGTCGAGATAAACTCGGGTGTAGATTTGGAGGAATCTAAGCTCACCAGAAATAGGTGGATATCTGAGTTATGAACGCGTGAGACAGCATCAGCCCTCTTTAGAGCTCTGGAGGTTTGCATACTTAAGTGAGACTGGTCCTTGGAGAAGATGGAGCAGGTTCCGAAGGTCCGGGCTACTGGCGGTTCGAGCGGTTCAGCTCAGAAGACGACTGAAGTCAGCCGAAGGATGAGCCAGGAGTTGCAGCACTCGGGCCCGAAGCAAAAACCAGCGCCTGTGGATCCTGTGGATGCTCGTTTGGGTACTTCTTTAGTCTCACTCAAAACTCTGGCACAGAGGATGACCTGGGCCTGTTGGATTGCGTTCGGAGGTGACTTTGAAATCACGCAGAAAACTCAGAAAAACGAGGCTCGAAGAGCAGAGAAAACTTTCAAAAATGGCTTCGCGAAATTAAAGAAAATCAATCAAAGGCTTAATCTTGAATTGCTATGTGCACAAAAAGTTGAAGTTTCAAAACTTGAACTAAGACGATGTTAAAGAAAAATCAACGTGAATCAACACGTGGCGTAAAACTTAGAAGACTAAGAAAAAGTTCTAAGAGAAAACAAAGAAACGCACCACAGAAGGGTGTGGACAGAAGAGAAGGGGCATAAGAGCCGGGGACAAGAGAGTCAGCAGAAGAGCAGAAGCATAAGAGGAATAAGAGAGAATAGAGATGGACAAGAGAGTGAGCAACCCCACTTCACTGGTTTTATCTTCTCACACTGGGTGTGTCTCCGGCGTGTGGGTGTGAGGAGACAGAGGAGGGGTCGTGTGGTCTCTGATTATTTGATCTAACTTATTCTTTTGGCTGGCAAAAGAGTCAGATCTGATACTCACTCACTATGATTAATATCATTGAATGTTTGGTTTCATGATAAATAATTTGATACTAAACACATATGAATGAAGTGTAGGATCACGTCAAACATTCTCATTATGTTTTAAGTATCACATTGAACATGCTAAATTACTCTGAAATGAAACAGATAGTAACACATGGAAACTGTGAACAACCAAAAGAGTAAATACATGTGAATGAACTTCATGATTAATAATGGATTCTAAATACTCATATTCAGATTATTCAATGACATTATAACCACCTAATGGTTAAAAACACTAAATAAACAACTAAAATATAAACCAAACATTTCTAAACTATTTCTGTTACCTAGAGTTAAGTTATGATCCATAGTCAATAAATTTAACTCTTAAAAGTTCATGAAACAGTCTGAAAAGCTGTTGGTCTAAAGAAACTAAAGAGCGATAACTCGGCTTCTGGAGCACATAGAAAAACGGGAAACATCTCATTTTAACACAAATTTCATGATTAGACAGATTAGTACATTGCTGAATGCATAAGATGTCAGGATCAGTCATTTGTATTCTTTCACCAAAGGAATGTAGTCTTTATCAGTGCATGGTCGAGCAGGGTTTTACGACCGAGGTCTGGAGGTCAGTGTCCCCCCTTATCCTAGGGACCGTATGTCCACACACTTTAAGACGCTAAATCTCAAATGGGAGATCTGGGTTAAGACGTTAATGTTTATTTAGATGGTCAGCAAATGGAGTCAGTTTGAAAGGTAATAAAAACTCTGTCTCTGTTCGCCGAACTGACCAATCCTGAAGAGTCAGAGGTTTAGTCAACCTCCGGTTGGGTCACTTATTTAACCTGAAAGTGCAAACACGTCTGGAAAGATTTATATCCTGTTTCCTGGGACCAGATAAGGAAACTTTCCTGTAAGGAATGTGTGGGTTTCACATCCAGGGTTGTCTTGATTGCTACAGTCCCCCCTTCGTCACGGTGGTCCTGTCCATGGAGCATCGGGACGACGAGTAGACAACCATGAAGCAGCAGCAGGTGTATGCAAATAGGACTGATGCGTCTCGTCATCACTATGTGAATCACTAGTACTGCTTTGAGATAAAATTAAGCATGCATTAAGCTATCAAATAAAATCGTCTAGGTGTTAGACTTTTCTCAGTTAACTATTGGTAGACTAATGTGAAAGAAAATCTCCAAATTTTCAGTATTAATGAGATTTAGAAAAGCACTCTAGTCTGAATGCTAACTGGATCTAAAGCTATAGCTGTTTTTCATGCTTGCTGGAGAAGTCTGAAAGTTCAATTTCAGTTTCAAAAATGGTTAAGACTTAGGTGGAAAAGAAATGTCTGCTATAGACATATTAACCATCTGTGTATGAGCATAGTCAACCTGAATCACAAACATCAAAAGTTTACTGCACAGAGTTTCTCTTAAACTTTGTCTGTTAAACTTGGGGATGATGCTCTTATCGGTTTGACTAATTATCTGCTGTTGAGTCTGAAATTTGTCAATCTGAGTCTTAATGACAGAAATTTCAGGTTTTAATCTATTCATGGGATATTTGACAGCTGACAAGCTGACCATATTGACAGAGGAGAGACAAATGCTAACAAAGAAAGCAGCAACTGGGATTGCAGTCATCAATGTATCACCACAGCATTTGGATATCTTATTGGAGTCATTTAGCTTTGGCTAGGTGACTTCTGCTTTCGCAGGACTCACACCTTCATGGCTCCGCAGTGTTAATCTCAGTGGTTAGCTGAGTAGTCATGTTTATTCACCTTCAAAGTGGATGAAACCGATTGAGGTGGATAATAAGATCGTCGTTTCTGAGAGTGTGATTTACTCTGATTCTGCCGGTCATTCACCCCCCTTTGGCGGTGTCGATGGTTTTTCCTTTGTCTGGGATAAAACCCATCGTGACGGGAGTCTGAATAACAACAGTTGGTCTCAAAGTTTACCTGGCATTGGTCTGTGTCAGACCTGGGCCTTGGTGTGTAACTTTGACCTTTGTGAGTTTGTTGAGGTCGAAAAGGTTTTGGAGGCCTGGTTAACCACTCATTTGGAGGCTTATCGGAGCCTGAAAATACACAGTCTGAAGCTTCGTTCAGCTCCACGGGCAGTGATTTTGTCTCCATAGCCAAGAGAGTAACGGGCTCTGCTTTCTTAGCCAAAGTTTGTCGTTGTTTGGCAAAACCTTTTACAGCAAGTTCACGAAGCTGTCGGCTAGTCAAAGTGTTTGGACAAGCTAAGACGCCAAGGTGATGACTGGTGGTAGGGTGGAGGTTCTGGACGAACAGCGTTTTGAAGTTCAAGTCCTCCTCCATTTCTGGTTCATTTCGGAAACCAAAGTAAGCTTCGCGTAAGCGGTTGTAATACTGTTGGGGAGATTCTGATCTCCCTTGTTTGACAGACAGAGCAGCAGAAAGGCCTGTCTGGGTCAAATGGTCAGAAAACTCTTCGATTAATGCTTGGCAGAGCAAGTCATAATTATTTCTGACATGATAAGGCTGTCGTTCAAGGAAACTGCTAACCTCTCGACTTGACGTCGCCTTAATAAGGTAGATTTTGTCATCAATGGTTGCACCTGGAAATTTCCTCAGGTAAAAGTCAATGTCTTTCAAGTAGGTGCAGGTGTCAGTAGCACCTTGGTGCTCAGGTTCAAAGCGTGCTATGATGCGAGCAATTTTGTCAAGATCCCTGTCTGAGGGAAATGGTAAGAAGCCATCATGAGGAGGAGAGTAGGACTCTTGGTTTAAGGATGACCTCTCAGGGTCAAGCAGGGTCCTGTCATGATGCTGAGAGAGATACTTAAGAGTTGGTTTGGAAGGAAGTGATGGCGCTCTCTCAGGAGGCTGATCACCTATCATTTCTTCAAGAAACGTTTGCTTCATGCGTTCTCTTTGGGCTCGACCTGACTGGAGGGAGCATTGTAACTCTCTTTGGGCATCTTCAAGTTCTTTGTCTGTCTTTTCTCGCTGTTCTTGACAAAGAATTAACTGTCTTTGAGCTATCTGGAGCTGGTGCTGTAAGGTAGAAGTTTGCTTCTCCTTAACTTCAAGAGCTTCAGCACGCACTTTGACCAGTGCTTTCAAAGCTTCTACATCTTCTGTTGCTTGCTCTAGTAGGGATTCTGACTATATCAGATCCTCTATGGTCTTAGCAAGCTGCTTATTCGTGTCATCAAGTTCTTTCTCCTTTTTGTAAAGGGTTTCATTAAGTCTTTCAATCTTGTCTTTGAGATCAAGATTTTCTTCATGACTTATCAGTGAGGGAAGCTTTGACGCTTCACATCTGGCACTGTGTTTTTCTAAAACACTTAGAGACTTCTTAGTCTCCTCTAGCGTCTTTTTCAGTGCGCTGTTTTCTTCTTTTTGCGCCTTTATCTTTGCTAAAGCGCATTCCAGCAAGTAGTCTTTATACTCAAGCTGAGAAGACATCACGACAGACATGCATCTTGTGAGCTCTTTGTCACGAAGTGTCGTGGTTAAGGCTGTTTCCAGTAAGTCAGCCATTTCATCCTCCGGATTGGAGGGTTTGGCCTTTTGAATCTTAGTCATGTACTGAGGTATCAGCTGACTAGTCAAATTTGCTAACACTGTGTGTATGTCCCTCAGGGGGTCTCCCTGGCTGGACTCTTTTATGTTAGGCATGTTTGGTTTTGGTAAAGAGGTGCAGGTGGTTGGTTGATGAGTTTGAGTTGACTTAAACTGAAAGGAAGAAGCAAAATATCAAATTAAGTGGGTTAATCGACTTAATTTATCAGTGCTTGATAAAGAGGAAGAGCCTATCTGAGTAGATCTCTAATGGAGAGAAAAATAACATAAAGTTAAATTCATTTCAATGAAAATTGAAAACAAAAGGTGAAATAATGTTAAATTAAATTTAACATCAGATACAGAACCATTGAATAAAGGGTTCAGTTTGTCTCCGTGTTGCAGAGATCAGCAAAGCTTAAATAAACTGCCTGGTGCAGTTGGATGAATTGGCAAAATCGATGAAATTGTCAATTTAAGGAATTAACTCTGAAGTTAATTCACAAATTGCAATAAATCCAAAGGTTCGAATACCAAATCTATCTGGAATGTTAAAAGAAATTTGAAATATTAATTAATTTGTTCGTTAATTAATTAATCTTATGAGTAGGGTTAATACATTCATGTATTATAGGGAACAGTAAAACTGCTCACTGGTGTGATAAGTAACAACAGATCAGGTGATTGATTCAAGGAGTTACTTCATCAATACATCAAAATCAATGATCAGTGATTTAGAATAAGCACATCAAACTTCATCAACCAAGTCAATCACTTGAGTTATGTCTGTAGAGTGTTACACACTGACTACAGGGAGGCAGTACAGCTGGCTGATACTGCAGGCAGATAATAGCAGTGTTAGCTCAATACCAAAAGCAACCATGTGGGGCAGTATGGAGTTGGGAGAACTGCACAAGCTCAACACAAGTGGAGAAGAAGAAGAGAAGAGGAAACAGTCATCCAACTAGCCTCTTGTGGCTGTGAGGAGTTGGGAAGTATGAAGAAAGGGGCCTTTAGGCTCTGCCTCCTCGAAGGGCCTTATCTGCTTAAGGCCAAATGGTCAGTCTCTCCACTGACAACAAAGGGTTAACATTTCACAGCAGCTGTGTCTGCACCCTCAAACATAGAACTTTACACCATCTGCTCAGGCAGATTGGTTCAATAAAATCATTTACAGGAACAAGAATCAAAGTGACAAATTCTTAAACAGCAGATTCAACTGCAGACTTTAAAATCACAAATGCGGCGATTTGTGATCACAAATTTTGTCTTAATTCAATCAAACAACAACCTCCCACTGTTACAGTGGTTTCCTGTGACAGGTAGTTAATCTGTCAGGGGAAAGGAGGAAATCTGAATCCCATATAATTACTAGAACTTCGTAGCAGACTATAGAGACAAGAATCAAAGTGACAAATCCCTCAATAGCAGATTCAACTGCAAACTTAAAAATCACAAATGCGGCGATTTGTGAACACAAATTTTGTCTGAATTCGATCAAACAACAACCTCCCACTGTTACAGTGGTTTCCTGTGACAGGTAGTTAATCTGTCAGGGGAAAGGAGGAAATCTGAATCCCATATAGTTACTAGAACTTCGTAGCAGACTATAGAGACAAGAATCAAAGTGACAAATCCCTCAACAGCAGATTCAACTGCAGACTTAAAAAAAAAAAATCACAAATGTGGCGATTTGTGATCACAAATTTTGTCTGAATTCAATCAAACAACAACCTCCCACTGTTACAGTGGTTTCCTGTGACAGATAGCTAATCTGTCAGGGGAAAGGAGGAAAATCTGAATCCCATATAGTTACTAGAACCTCGTAGCAGACTACAGAGACTTCAGGGGCTTGAAACCACAGCTCGGAGCATCGCGAACACTGGGTTCAGCCAAAGGCCTTAAATACAAGCGTACAGCGACGCAACAATCGTGCACTTAAATATTGGACAGTCTAGACAGAGCAGAAGAGTCAGTCTCACTGCTACTCAGAACAACATTTCACGCTGTCCAGCTCAAACACAGACTACAGGCATGTAGTACAAGAGTGTGTAAAACACAGAGCATAAAGGTTTTATGCATAGATCAGGAAAACATCAGAACTTAGTCAAGCAACTTCAGCAAGCATAGCATTGATTGTGATTAAGTCTAAAATAGCCTGGAAATAAGTTTCTCTCATCAATTTGGAAGGCTAAGTTTTAGGTTGTCTGTTAGTATCCAGAAGTTTTGTTTGAAACGCCTCACGCAGGGGCTCCAAAATATATGTAGCGATTTGAAATGAGCCTCACAAGGCCGCACCAAAATAATACTGCAGCGATTGGAATTTATAATAAATGTCTGAAGATTAATAATCTCAAATTATGACATTTATGCACTCGTTAAAAGGGGCACCACCCACCCTTAATGGTGGGAAAATAAAGAAAAAAGTTTAATTCAGAAATCAAACATCAAGTCAGTTTTAATTAATCAGTCTTAATTAATCAGTCTTAATTAATCAGTCTCATATCTTAAGTCGAAATTCTAATTTCAGGGACTCCACTTCTGGAAGAACACTAACAGACAGGAACTTAGAAAAATAATGATCTGTTTATTACAGGATAAATGATGGTACAACACACATGCAATAAATGATGATAAGATAATGAAGATAGATAATAATAGGTGAATAAATCAAGATTCTGAGTCAGGCTAGGAGCACTAAAGTTAATGATAGTGAGTGAATATGCGCTAACATATTAACCTACACTAACTTTGGTGTCGAGATAAACTCGGGTGTAGATTTGGAGGAATCTAAGCTCACCAGAAATAGGTGGATATCTGAGTTATGAACGCGTGAGACAGCATCAGCCCTCTTTAGAGCTCTGGAGGTTTGCATACTTAAGTGAGACTGGTCCTTGGAGAAGATGGAGCAGGTTCCGAAGGTCCGGGCTACTGGCGGTTCGAGCGGTTCAGCTCAGAAGACGACTGAAGTCAGCCGAAGGATGAGCCAGGAGTTGCAGCACTCGGGCCCGAAGCAAAAACCAGCGCCTGTGGATCCTGTGGATGCTCGTTTGGGTACTTCTTTAGTCTCACTCAAAACTCTGGCACAGAGGATGACCTGGGCCTGTTGGATTGCGTTCGGAGGTGACTTTGAAATCACGCAGAAAACTCAGAAAAACGAGGCTCGAAGAGCAGAGAAAACTTTCAAAAATGGCTTCGCGAAATTAAAGAAAATCAATCAAAGGCTTAATCTTGAATTGCTATGTGCACAAAAAGTTGAAGTTTCAAAACTTGAACTAAGACGATGTTAAAGAAAAATCAACGTGAATCAACACGTGGCGTAAAACTTAGAAGACTAAGAAAAAGTTCTAAGAGAAAACAAAGAAACGCACCACAGAAGGGTGTGGACAGAAGAGAAGGGGCATAAGAGCCGGGGACAAGAGAGTCAGCAGAAGAGCAGAAGCATAAGAGAGTAAGAGAGAATAGAGATGGACAAGAGAGTGAGCAACCCCACTTCACTGGTTTTATCTTCTCACACTGGGTGTGTCTCCGGCGTGTGGGTGTGAGGAGACAGAGGAGGGGTCGTGTGGTCTCTGATTATTTGATCTAACTTATTCTTTTGGCTGGCAAAAGAGTCAGATCTGATACTCACTCACTATGATTAATATCATTGAATGTTTGGTTTCATGATAAATAATTTGATACTAAACACATATGAATGAAGTGTAGGATCACGTCAAACATTCTCATTATGTTTTAAGTATCACATTGAACATGCTAAATTACTCTGAAATGAAACAGATAGTAACACATGGAAACTGTGAACAACCAAAAGAGTAAATACATGTGAATGAACTTCATGATTAATAATGGATTCTAAATACTCATATTCAGATTATTCAATGACATTATAACCACCTAATGGTTAAAAACACTAAATAAACAACTAAAATATAAACCAAACATTTCTAAACTATTTCTGTTACCTAGAGTTAAGTTATGATCCATAGTCAATAAATTTAACTCTTAAAAGTTCATGAAACAGTCTGAAAAGCTGTTGGTCTAAAGAAACTAAAGAGCGATAACTCGGCTTCTGGAGCACATAGAAAAACGGGAAACATCTCATTTTAACACAAATTTCATGATTAGACAGATTAGTACATTGCTGAATGCATAAGATGTCAGGATCAGTCATTTGTATTCTTTCACCAAAGGAATGTAGTCTTTATCAGTGTATGGTCGAGCAGGGTTTTACGACCGAGGTCTGGAGGTCAGTGTCCCCCCTTATCCTAGGGACCGTATGTCCACACACTTTAAGACGCTAAATCTCAAATGGGAGATCTGGGTTAAGACGTTAATGTTTATTTAGATGGTCAGCAAATGGAGTCAGTTTGAAAGGTAATAAAAACTCTGTCTCTGTTCTCCGAATTGACCAATCGTGAAGAGTCGGAGGTTTAGTCAACCTCCGGTTGGGTCACTTATTTAACCTGAAAGTGCAAACACGTCTGGAAAGATTTATATCCTGTTTCCTGGGACCAGATAAGGAAACTTTCCTGTAAGGAATGTGTGGGTTTCACATCCAGGGTTGTCTTGATTGCTACAAATTAATCACTTTTTTTTTAAGCTTGACCAAAGTCAAACTCCAAATCAAGAGAGTATAGACACAATTCAATGAAAATATTTTCAAGCCAAAATAAAACTAATTTCTATGCCTGTGATGCACCGTGGGACATGGTTGGAGCACTTTTTTGGATTTGTTTTTTTCCAGTAGATTTTCACTCTCTGTGACACATCAGATTTTAGGTAATTTTCTATTTGTTTTTCGTTTGGTCACTGTCTTAGCCCAACTAAATATGAAAAACAAAATAGGCAAAGGGAAAATGTTCCTTTGTAAGTTATTAATCTGAAATCATTTATTGACTATATCCACATCAAACAGGACTTTTACCTTTGCCAGGTCCACCAAGGTGTTGGCCTGATCGTTGAGTTTCCTCTGCTCCATCTTCACACTGCGCAGTCTGGTGGAGGCACGGAGAGGTGGGGACAGGAGGGGGGGAGTGGGGAAGTAAGGGAGGAAAGGGGAGGAGGAGAAGAGTGGGAATAAGGGAATATAAAAGGAGGAGGAGGAGGAGGAGGAGGGTGGTTTGCAAGAGAGAGAGAGGATGAGGGAGAGAAAGAGAAAGAGAGAGAGGTTGTCAAGAGATATGAGGGGGCAGGGAGGGCCAAAGGGAAGACGGGAGGAGGAGGAGGGACAACAACACATTTTTTTATCAGGCCTGCTCTCTCAGCGATGACATTGAGAAGAGAGAGGACAGCCTGCATGCATTGAAAATATGTACTTAATACACTCATATATATACATATATAGACAAATATATATACGTATATATATATTTAAGCATTCCTGGTCTTGGTCAATGCAATTCCAACCAAAACATGCAAATGTGGAAGCATACTACGCTCGTTCAAAACAGCACGTGTGATCTTGTCTTACTGAACTCTTTTCTTCTTTTTGACATTAAGTGTTGAAGTAGCATTTTTACTGCAGTACTTTCACTGCGACTCAACAGAGCCTTGAGACTTGTTTTAACCATTTTTTAAGAATAAAGATTCAAAATGTGACACATGCCAGATTACACAAACCATTTACATTACGAAGACAAGTTTTTCCAGCTAGAATGCAATATGCTTCCAGAAAATAACTCCTTCAAATTCATGTTTCAAATCAAAACATTCCCATTAGTCTCCACTCAAAATTAAGATGTTGAAAAAGGAAAAAGATGACATGCCCTTTATCAGTGGCAGGACTTCATATAAACACACTGGTCATTCAGTAAGCGTGCAGTGACTGTGAGTGACTGTGCACAATGAAACGCTGGATTTTGTGTGTGTGTGTTGGGTATGTGTTTGTGTGTATGCTCATGGGCTGGGATGTGTGTATGTGTGTGAGAGGATGCCACAGATAAAAGATGCCATAAATAAATTGTCTGATGACACTGCTGCACATACAGCAACATAGACATTTGAAATAACTTGCGTAGTGATACATGAGACATGTTTTGTGATGCCTTTGTGCCTCTTTATCTCTAATCAAATACATTATGGCAACGCCAGAGCTGCTTACGCTGATGTGAATAATGTGTCATTGTTAGCGGTGGCATCACACAGCCATCATCTGGATGTTTGAGAGGAAGAAGTTCCCTGTTCGGCAAATTATGAGACAGGATGACATTCAAGGGCATTTATTCATGTGCAAATCAGTATATCAGAGCAGAGTGAGACTGCTCGCTTACGGCTCTATCTCTGCGTGAAGCCGTTTCAGCCCGTATGTGTCTGTTTGCTCGGCTTTGTCGTCCCTTATGGCTGTCCAAGAATGGGGGCCAAATGCTACAAGCGCGACTTATTAGTATGACACATTAGGGGTACAAATGTATTGTACGAAATGTCAACCAACTGTATTGTGTTTACACCTTCTCTACGAATCTGTGGGCTTTCCTTGATTGTTGTGGCATTGAATGCCTGATTCTGAAGCAGTTTAAAGAATAATGCAGTTCTGAAGCATTTATTAAAACCATATCATCGCTGTAATACATAAATACTTAAAAATAGTTTGCCCTGCCAAAAACATGCTTTATTTAAAGATAAACAGCTGCACCTGGTAAGGTGTGTCTTTTTACCATCACAGTTTTTTAGTCAAGGCGGCTTTTAAGTGAGTTTATTAATATCGTCTGCCGAAAGTTATCCTAGTACTTGATGATTCTGGTAACTAATGGGAAGTGTCAGCTGAGTGAAGGCCCTGAGTGTTCAGCTTTAGTTACGCATGTACAGTATAGTGAAGTAAAGTCTTGGCTGACAGCTTGTAGTAGATGTTGAAATTTCTGTTTCAATGGTTACTAAAGCCAAGACTGTACAAAACAAAATAGATGACCAAACTACATCTGAAAAGTGAAGTCAAAATATCCAGAGCTCCCCCTGGTGACTGACTGCAGTATAGGTTTTGAGGCCCACCTCCTGCTCAGGATTTTCTGTCAGTGTTTGAGACCGCTATAAATAGGAGACTTCAGAGCTGAAAATTACTAACAATCTCCTAATAGCCTCAGACACTGGTTGCTTTAGTTGTTTTTATGTCTTTTCTGAATCTCCCTACATCTTCTTTTCCAAGTCAACACGGTCATGGGAGATGACTTTCTAACGTGGGTCTGGTTCTGCTCAAGAGTTCTACCTGCTAAAGGAAGCTTTCTCTTGCCGTGAATGCTGCAAAGTGCTTTGTTTATGTTGTATTGAGATAGGATAAGACTGGATATTAAATTGTCTGGATCTTGGTGTAATTGTAAATAATATTACAAGGAGTGTGGTCTATTCAATAAAGACTGTTTAAAAATCATTAAAAAGTGTGACAATTATTTTTAATTGAAGATCTATTCACTTAATAAATATTTTATATGGGGCACCAGTTGGGCTTGGTTGGAGGATCTGCTGGTTGTAGACTTTGGGGGCTCTATTTTCGTGCCTCGCCGGCGACGCAGTGCATGCGCGGCATAAGTCAGGTCCGTCGCGCCGACAAGGCGTTTCCAAGCACAATTTGGTATTTTGGTGAGCAGAGCAGCCCGGCGTAAGTATCCCCCCTCCCTAACTCAGCTCCTCCCAGCAGCATTAGTCGTAGCGAGGGAGGAGAGAGGGCGTGGAGTCGGTTTAACACAGCCAAGACCAGTTTTCACCAATAACATAAGCTCCTCTCCTTGCCACCGGCGAGGCGTATTACTATTTTCGTGAAGTAGTCAAATAGATCAAGAGATGTCTGAAGACAGCAATGCCACACGATGGCGACAGAAGGCAGCCCCTCAACAAATGTTGCTGTAAGCGCTGCATTGGGCGTCCTCCACACTGTCTCATATGAGCACAGATGGATTTGGTGTGAGTAATGTTGGAGCCACTGGTAAGACAAACACCCTTTTCCACAAATAAAGACCCTCACGTGACAAAGGTGGGTTGAGCGCACAGATCACAACATAAACTTTAAAAATGGCATTACAATCTGAACCATCTGTGTGTAAATGACGCGTCGCACTCCGTGGCCTGGCTCTTTCTTTCATAGATGTTTGCATATAAAATAAATTTGACTCACAAAACTGAATATTATGTTATTCGTATGTCGGCTTAAAGTAAATAACTCATCTGAGCACTGAAACAAATCATCTGTTCAGCCGCCGCAGCAGCAGCTGCAGCAGGACGAGGAGAGGACACAGAGACATGTCCAGATCAAGCTGCGCGAGGAATAAGAGGAAGAGGAAGAAGGAAAAGGAGGGAGACGAATTGAATATCTTGTTAACTTCATCATGTGTGTTTATTTACTAGATATTTAATTTAATTTGATGCGGTTTCAGCTGTGTTGATTCGGTCAGGTCGTGTGTCTAAACGCGTGCCAAACGCGCTCATCAGATCAGATATAGATCAGAATATATTGATATAGATCTAAATGTATGTGCTGACTCAGACTAATAGTTGTTGATGATTATTTATTGCACTGAAATGTGCCTGACACTGTGGAAACCTGCCGGTGAGGCATCGGTGACGTATGCCGATACGCCGCCGGTCTACCAAAATACTACTAGACCAGCTGCGCTCCGCTTGCGCTGAAAGCTGACCAGGTTTGAATTGGCGAGCTTTCAGCGCACTTTATACGCCGGTGCCGAGCACGAAAATGTCACTGCGCCAGCTGATTCTGTCGACGCCACGCCACCACGCCCAGCTTGGCGGACCTCGGTGCGCCTCAGTCCACGAAAATACCAAACTGGCTGTACGCCGGGCTCCGCCAGACGAAAATACAACTGCCCGGGGTCCGCAACCGACAGACATGAAAATAGAGCCCGAGGTCTCAGCAGAATTTGGTACATGTTGTCTTCCTTCACCCACCTCACACATTTCTAATCTCTCTCAAGCTAACCCATCAAAGTGGGGAATAAATAAATACATCAATAAAATAAATAACCCTTTTTACTTCCTGTATTCTTCAGATATTCAGTGCTATAAGCAGATCATGGGGTAGCCAGGTGAGTGACACATTCGTAGGCAGCTGTAGTTGTTGGACATAGTTGGGTAAACTTGCGTCGACTGCTGCGATCATGAATTTCTGAGGAAACTGTTTGGCTGTTGTTTGCTGATATAAGAGGAAACATTTAGACCCAAACATGACAATAGCAAAGTCTTAGTGTGTTCATGTCATCACAAAACCATCGGGAGTGTAAGATGAGGTTAATATAGCCTCCAGAGCAGCTATATTAATCATGGGCAACACTGTGCAGTACATTGTAGATGATTATGAACCTCTGGCAAGGCCATACAAGCTCCAAGCTCATTCTGTGCAGGATGCTTTTCCTTTCACACGTTCTCTCCAAACAAACCCTCCACTAGTGACACCGGTGGCAAAATGTTGATGCTTATTTTTAGTCTCATTCCATTCAAAGGGAGGATGGGAGGGAGAGGGGAGTCGATGGAAACACTTAAGTAAAAGAAAAACCAAAAACAATCCAGCATCCAGAGTTTTTTCTCTCTCTCTCTTTTTTTTTTTTTAATAAACGCTTTTTCATGCATGTCAAACGTAGACATGAAGAGGAGGAGGAGGAGGAGGAAGGATGTTGAGGAAACAGTAGGAGGAGGATACATAGAAGACTCAACTTACTTCTGAGCTCTGCGGTGATAGAGCAAAACAAAGACAGAACACAGTACAGAGTTTTAACCCCACAACATTCACGAAACGAGTGAAACCATTACACTTGTCACTGTAAGCACGGGGTCAAAAGGGGGGAGGGGGGGTCGGAGGGAGAGGGGGAGGGGGAAGGGGGAGGAAGGATCATTACACTAGATTGCAGTGAGAGTTTATGTGTTTGTTTGTTTGTGTATACATGTGTGGAAGTGTAAGAGTTTACGTGTGTAGGCTGAACAAAATCAGAGTCACCTGTAGTCTAGAAGAGGATATACTGTAATCACAAGCTGGACTGATTATACCAAAGATTCTCATTTCATCAGTTTATCAGCAATATAAACAACACATCTGAAACAGTCTATCACATGGACTGAGTATCATTCATAGGACTTGCCCTGAAGAGTTAATGATTCAAGTCAGTTGAAGAAAACTCCCTCCGTTGACTCACATTTTGTCAGTAGAATCTTAAGACGTTTGAGCTTTATTAATGGAAATGCAGAGAAGGGTGAGGAACTTTGATCAGGATCTAATCTAGTGTCACTCAACTAAAGAAGTCCTGTCCGACCTAAAATACACGGACCCCATGATTTAATACCATAAAAATACTGAGCAAGACAAAGTCATGATAAAAAACAGAATCTGAGGTTTAAGCTACGATGTAACTGTTTTTTCTGTTTGTGCTTAGCTTTGGGTGGGGGGGGGGGGGTTAGGATTCTTGAAAGAAAGTTCACCAAATATTGCCAAGAAGTTTAATCTAGAAAATTTAAATAATAAGTTGAACAATAATCATCACTTCCATGCTCTTTGAGTCCAACTAGCTTAGCTGTAGCTAGCCTCATGCTGCGTTTGAGTTGCATTGGAAGTCAGAAGTCCGAGCTTGGACTGACGCCACACCCAAGTTACCAGCGTTTCAGTTACCAAGTAAGAAGAAGGTAAAATTGGAGGCGGAAACAAGATGGCTACATCTACAAAAGTTATTTTAGCGCTTGCCTTGTCCAAATATAAGCAAGGACTAGGCAAGGGCTAAAATAACTTTGGTAGCTACACCCATCTTGTTTCCGCCTCCAATTTTGTTTTTTTTTTCCGACTTGGTAACTGAAACGCTGGTAACTTGGTGTGACGTCATTTTCAGCTCAGACATCTGACTTCTGAGTCAACTCGAACGCAGCATAAGCTTAGCTTGTTGTTTTTATTGATCAGTATTCAATGATTTAATCCTCATCTGGTGGAAAACAAAGTGAAAATCAAAGGTGACAAGACCTAAAACTTTAAACTTGAGATGTTTTCATCTCAGCACCAAAATGGGGAACAAGTTGGTTAATGTGAGACACTGATAGGGGAGGCAAAAAATTGGGGCGTATATTTGTAGTTTTGTAGTCTACTGTCCAGTCTGATTAAACTGACAAATTAGTGAGTCAGATACAGTGTCAGACCTGTTTTTCATTATCACACTGGTGTTTAAGTTTAATCGAGTTTCCACCCTCATATTTCTGTCAGAAATACAAGTGAAGCAGGACTTACTGGTGAATGGCTTGGAGAAACTTGCGCTGGTGTTTCCGCACCTTGGCGTGATCTATCTTCTTGACCAACTTAGTGTGTTTGTAGATGAGCCATGTTTCCCTGAGTACATTGGCAGCTGTGTTCTTTACCTGTAAATCAAGGTTGAGACAGACAATTGAGACTTATTAATTGGTTGTTTTAGTCATCCCTGATTAGATAAACTGTGGAAAGTTTAACTATTTGACAAAAAAAAGCCAGAGGAATCTGCATATGTTGGGCACTGTTTCAAACCAAGGTTTACTTTTTAAAGGGTAGTCAGACTAACAAAAAGTTACATTGTGTGATTAATTAGCTTCAATAATTTCAGGGAATGAATATATATGGAAAAATAAAACCACACAGATTGGTTCTCAGCAAGAAGCAATCAAAAGCTGACAGTAAATGATCAAGTCCATTGAACAAACAGAGTTCAAACCGGTGATCAGATTGTCGGATAAATCTAAAAACCAACTGATGAAATGAAAAGGCTTTTTTTAGTACATTTTCTTCTTTGTGGGTTTGTTTGACCTTCTGTCTGACCTCCCATTTTAGCCTCAGTGTCAGTGTGAGTAGTCTAGTTTAATTGAGTTTAAGTCATTTTAGTGCAGTCTTTAACTGTTCATCCATTCATGTTACACTCTGGCCTTCAGAATAAAAGAGTTCACTAATCAACATATTTGAACTATGCTGTTTTATGAAACAGCGCCATACAGTAAAATAGCTTTAGCTCAGCACACTGTTGTCGGCTGTGACTCACTCGTTTGCAGAGTTGTGTGTCCATCATGAAGTTGTGGACATGCTTCTCAGCCTTGGTCAGCTCCAGTTTCCTGGCCACCACTGCGACCACCAGAGCAGTGCAACCAGCTCCCTGCAGCACAAAGATGAAGACAGACAACACGGCAACATTCGGTAAATAGTTTCAGTTCAAACACCTGGTTCAAAGATAATCTGTTACCAACTCGCATGAACTTTTGTTTAAAGTTAATAAGCAACAAGATAAATATCAAACATGTTTTAGATAATGATGGCAGTCAGAGTTGTCCTATGAGAACGTCATCTGATGTATTTTTAGCACAAAGTAACCCACCATTATCCCTGTAAGCAGGCACACGCCCTTCCCGCAGTACGTGTTTGGTACCATGTCCCCGTAGCCGATGGAGAGGAAGGTGATCGAGATGAGCCACATGGCTCCCAGGAAGTTACTGGTCACTCCCTGTTTGTCATGATACCTGAAGTGATGAAGAGAAGCAGAGGCAGGATACACACAGTCAGTAAAACTGCACACAGCTTCTTGAAGGTGAGCATGCTGGAAGATGACGTGGAGCTTTGTGAACCAAACAGGGGTGGTGGGTGGAGAAGGTGGAGGTGGAGAAAATTGAGGAGGAGTAGGAGGAGGAGGAGGAAAATCATGACACATGGTTTTAAACTGGTTTTGTAAAGCCAGTCGGATAAATGTCAATTCTACAGAACAGAAATTAAGTTATTGCAATGGATTTGCAAGAGACCCTGTAATTCAATTCTACTTTTATTTTGTTTGGAGACAGTTTAATGGAGGAAAATGTTTAATGGGAGGGAAACTTAGACTGACATGGAGGCAGAACAAAGCAAATAGTGTCAGTTTTTTTTAAGGAAATTGATGGGATGATTTCAAACTGAGACAGCGAAACCACTGAGCATCATGTTCAGTGTCCGTTAGTATACAAATTAACCCTTTAGTGAGAGGACAGTGATTTAAAAAAAGGCCAAATCAGTAAGTCTTTCTGCACATTTGCATAGAAATAACATTTTTAGACAACATATTTCCAGGACAAAGAGATGGACCACATCGCTGTGAGTGACCGAGTACCCCAGGCCAAACTAGATTTTAATATGACAGTCCGACAAATGGAATATCCAAACATCCAAAAATGCTGCTTTAAATCAAACTAACAATTGGCTTATTGGCCACAGTTTGCTGTAAATCCTCCTCCATTGAGTTTATTCTTTCAGGCCCCCTTAAAAAAAAAAAGGTCTGGCAATGCAAATCATCACTTCAAACATGTTTGCTGAAAATAGCTGACAGCCATGCTTGAATTGACAGTCCAAAGTCCCACAGTGCTTATGCAAAAATATTTAAAACACACACACTACAAAGCTGGATTGATGATGACATTCCCATACCTTTTTAGACAAAAACAAAAAGTCCATCACAGAGGCGAATCTGCCTCATCCACCCACCCCCATTCAGCTCGCCTCATTATTCCCAATGGGCTGTCTAGGAGGAGATCAGATAAGATTTAATTTTGGAGTTAAAATCAAAGATTCATTAGACACTTTGAGACAACATCTTGCAAGGATTCTTTTGATAAGACAACACAGACAGAGGCTTATTTCTTGGGATTTTGTTAGCGCTTTTTCCAAAGGGAGCTCTGACTGGGCCAATCGTTAATAGCCTGAGACTTACAGCTACTTAGCAGTGACCAAACTTATTGACTAAATGAGGAATTTTCTTCACTTTCTTTCCAAAAAAACTGATTTGTAGAAGCACAAATGCAAACTCCTCCTCCTCCTCCTCTTCCTCCAAGACAGTTCATTGTCATTGAATATCATAAGTCGACTAATCATGCCTTCTGCAGTTCTTAAAAGTCTCACTCTCAAAATTTCTATTCATGCTCAACCTCAGTGGGAAAAATAGCTATGAGCACTTCTTTTTCCTGTGACAAAAAGTGTGCGTTTTGTGGGATTCAAGCCTCTTTAATGACATGCAGAGAAGCAGTCTGTATAACACCATGCAGGAAAGAAGATGTCTGCATCATGCATGTTTCAAAGCCAGTATATTGAGAGCGGGGGGCGGGGAGCGATGGGGAAAAACCTGGGCTTCTTTTTTCGAGATGAAAACCACCTGTGACAGATACTGCAGCACTGTCAGGTGGAGGGGGGGATCGTACGTCTTCTCGGACAGGCCTTCATTTGTAAACAGCAGAGCAGGATTGGATGAGTAACAAAGGAAGAAGCTCATTGAATTTGACACCCCTGTCTCTTTTACCTGCATCCCAACACTGCAGCAGCTGCCCTTTGATAGCTGCCAGGGGGCTAAACTTGATCAGCTAGATAAATATTGTAATTACAAGTGACTAGTATGTTAATTTCATTCATCTTGTCATCAAGGTTTGCGGAGAGTGAGTCATGTCTTCAAGGCAGGCAGGCAGGGATGTACTGCACCTTTTGGCACCCTTCTATAATCTATACCACTGGCCTCCCCTCTGTTGTAAAATCCTCATAAATATGCCTGACAAAAATGCAGAAGGCATCGTTTTTTCAGCAATGAAATCTTTTACAGATACTTCCTTTTTATGATCTGTTTTCCTAATTGTAGATGTGGCACTATATCCCCGACGCACACTTATTTTGATAATTCTCAGCGCTGGAAAAGAGCAGAAGACAGCCATAGGGGAATAGAGACAGAGGCTGAGAGAACGGGGAGCTAATCGATAGCATTTTAAGGCTCTCAATATACTGTGTCAAGTTTTGAAATAGCATGGAGAAGAGCTGGCACCACTTTCAACCTATTCCAGGACAAGAGGTATATAGTGTCCGGAGCAGACAGTTTTATCCCCCGCTGTAAAATCCTCCCTGACAGACACTCTGCAGCGAAAGCATTCTCCAGGAATCACTTACTGGAATATTTCGGAGATGATGCTTTTTATCCAGAGAAATAATACTTTAATTTACATCCAAATGAGCTCTAAATCTTTGCTTCTTCGTGGTTAAGAGGAGGGAGTACAGAGTCAAATCCACAATATACTTGAAGTAGCATCTATATGGCTCATAGACAACTGATCAGGCCAAAAATAGATTCCAGTAGCCTCTATGAATTTTCCTCCTAGTTGATTTCTTCTCTAAATAGACGACAATCTACAAACAAGTGAAATTCAGCACCACTGATGTTTTGTGTTTATGTTCAAACACGAGTAATTTCTAGACATTTAATGTCAGCTGCCAGTGAGTAAAGATGAGCATATGACAGGCATAAATACAAAGTTGACAATACAACCTCTGAACAAACAGACTCATAATGATGGATCAAATGTGAGAGCCACACACACATGCCTCAGCCAGAACACACACACAAACACACAAACAAACACACAAAAACGTACTGCCTCTGTCCCTGTGATACCCCATGACCAAAAATTCTGTATGCAAAACCTGATTGTGTATATTTCTGTCTTCCTCTGTATTCAGCTGCCACAGTCATGTAATGACCTCCTCCACAGTCAAAAGTTGCTGCTTTTTATTCTACAGCCTTCGCCTGCCAATGACATCAGCACTTCCCTTCATCTTTATGAATTTTGGTTTCGCATCAACAAAAATAAGTAATAAAAAAATCAACAAGTTCCAGTCTTGTTGATCTTAATGAATTTAAGCACCGCCTGAGATATACTTTGGGACAAATATGTTGCAGTGCTCCTTGGGGAGAGTGTTAGTTGCAGTAAACATGAGCAGATTAAACTCAAAGTGATGATGACCCAATTAAAAAAACTGCAAATGTAACAGTGTTTTTACAACGCAGCCAATGTGCAGAGCAAGCAAGCCGGCAGCAGGAGCGGCACTCCAAGTGGTCTATAGCAATTATATGATGAGCATTTCACAGGGTTTGCAAGGTTGCAAAAAAAGCTAAAGCAAAAATGTCCATTCATGAAATATAGGTCTCAACAGACTGAAGTTTTAAAAAAAACATTTAATCAAAATTCGACTGTAATAATAGCATAAACTGTAAGAATGCCAAGGAACTACACTAGCAGGCACTGGTTTAGCCTAGTCATCCAGTAGCACACCCCATGTACAAATCCTATTGTTCTTGAGTGGGTGGCCTTAGTTTGATACACGCCTATGGCTCCTTTCCTGTCATTCCTCTTTATCTCTTTTCTGATTTCCTGTTCTATTCACTCTCCAATCCTTTCTAAATAAAACCAGAAAAACAATACTTTCAAAACAAACAAAACAAAAAATACTGGCAGCATCTTAAACACAAAATCCAAAGGAAATTGTCATTCTATCTCCAGCATCACAACCAGAACTAAAGTAATTACTCTTCCAAAAGCTTTGTGAGCAAGTGTTAGTGTGGCGCCATGCAAAATAAACAACATGCCAAAAATGATGACACAGTAATGCGAAATGTTGCCGTGGAAGCATTGCCATTATTAGCGTGCTCATGTAAGAATTTTGCTCAAATCATCACTTTATAATGTGGTGAAACTTTATGGACAATAATATTTCTCTCAAGCATATTCAATTAGCCTCTGAAGGCAAAACACACGCTGTTAACAAAAACACAAGTAGAGTATGATCGAGTTCTTAAACACACTTGAGTTATGAAGGAGCCTGCGTCACAAAGACCACTCATCTAATAATCAAACATCAAGATCTGACATGCTAAGAGCGTCACCTAACTAACCAACCTAATACTTAAGCTATTCAACATGAAACATGAACCCAACAAAGGCTTTCTGTGTTGCAGAAATTAACCATCAGTTTTTGATAAAGTAAGATTTAATGAGCCATGCATCACATCCTGTTCCGTCTAGGGTATATTTGTTACAGGGAGTGAAATGATTGTGTTGCACCAATGGCAATATGATTGCATTAATGCATTAATAAACTGAACATTATGTATTTCTGTCGAGCAACTAAGCAATGAATCTGAAAGTAAGAAGCTGCCCAGGTTTGCTGACTTGCAGATATTGCAGCGAGGCAGACTCCAGGCTTCCACTGCCAGAATTGATCTTGTGTGTTCGTGAATTTCATCCATTTCAAAGATGTTGTATAAAGACTTTCACAGAGGGTGGAATATTTAATGAGATTCCTTGCAGGTTACCCCGATACAAGAAAATACATCAAAAGACACAAGCTACCACGAGCCCTTCCCCGCACAGTGACTACTATTCCTGCAAACCCTAATTTTTAAGCGAAGGACTTTGGGTCACTTTTTTCATGCCAAACCCTTTTTTATTCCATCTTAATCTACAAACCCACCAGACAGAAAAGTTCTTAATCTCAAATTTTCAGAAAAGGAATGTGGTCATGTATCTGGGGGTCATCAGATACCGAGTATTCTATAACAGAGGTGTCTTTGAGTTTGGCTAGAAACATGTCCAAAAAAAGTCCACCATGACTTCTGCTATCCCAGTAGGCCCTGTTTCTTAAACTGGAAACAAGCTCACAATAATCCCTGTGTAATTCATAAAAAAGAGATTTCTTTATACAACAGTTCAAGTTTATTTGGCTACAAGCTCCAGAAATCCAATCTTCAAGGGACAAAACAAACTTTGAAACACCAACACCAACACCACTCAACCTTCTCTGACAACTAAGCAGACCTAAGCCTTTCAACTATATTCCCAGTCTTCCCAGTACACTCAACACAACACAGAAAATACCTGCTTTTCAGCCCACGACACCAAGTTTGGCTTTAAGGAAGAAATTGCTCATTAAAACCTGTTGTCCTACCAATCTCTACCCACATTTCTAATGACTACTCAAAGGGTATGTTTTTAAAACTCTGTTGTGGATGGAGGCATGATGTCCGACAGTTTGGTTTTCTCTGTATGATACAGTGAGACGGATCCTTTATTTTGTCAGTTTCAGTGTCAGCGGCAGTTGTCATCTTTTTTGGTGTACCCCTTTGCACAGTGTGAAAAACTTGTGATCTTAGCTATAGTTTGACTGCATCCTATAAATAGTAAATGGGTCCAGACCATAGACTGTATATACTATGGACAACTTGGTTCCTCCTTCTGCTAGTGAACGGATTTGAAGCTGGAAAGCTCTCGGTATTTCCCCGATTTTTCTCCACTTCCCTAAACCAACATTGCGCAGTAGCAACATACGCATTCGGCGGGAGAGTCGCGGAGAGTCACTGTGATGACGCTCGGCTCAAACAGCGTATCCCCCGGGTGAGCTACGCAATCTTCGTACGCCTATTGGCTGTATCAAGTGTCAACTATAGAAAACATGAACCCCTTATAACTTTTAAAAATGGAGCTAAACACACAAAAGAGGACTTGAACACAAACCAGTCTTACAGTAACTACATGTCAACATCTCAAGCAGGGGGAGTAACACTTATATTCTGTGCAATGAATTTCTAAAGTTTGTCCACAGCTCCATAGGGATGGCTGACGGAGGTGGGATTTATGACCTATACTGCAGCCCGTCACCAGAGGGTGCTGTTCTTGGGGTTGGCTCACCCAGCGAGGAGGCAGACGGCGTCCATTCTCTATACAGTCGATGGTCTAGACTGATTTGAAAAAAAAATGGTTGAGATTATACTTTAGAGGCCAAAAATATACTTGGGAGGTCTGCCCAGGTATTGTCTATGTGTGGAAAACACTGGCATCATACTACTCTCCTACTATGAGAAGATTGTGTTTAGTCTGATACAAAAACTGTGAATGAGACCGTTGGATTGCATTAGAGAGGCATTTGAAACTTAAAGTAGAAATGATTCGTTCATTTGGGCCCAGGCTTAAAAAGTGACGCTCTTGTTGATGTGCTCCTAAACTACAGAACTGCTGATCCCAAGACGATGCATTTGGCGCTCCATCAAAACTGTATTGTACTAAGAGATGAAAGAGTTGACTTGAGGTATGGGGATGCATTTCTAGGATTTCAGGGATGTACTACTAAAAAGTTTGATCACTAAACCTCTACATCAGATGCTTCAATCTGCTCCTACAGATTTTTACTGGCAGTTTGCTGAAAGTTTAAACTTGTTCTGTGTCTGTAATTTATAAAACCTCACATGAAAAAAATTCTAGAGAACATGTGGATCAGTACTGAGACTAGTTCAGAGACGGGATGTTAATAGGAATATCAGACTGATGCCTGAAATCACTTTAGTACACAGGAAACTGCAGGACAAGTGATTGTGTTAGTTCATACATTCAGGTCTGCAGCTACCTAAGAGGTTTTATTCCCCTAAACTGATAAGACACAGGCACCAATGTCTGTTTGTCTTTGAAGAAGGTGAATATTTTTACAGTACACTCATTGACAGAACAGTCCAACTGAAGGAGTGAAGTTATTTGGCCTGAATCTTGATGTCTTTCACTTTCAGAGCCAAAGAAAAAGCAAAAAAGCAAATCATCGGAGGGAACCTTTGACTACAAGCTACCACTATCTCTCCTGGAACAAAGAAAGGCACCGGTCCAGCTCGTGATCTTTAGTTCAGATCCTGATAATAGCTTCCACATTCTCTGTTATGCAATCATGCTTTGTATATGACTTTGCCATAGTCTGCGATCAATAATATGCCTGCAGAGCGTGCATCGTATTAAAAACACTTTATCAGATCAAGTCATCAAAGCGTGGAATATCCACCTGTCCTTGAGGTTGGGACAATTTGCATAAAATCCATCTGTCTTTGCAGAGGAGATGCTTGTTGTAGAAATAATCTTGTGAATGACTCAGATTAATGGAAGTGTGGATTAGATGCTCAGAAAATGCAAAACGAAGTGTACAATTTACTTTATCAAGTTTGTTGCATCGTCTTGACTTTGAATCAGTCTTTTTTTAATGAGTGTACCCAAGATTTCTGCTGCTATTGCAAAAAAAAAGGTTAAAATATCAAGGTTGTGTCCATCGACTACTAAAGAGAGCAAGAGGGGACTTTTCATCACCTTTTCTCTCAGTCCTGATTAAAGTCTAAACCCACAATCTGAAAGGACCCTCCTTCTCTGTTAAATTCGCATCATGGATCAGAGTTGTTTCTTGTCGAGTTGTAAAATCCAGCTAAATATTTCATGTAAACCTGTGGTTGGTGTGAGAAAGTTCAGGTTACACCGGTGTGTGTTTACCGAGTCGGACATTCGGACAGTCTGTTCTTGGCTGGCACTGTTTGTATCTTGTGGTTAAGCGATGACACAATCTGGATGTCAGACCTTCGGTGTAGGTGTACCCGACTAGTAACTCAAGACTGATAATCCGACGCTGCACTCAGAGGGAAAGTCAGCTAAACTTTCTGTGAGCTTGTCTTTAACTCAGCCTGTGGGTCCTCACCAGAGAACGCGAGGTGAGAAACAGCAGTCTCACATCACCTCAGCATAGAGCTTTTTGTTACAGATAACAGAGTTAGAAGAGGGAAGGAAGAGAGTCAGATAACAGGTAAAAGAGAAAAAGGATCGAGGAACCAGGGAGGCAGGCATGGCATACATGCAAAGTGTGTAAGTGAGAGATTAGGCCTGCTTGTTATGGATCAGGGAAGGCAAAGGGACGGGGAATCAGTAGTGGGGAGAGATGAGGAAAGACTGCAAAGCATGCCACATTAGATGGGTTACAGTAAGAGATCTGCAAAGGATCAGTCAGGAGTAAGAGAAAGGGAGGGAGTCGAGTGGTGGTGAGAGAGAAGCCAAAGGAGCTTAGTTAAGGAGCTTAGTTGAGGTAGGTTACCTCTGAAGATGGGCCGTATCAAGAACATAGAGAAACAGGGCCAGTGACCGGCGTTAAATCCATCTACTGTAACATTAGCATTCCTCACATCTCCACTTCTTTCTCCACACCTCCACCCCTCTCTGCCCTCTCCCTGCTTGTGTGTCTTTCATTCCCCCCATCTAGGCATTTTCCAGGTAGACTCCGTGCTCGTCCAATCTCACACCGCACTGCCCTTTGATTGGCTCAGGAGCGTGTCAATGTGACAGTGTAACAGCGCATTTAACAGGAGATAGGAAAGTAACATACAGCACTTTGGGAAACAAGCGCCTCTTCTTTATCCCTCTTTTTAATCTTAATCTCTTTTGCTTCAAATGATGGGATTTACAGTAAACATGAAAACCTGCATGCTGTTTTGATGTTTACCAGAGGAGGGGACGAAGGGGGATGAGGACATTCAGTTCATGAGTGTAAACAAAAACTAGCAGCACTACATTATTCCCAGAAATCAGTGCAACGATGGAAAGTGATGCTCTCAGTTCTTGGGTAAGACTACTCATATATACAGTTCCTTCCTAGACCAATATTACATCCCGGAGCACGCAGTCTTACTTGCTATTTGTCCTCTTTTTCCACACTCAGACTTACTTAGACAAACCGTCTTGACAGCCAGAGAAGATTCTTCGAGGTAGAAGCAACAAAAGTCTGAGGCAAACCATTACACCACTGTTCAATTAATTTGGTGAAGGGAGACACATAATGGGATGGTAATGTGTGAACACAAAGAACAGAAAGGCTTTTGCTTCTTGACAAATCTTTGGAGTTGCTGCGAAAGAGACTTTTTGTGTAATATGGATCTATAACAATTGCATAAGGATAGAGAGAAAGTATGAGAAAAGACAAATTGCCCTCTGGCTCGTTCATGAAGGTGACTTGAAGGAGCTGCTCCATTTTAGCATCAATTTCCCCCTCCTCCTCTTCCTCCTCCTCCTCCTCCACCTCCTCCATCTCCTCCTCCAGCTCCTATCAGCCTAACTCACAATAAGTTAGCAAAGAGACGCTTGCTTCAAAGTGCTGCTCCCACCATTGGTGTCTGCTGTGCTCTTACAGCCACTAAAAGCCTGTTTTCTCAGCAGAAGGGTGGTGCCACTTACATGCCAACTCCAGGGCCTACCTACTCCTTCTTTGTCATGCTAAGTGTGTAAATAATCAATGGTTAATTGTTTCAGAGGGGTCGCCCCTTCCCCCCGAATGCCACCCCACCCTCAAACCCCACTAAGGGGCAGTAGTGGCGCCAGCTCAGTGCAAAATGATAAGTTGTTCTTTTGTTTTCCACGGCTAGAGAACGAGGACTCACATGGTATCCCTATGGAGCAGCATAGTGGGGAAATAGAAAGTACAACAAAACATTATACAAACACACACACACACATGCACTCGCACACACCTTCATGTGCACACTTGCGCTAGTTTTGAGACATACTCTCACAAATCAGTCACCCATTAGAACTCAACATGTTATTCTGCAACTGAAGCCAAAGCACTAACAGCATGCACTGCCTATGGAAAGAGTGTGTCACAGAGTATGAGTGTCAGGAACTAAGACTGCGCTTAAGGTTCTGTGGTTGTCCTATAGAGAGGCGAGACCCCAAACGTTTACATTATCCTTATCGTTCAGCTACACTTTTCTTTTCTGAGTTTCAAAGAAGTTAGGCATTTAGGAAAATCTTTGCTTTCTTGCCTAGACTTAAAGGAGAAGATGAAAAACCATTTTAATGTTGGTATCATAGCTAAATGTAGCTTAATTTATGCTGCGTTTGAGTTACCTCGGAAGTCAGATGTTGAAGCTGAAAATGACGTCACATCCAAGTTACCAGCGTTTCAGTTACCAAGTCGGAAAAAAGCAAAATAGGAGGCAGAAACAAGCTGGCTATATCTACGAAAGTTATTTTAGTGCTTGCCTTGTCCTTGTTATAATCAGACAAGGCAAGCGCTAAAATAACGCTGGTAACTCAGGTGTGACTTCATTTTCAGCTCCGACATCTGACTTCCAAGGTAACTCGAACACAGGATAAGACCTGTTAGCTGATCAATAAGTAAGTGTTTACCAGAAGAGTTGTTTCTCTCTGTTTTATGCCATTTTGCTAAGATAACTGGGTACCTGTTAAAGGACCTGTTTAATGAGCAACTGTTGCTTAAAAGTGAAGCAAGCGCAGAAGAACAAAAAAAAAAAAATGAAAAAAGCAGTTCTTAAGTGTCCATTTAAAACATGTAAAATTCCCTTTTTTTTACCATAGAAATAAACATGTTTGCAACCTGGTGCAAAAAAACAACAACTTGAGGATATTATTTGGCGAATTGAAGTTTTTTTGTCATGAATTCATTCAGATAAAAGAGAACATAAGAGTTGACGGATAATTGTTGAGCTTCACCTCTTTGTCTGTGTTACACCGATCAAAAGTTAGCCTGACTCTTTATTTCAAATATGATGTCTGCCATCTGAACATATCTTCAGAAACTCTGATTTGTCTGTTTTCAAAGAGATTACATCCCTGTTTTATGGTATAGCTATGAGAGTGGCATAAATCTAGCTCCCTATTAAAAGCTTTATACCTGACATGTTTGATTTACGTCTTTCTAAATCAAGTTAACGGCTTGTTACATATTTATCATACAAACATAATTAAATGACAGTGGCATCAATCTCCTCCTATACTTCTTGGCAAGAAAGGAAATTTTCCACGATGCCAATACGCTGTTCAGTATACGGCTGAGAATAACAAAGAGGGGCAGTAAATGAGTGTGTAGAATTTATCGATAGATTTGGGCTATATTTAATTTATTGTGGCAGTGTGTTGATTTGATTGTGAGCCAACATAAGGTTGAAGTGACACCTCACTGTCCTGTCTGTGTTCCAGAGGGTCAAACGCATCAGCTTTTCACTGCTGGTTCACTCTGCGAGGCTTAAACCCATCATGAAACAGCTGGAGGGAGAGTCCGAGAGGATCCAGGGTTGGACGTGCGAGGGTTTAAGGTTAGTGACAGGTGTTAACACAGGGAGCAGTTAAGAGGAGGGGGTAGGGGGGTAGGGGAGGGGAGGTACTTAGTAAAAGCAGGGGAGGTGAGCTGCAGGAGGTTACGGAGCATCTGTAGATTTCTTCCTTAGTGTGAGCTGTTTCTCGACTTTTACTGCGCTGAAAATGTGCAGGATCACGCTGTGTCTGTCAGGGACTTTAGCTAGAGATCTTCCACTCCCCACCCACCCAGCCCGAGCCCTCCCTCCTCTACTCCAACTACGCAGAAACGACTTTAAGACATCAAAGCTGGCATTAGCGTCTCATTTCCCTATGCAAATGCAAATAGAAAAAAAAAAAAAGCTTTCAATTTTTTTCCTGCCTCTTTCATTTTCAGTGAGAATCGTTGCTGCCCCCTTGAGACGAAGCCCGATGTGCAGTTTTGGGGAGAAAACGGGTTAGGGGATCCTGAGGGCTGCTCTGCATTACCAAAACAAACCATTCAGCAAACAAACAATTAGACACTCATGAATTATGGACAAGGCTTTTGAAATAGCAATAATACTGGGGAGTAGGGAGTCATGGAGCGATAGCTGAGCCACTGGAACGAATACCATGGTGTTTTGAACACTCAGGCATCGGGGTGGTATATGGGCGCATCAGGGCTTGCCTGTACAGTATTTATATGTAACCTATAGTGATGTTTCCACACATTTCTGTGAACCAGTGCAGATGAGCAACTGAAAACAAGATAACACCGAGAAGCCAAGAGTGAAGCTGAAAAGAGTACTAGTAATCCACATCAGCATGATAGTGCACCAGCCATTTTGTTTCCCAACGTATCCATTATTCACAACCCCGTGTTTACCTCTCACAGACGCGCACAGTCCATGCAGCAATGATCCAGGAGGATATACTGAACACCAGCAGAACAGTTCCCGGACAGATGGTCATGAGGGTCTTCATGACAAAGCGTGTGTTGAAGTTGATCTTATTGAGGGCGCCGATGCTGCGGGACGAAGCGTCTGTGAAGAGCTTACTGTGGAGTAACATGACCCTGCCTATCAGGTAGAGTCTCAGGAACATGGGGATGGAGAGAATGATGTCCACGTCTGCATCCGCCACCGACGGCGTATAGGTAAAGGCCAGCCGCGCCGTCCAGGTAAAGACGTACTGTCCCGGGATGGGATGGATGGCACACACCAGCAGCTCCAGCACGATGAAGAAGATTCGCTCATAGGTCATGGCTATCCTCCAATCGTCCGCACCATTGTCCACCATGAACAGCTGCAGATGAACAGATACAGAATGAGGTTTTGTTTCAGACATTTAATGTCTTTGCTGAAGTTTGCTTTGTGAAAGTTTGGCATTTCAGCATTTTCCAATCCTCTTCAACCCCCAACACCTTCAAGGTAATCATCATTACAAAGCGAGCTTGAGAGACAAACATTATTTAAATCAAACCCACATATTTTGTCTGAAATTGGAGTCATGATCTGCATAAGTCGTGATGAATTACTGAAAGATGTGCACCAAATCAGGGACAAAGACAATTTTCCATTTGGTACAGAGATTCACTCATCCTCATGATTTATAAATTCGATTACATTTAAATGCGACAAAAGTGTTCAGATAAATCAGATTAAAATTATACTTAATCTGGAATCTTATTTGATTATAAACCAAGCAGGACATCTAAAGATAGAAAGAAATCTCATCAAATCAGCGCTGTAGTTAACAATTCTGAAGAACAGATGGACAGTAATCAGACAGACTTGTATTTTGAAGGAGGAAAAATATAGAAAACAGTCATCTTCTTCTAATTTTTTTGACAAATTACTGTAAAGGGCACTGTAGTTCAGTGTACAACTCAAATCAATCACTGATTTTTCACAGGAGCCACCTTTAAGCCTGAAATAAAAAAAGATTTTGCAGTATGTAATAGTGATGAACTTTTTCAGTTAAGTCTCCATGCAAAATGAAATTATAATAAAAAACGAAACAAATTGTGGATCAAATTGTATAAATCTGTTGTTTTGGACTCACCTGGATTTCCCGGGCATGGTACATTATTATAAGACCAAGCAATATAACAGTGGAAAGGCTGATAAGGCATTTCAGTGCAAATGAGTATGAAGATTCCTATGGTCAGAGAAAGAGATATGGAGAGAAAAAAAACATTAGAAATATGATAGTTATATTTGCAAAGTTATTATCAAATAATCACATATTTTTCTTACACAAGGAAATATCAAGACAAACTGTTAAACTGTATTCATCATGGATGGCATTTTCCATACTTTCACTTTCTAAATTTAGCCCCATTAGAGACTTATCACCACTCAACCTGTGATTTCAGAGCTGCTTAATATTGCTAAGCAACGAGGTGAATTGGGGGTAGTTGAGTAAAAGAGGAAATTTCAAGTGAAAGCTGAGAGTCCTAAGTGTAAGTAAGAATTCAAGATCAGTCAGTGTTGAGTTATAAATTTACAGACTTCTAATTCAAGTTTTTTTCAACAACAAACACACAAATGCAGGTACTCTTACTGTGGTATAAATAGCCATGCAAACACAAAAAGACACACACACACATGCACACACAGTGCTTATTAGCTTAAAAGTCTAAGTGAGAGCAGATAATGGGGCTTTTACACACAAACAGCACCGTCAGGATGTTGTGAAACAATGCAGCTGCAGGTGTAGGTGCAGCCTGGTATTATCCACGGAAGCTGTTCCCCACCATCTAAACTACCAATTAATCAAAGCCCAGCACTAACAGGGGGACTTTCCACTTAATGCTGGGTGCGGGAAAGGCAAGGCTAGCATTAGCAGGGGGGCCACCACGGCGAGTATCGCTGATGATAAATAGGCCAGCTGGATTCTGTTGCTGCGGCGATGTGTGTGCGAGCGTGTGTTTGTGTATGTGTCTACATGGGGACCATAGATCTAGGAAATGAGGACCTGTACTACTTAAGTCCCCCCCTTTATGTTGGAAAAATGCCATTTGATAAATCAAGTTAACAGCCCTGGTGTAAAAAAGCCTCTCTGCAGCAGGCTAATGATCCCCGCTTGTTGTTATCGTAACGACACCGACAACAAATGACAAAAACAACGAATGACAAAAACAACAAGTGGAAATATCGCTCATAATCGCCGGTGAAATGACAGCAGGAGCTGCTTAGTACTACTCTGTCCTTCGTTGGTCCATATTACAGAATTTATTTTTAGCTATCAACTAGATTACTTTGCCCCTCAGGTCGGCGACACGTTCTCAAGACATTCTAACGCCTGAAATTGTTTTGAGAGGTCCCCGGTGAAATAATATTGAGTAAACTAATTAATCCACCTGCCAGAGGTTCAAGGATTTTCCAGTCCCAGTGCTCACCACCTCTTTACGTGTTTCCCTCCTTCGGGGCTAAGAAAACCTTCTCTGAGCCTCAAGTGTCTGCAGCGTGATGAGACATGAGACAGAAAGTGGACCATCCACAGCACATGTTACCTGTCTGATGGGGGAGGGGGAGGGTGCTGTGCCACTCAGGGATGGAAGGTCATTTCAATTTCAGTTGAGGTCGGCCTGATGAATGGACTACACCCCACTCAGTAACAGCCACAGACAAACCTATTGACTTTCTTAAAACCCTATAAATCAGCCTATAGATTACCACTCTGACCTACTATATAGTACACTCTCACTTACATATATCTATCTGTGATCAAAAACCCATTAAAATATTCTAATTACATCACCACAGGAAGAAAAAAACAGCTGGTTTGTTTGTTTAAGCCTTTATCTAAAGCTTGTTTTAGTCTAATCTACATTTGAGTCTGGTCTAATCCACAGGGTTATTTAATTTCAGCAGCACTATAGAGGAGGCAAAATGCTCTATTCTCTACAACACAAGCATGCTTTAGTTCTTTAGTGGCTTTAAAAAAAAGAGCTAACAATCAACATTATGAGAAAATAATCAAAAAATGTAGCACCAGCAACCTGCTCGCAAATTTTCTTTTCTGTCTGGTTACATTTTTTTCGTTTTTTTCCTCTTTCTGTTTGATGTTTTCATTTTTTCATTTTCTGCTAATCACTATGGACACAACATACTCAAACAAGCACAAAATACTTCAGATTAAGTATTAAGGATATCAAGTGCAATTCAAGTTTGTAACTAGTTGGTGCCTTAAAAAGCATTTTAGATATGCTGCCAAATGCATGACTTTAAATTTATGCCACTGTGAACACACCGTGAAGAAGTAGCTGGCGTGAAATAGTCACATCTTAAAGCTAGTGAGTGAAAATCCATGTTTTCTTTGAAGTGAATTTTGTACATAAAAAAAAAACCATGACGATTTTCTGAACATGCAAGCTCCCTAAATGTCTCCGGTTCAGCATATTTTTGTCGATACACGAGGAGTGTGATGTTTAGAGAAAGGTCTTATTTCCAGAGAAAGATGAGACTGTGACCCTGCTCACTGCAGTGCACTGCAATGTCACCTCACCGGTAAACAGCCTTGTAGAAGCTGCTCTGTGTGCAGTGGGGGGACAATCATTTTCCCAAAATACCTGACCCAGCAGAAATGGCTGACTGATGCAGGAGGACAAAAAGGTGAAAGGGTGATGACCTGGTCACAACGACCCTGGGACCTTACTCCCCTGCTGACGTCCTTGTTTAAGGCTCTAGTGTGATACTGCAGCGTGTTTGGCTGTCTTGTCTCTGATGTGCTGGTTTAAGTTGCAGATGTGCAGTTTAAGGCTCTAAAGAACTTCCTTTTCTTTCTGCCATTGTTCTTCCTCATCTCAACTTGTCTGTGTCACTCTAAGTCTCTCTTTACTCCTTATCCCAGACTATCTGTCCCCCTATCTTGCACTTATGCTGTGAGAGTAGTGGTTTTAGAATAAAGCTTCAAAGAGACTGACAAAAAGCCATTATGGTGCCAGTAGTGGAAACAAATCCTCTGGCTGAACTCCATTCACTTTGAGTTGCCAAAAATGAATAAAAAAACTCCTCACAAAGGCAGGCTTGTAATCAAGATCATTTTGCATAAAACATTTTTAAAGGGCAAACTCTGAACTATGCTGTTGGTCACACACCAGATCACATGCTACTTCTTTCTATCCGTGCATATTCCCAGCACCTTTGTTCAATCATGTACGTCAGTGTCTGTGCTAATAATCACTCTTCACTGGTCTGACAGTTGCCAACCCCACACTAATCAAAAAACCAACAATAACAATGACAACACACAAAACTCCCACTCATGCATCACACACATGCACAACCTACCTTAGTGTAAACCCCCCATGACAGCTCTGTCTCTGTCACCATGACAACAATCCCAAACATCCCAAAGATGAGCGCGTAGTCACTTAGCCTCTTCCGCTTCTCAAACAGCGCTCTCCTGTGGCCAAGCTTGTAGCCAATGTCCCTGTTCTTCTTCTGCGGCGCCCTGCATCCTCCGCGCCCACTGCCCTCCCTGACTAGGCTCTCGTTGGACGCCTTGCTGGGGTCTTCACCGCCGTTGCCCTTGGACACCACCACCTCCAGGCCAGAGCTGTGCAGCGTCTGCAAGGGCTGTGTCTCCGAGTCGAGCTCCGCAAGGTTGCGGCGCGACGAGGACGCCAGGCTGCCCACTAGTGGTCTCACCACTCCGCCATTGTACTTGCAGGTGTTCATGGCTATCTGAGGGAGTCTGCCACTGCTCTCAGAGAGGGAGGGCTTGGATCCAGCATGGCTCAGCTTCTTCTGCTCAGTAGTGGCCTGCGAACAGGAAGAGGAGTGATAAATACAATACTATCACAACAAAAAAGGTGTAAAAACCGACAGTAGAATGAAGAGACGCATCCTGTTTGAGACTTTAAATAGATCATTGATGTGGGAGTTACATCTCTGTGGATCTGGAGAGGGCAGAGAGAGGGAAGGAGCTTGCAAAACAATTTTGGTTATAAAAGCAGACAGATTTAGTGCTCAGTGTAAATAAGAAGTGGACGTAACCGTTGTTTAGGGGTGTGCACTGTTTAGGGGCCACCATGATCATATGTTTTTTGGACTAACAACTCCCTACCCCCCATGCTAGCAAGAGTGTAGCTAAGAGATACCATGTGATGATCCTGGCTGAGAAGTCTTTGTGTTTGTTGTCTCGAGATCACCAAGATCACAAGATGGCAAAGCCTCAGAGCCACACGTACTTAATGACCATGATAAGGAGGATGACTAACTCAGACAGTAATTTTAGCCAGTGAGAGAATGAGGCCATTGTGGTGCATCAGTAAGACTGTGGGATAGTGAGAAGATGTACTCAGTATGTTTATTCAAGCAAGTCGGTTGATATCTTGGTGTGAGTCTTAGAAACACAGCAAACTACATTGACTACAATAATACACAGATACTGGGGTCCTTAACAGCTGAGCATCATTGTGTCCCAGACTTGGAACAAGCAAATAATATTCACTTTTTTTAATGACTTTACCAACTCAGGTTTAATCAAATAAATGGTAGGTTCATTTTATTAGGTACTTCCATATAAGCTGACCTCTTGTTAACACTTGTGGAGTCCCCCCCACCCTTCAGGCTAGTAGATATAAAAAGCACTTGCGCATTTATACAAATGACAGTATAACCCAAACAGCTTCCCTCCCTAACCAACTCAAGGGTATAACGCCATTTCTCAAAATTTTGAGTTATTTCCTAACAACATTAATGTGCAACTGATTTCACAGACTATTTTGTGGCAAATGATTCAGTACTATTAGTGGTGGGCATGGCAAAAGTCATAACAGGACATATCGCATTCCTTGAGACCCACACCAAACATTTTGTGAAAAGATACACTTCCAAGTTGATCCACTGCTTGAAAATCAGTGCCTACCTACACGCATCCGAAACCAACATTTGTTTATTTTTTTGACACCGAATATACCGATATGGGCAAAATGACGTCAGTCACTGTCGTAAATTTCAGTATTGGTATACTTTTGGTTTATCACCCAGCCCTACTACACACTCTCTCTTCATGCTCACTCTGTCAATCTGCTTTACTAACACACACAGCTGCTTTTCCCACTCCGCCCCCTAGCAGTGCTACACAGCTTTACTTCCTCCACCTGTGGCTGCATGGTGGTCTGCACTGTTGTGGCACAACATGTTAGGAATACAGTAGTCTCCACTTAACACCACTTAACACATTTTTCAGCACCTGCATTTTTTTCACACTCCCAAATCACGATGAGAATATTCTGCAGCCAGAAACTATTAAGCTCGGAGAAGAGAGGCGGACAGTTGTGGAGGGCTGGAGTAAGCCTCTTTAGAGACATCATTAGCCCAATCCTGAATCAATATAAGACTCTACAAATAGGAGCCCAAGGACAAGGTTGGAACCCCAAACTGTTAGCCCAGCCCTGGACATGGAGCCCTCTTCACCTGACTGTCAAAACAAGTTTAAAAGACCCTGACCTGGAGCTACATTTGCCACTGGAAAAACAGAGTACAACATGGCAGGTGGCACAGTAGTTGTTTGATCTTGATATTTTCCCTTTACGGTCATGGATAGCCAAAATTGCATTTGATATCAAAATTAAATTGATCATCTCGCCTTAATTCACAGTAACCGAATCTTAGGGAGAAAGAGTAGCATGAAATGGGAGAGGAGCTAAAAGGAAGTCGAGTATCGACGCCAACCCCTTGATGTCTGAGCGAGGGTTATTGCCAAGACAGCCCTGAGATGCCAGGGGGCAAAACCCCAGAAGAAATCCACCTCTTTAAAACTGTAAAAGTCATTCTCATTTTATGTCAAAGGCACTGTTTTGGAAAATGCCAGAGTACCAAGCTTGTTACCATGGTAATGGATCACATCCATTTTACCACACCCCCACTTTGATGAACATTAACCATCACCACGGTCAAAAACTCCCTTTATTTGACAGTTCCCTTCATGTGTATCAGCTTTTTCTTGGGAAAATTGTATCAGAGTTTGATGGTTCACAAACACATAAATAATAAATGGTCTTTGATGTATAAATAAAACCATATAACTAAGGGTGGACCCTACAAAGTGCAGAGAATTGAATCTTTGCACTGCACAAATTTAGATATAAAAGATTCATGTTCGGCATGACCCTGTTTCCTATCAAAGAAACACTCTTTTCCTCTGCAGAGATTAGAAGCAGGCAAACAGAACGCAGAAAAAGAAATGCAGACTTTCTGACATCAGATGAGACCAAATGTGGTTCTCCCACTTTATTTAACAAAAACAACCATGTCAAAAATTAACGTACACCCTTCATTCTGTTTATTCAGATTGTGAGGAAGTTTAAAATGGAGAGAGGCATGCAGAAACATCTTGTCTGACCGCTGCATTTTGCACGTATAGTTTTTAATCTGAGTGAGATGCAACATAAACTCAGACGTACTCTCGTTTTACTTCATCACTTGAACAAAATGTTCCTTGCTTTTGTCTGACCTGCTGCCATGCAGTCACCTCTCTTCTGGCATTGAGTTGTCTATTATTCCTGCTCTTCTTTGGCAGCTGGAGTGACTTTCTGTCCTGGTTATGCAGACAGTCAGAAAATGTTCTATCCCTGCAGAGTCTGTGGAGCAGTCACCCCAGAAGCATCTATCTGCCTGTCTATCCCCTGCCCTTCAGAGACTCAGCCAGATTATCATAATGGGTTATGAAAACTTCACATGGAACAGTGCCTTTTCCGAAACAAGTCGAGGGTGTGTGATAGCACTGCTGGTCCTTTTTATTAGCCTCAACAAAGCATGCCTAATGCCTTTAAATGTGCTGGTGGGAATAAAGAAGGGCAGCCCTAATGGAAATTTACCAACTCCAGTCCTGTGATGCTATCGTCTTGCACATATTGTGGCTCCATGAGAACAGGAGTAAAGGTTAAGGATTAGTGCAGCCCATAGTGTTTCTAATCCCCTTTTCTGTATTAAATTGCTTTTTAATCTGCACCATTAGGACCTCTCTACACTTTTGAAGACGGAGCAGTGAGTGAACTTTAAGTTTGAATGACAGGAAATACTCTAGAAATAGATGCTGATATGGCAGGACTGGCGGAGATGCTGGTCTTTGTTTGAGGGTAAAAATAGAACAGGGACTTCTAGATTCTGCAAAGTGATCAAAAAATGGTTCCTTCAAAGGCTGAGTAAAATAAACGTCTTATTGTCACTTTCACAGAAAATGGATTTTTACAATCAGATGCAGTGACAATGAGTAAACTTACACGTTCTACTGTGTAGAACGCAATATAGCATTAAAATTTAAAATTTTGAAGAATCAGGAGAAGCTCTTCATATCCAAAATTTTTTGATGAATCAAACTGTCATCTGTGAATATGGTAAAACAAACTAAATATTACCATGAAATCAAAACCTATAATCTTCTGAATGTGTTCAATCTCCTGAATGAATTTTCTAAATAACTAGAATACAGTAACCCTTTGGCTAAAATATTCATAATACTAGCAAACTTACAAATGTTTTGTCAAAGTTTTCAATAAACCGATAACACACCAGAGGCATCACAACAACCTAATGCCTTTGGTTTTCTATTGATTCTGTATCTTTTTAAAGATTAAACTATAAGCTTTACAGCATCGCTTTAACTGGTTCACACATTAACAAGCAGTTGATTGGATGGATATAAAAAATCTCTTTAACATTGGACATATAATGCCAATTGAAGCGTTGCTTAACTAGCACAGGAATGAGAACATTAACCTGCAGAGAGGTGGTGCTAGCTCTGCTACTGTTAGCGACTTTCAATAATCCAATTTGACATTGTTTATCCTGACTCCATGACCTTTTGTTTAGCTGTGTTGTTGATTGACTTGTGCTCAGTTTTGAGAGTTTCCTAATTTTTTATTTACCTTTAGACTCGTTGGATTATCAGAAATTTGAGTTTCAGTTAAAACTGCAAGGAAATTCATTGTAAAGGACCATCCCATAATCGGAGCATTCCTTTTTCTGAACAAATTTAACAAGTAAAGCATCCATAGAAACTGTCAAATAACTTTACCAGAATATTATATTACGATCTTTAACTACTACTTAAATAAAACTATGTTAAATTCAAATAGACCAAACGGGAAACCCTCTCAATCACATTACATTACATTACAAGGAAATGAACTTCTCTTCTACCATGGCTAAGTTTCACAGCATCTATAAACACTGTGGTATCAACAAGGATGTCAGAGCCATTGTTGGTATTGACTCAAGGTGAGAACTTAATACAGCCAGGGGAACTCTGAGATTCTAATAAATGATTGATTACTCCACACGTCCGTAAAGAAAGGATTACTTCCCTTTGGTTTGAAAAGAGAAATCCAAACCCTTACCCCCCAAAACAGTAAATCTTTCTACACTGATCTACTGCAAAGAGAAAAGCTGAAAAATGAGACACTTCAGATACTGCTAATTTGGTTTCCAGTGACCAATTACACAACAACAGATCAGAGATGAAGAGCCATGTTGTGACAATCTAAGGCCACCCAAGAGCCTGGGATGTAAAAGGAGAACGCTCCAGGAAGTGTTGCTCGGATGAGGTAAAAGAAGAGGATTAATGATGGATGCCAGGGGAGCAGTGCTGCTGTTACATCCTAAGCTTTAGTTACCTGTTTCTCGTGTTCATCAGTCACTGAAGCAGGTCAGGAGTGACCCAGAACTGGGCAATCACCCAATCAGTCAGTTTGCATGGACACTGACATACCTGTTATGGTGCGACACATATATTTCTACAGAAATTACAAGGAGGGGAGACAAAATGTACCAAAGACAAGAAGTACGTCTCACTTTTCCCTCAGACTTTTTCACAGTTTCAATCAATTCCATCCTCCTTCCCACTTAGCCAGCAACCCAGCCCCTGTCACACTTCCCCCTAAAACCCAACTGAACAATGTACCGAAAGGGCACAGCGGGCCAGTGTCGCCCTTGCCGTCCCCTGATACCCCTGCAGAGGAGACATCGGGAGGCTGCCGGCCCAGCCGACCGACGGCTCAGTTTCATTCTGAATGGCATGCAGCATCCAGCCTCTATGAAATGGAGCTTCATAATCAAATTGAAAAGCCTCAGTGCAGAACATTTTAAATGAAGGAAACTCTCGGCCTCCCTCTCTCTCTCCAGACAAATCTAATAGAAAATCCTCATTCTCTTGTATTGTGTGGGGCTACTGTGCTGCTGTGAAGAAGGCTTATATATCCTAAAAATGGAGCTGCGCATTAGAAAATACGCTGTGTTAAACTCTGTTTGTGTGTTGGGGGAGTTTGAGCATGTGGGTGCCAGTCTGTTTAATTATGTGTGTGTGTGTATACGTGGGTGGGTGGGTGGATGTGTGCATATGTGTGCTCGCGGAACGAGCCTCAGCCAGGCAATGGATTGGGTCGGATATTGACGCAGACAGCGCGTGGCAACGAAACAAGTAAAAAGAAGTGAGTATGTAAAATCTGTGAACTACAGGCTGATACAGATAAGGCTGACGTGAAAAAATGGAGCATGAAACAGACAGAGAAAAAGAGGGACAAGGGACCAAATAGGAAAGAGCTTGAGAAAATGAGGAAACATGAACGATAGAGAGGGTAAAAGAGAAAGAGATAAATGAAAGAGAGAGCAGACAGCTCCCTGTGGGTGTCTCTGCCAGCCCCCGGAGTGATTGAGAGCTGCAGGCTACACTCTCCAGTTTGTCCCTGCACACAGGACACTGTCACATTTCTTTGACAGGCCAGCAGGCTTCAGGGCTCCTCCGAACATCCCTGACCAGCATGTGGATCATCACTCAGCGCTGGCAAAAAAAATAAAAAATGAGGAAAACCAGAGGCTGCAGCTGCACAATGACAGAGGAAGAACCCTTGGCATGGGTGCGGCTAAAAAAAAGCTAGGCACAAGCCAAGCCATCACTTTACCCATTATTATGTGACAAAGATTTGTGGCTTGAAAAGTTTACTAAACAGGCATCTATCTAACTTTTCTAAGAGTTAATTAAAGTTAAATAGTTATATCATTCTTACTTTGGTCTGTTTTTGAGTATTATTTTACAGTCTGATCACTCTGACCCTTAACCAGTTAACAGGCAGCGCAATCAGCAGAGGGAAAAACCACACTGACAAACAGATCAATCAAAACCCTGTTCAATGGTCGTGTGGCCCATCTGAGTGACCTCTTAAAGCCTCAACATCAGATTGAAGTTTGTAAAGATTACTCTGAGCACTACAGCGTTATCATGGACATGGATGATCATAATCAGTGCATGGTTGGAAAACACAGCAAAGACTGAAAATCTCATGTTGTTCATTAAGGACACCATCGATTTTGAGATTGTCGTATAAGAAGGACGGAACTTGCATCCTCATTGCACAAGGCCTTCCTACTTAATACCCACAACCCCCCGATTGAACCAAGGTAACTTAAAGGGATATTCCTGCGTAAATTTAAGTTATGGTCAAACACACAGTAATACCGCACTCGTCAGGGCTCCCCCACAAACAAGCGGCTGCTGGAGGAGAGTGGGTGAGTTGTGTTTAGTCTCTTTGCTAAAGAAATCAGGCAAAGCTAAAAAGATGTTTGGTGACTAGTGCTATGGTTGGGACCCTACATGTACTGTTGATGAAGTTAGGTGCTGTTCTGAGCATTATTTGTGGCTATAGAGTGGCTTTTTGGTTGAGGTGTGCGTGTGGCTCCATAGACCGCTGTGTATTGCTATCGTATTTCTGAAGTTGGTATGAGAGAAGCGAGGAGTCAGCAATATTCATCTCTCGAGGGGGTGTCTATCTCAGTGTTATGGTGTGTTTGACCATACATTAATCCCCTAAAATTCTATATATATTCCCCGCCTATTTGGATCATGCCTTCGAACTACACCAACATGTCCCCTGAAACACAACTTTGAGGGATAAGAGTGATGATGACAGTCATTGATTGGTGGGTTTACGAGTCATTGTTTGAGACATAACACAACACTGATATAAACACAGTACAAACTGATTGTGGATCATGTTGCACTGTCTTACTTGTGGGTCCATAGGTTGGTGGTTTTATCCCCAGCTCTCTCCAGTCTGCTTGAACTGAGCAAGACACTAAACCTCAAGCTGCTCCCAAAGGCATGGCCAGCAGCGTTTAATGTGTGTAAGCGTGGTTAGTGCTGGTGGGCAGATAACCACTTTACATAGCAGAGCTTTCAGAGTATGAGCATATGTATGAAAGGATGAATGGGACATGTGTAGAGCATTTTGAATAGACATATGACCAGAGAAATTCAGTTCATGAACCGTTTTTCTCTCTTGTTATTGATAAGAAATAGGGATGTAACCTCAGTGCAATTGTGGACATGTGACTGTATAAAACAATAATTCTTGTGGTTTTGTTGTCTTCCTTCATTTGTATTTTTGGTGTGTAGTTCCACAATGTTCGTTCCTGTTTCATGTGTGTTCTCAGTGTTTCGATGATCCTGTTCTCCTCATGTTAAAAGTGTTTTATTCTTGTGGTTAGCTTTTAGTGCTTCCTGGTTTATTTTGTAGTTCCTTCTTCTTGTGTGTCTGGTTTGGTTTGACTTCCTGTGTTTTCCTTCCCTAGCAATAGTCTGCACCTGTGTCTTATTGTCTCCCCTGTCTCTTGTTGCTCATTACCCCGTGCGTGTCTATAGCCCCTGTCTTCCCCTCCTTCTTTGTTGGTTCATTGTCTAAGCCTGTCCATGTTTTGGCGTCATCTTGTGTATTCCCAGTGCTACTGTATTCTTCTCTGCCGCCACTGTTTTGTTTTTTGGATTTGCATTTTGTTGGACTTTGAGTCGTTATGTTACAGGAATAAAGTTGTATGGAAATAAAATCACAATATCACAAAAATAAACTCATATCGTAAGGAGAATAAAGTCATATTGAAGTTAAAATATTATGAGAATAAAGGCCTAATAAAATCGGAATATGAGAGTAAAGTCCTTATATTACAAAATAAAGTAATTAACTTGGTGATTAGCCAAATGCTGTTTGTGAATGGGGATGCCACATGCCTCAGCTTTTTGCAGTCTTTTCAGAGCCTCATACTTGTAACAATGTGGTGATGAGATGACAAAACACTGCGAACAATTACAGCATGAGACGCTGCACGTCCTCTCTTTGGGTATAGGCAGCTGACGTCTCAATGTAAAATCAAAAAAACGAAACAACAATTTTATCGTGGCTTTATTTTTATAACAATGTGAATTTACTCTTGTAACTTTACAACCTGATTTCCTTACAACTTTATTCTTGCAACATACCCACTATTTTTCTCAAATTCTTCCAAAAAACTTCTTAAATGTGACTCTGAGACTTTGTAATGTTTTAAATCTGCTGTCTGTATTTTTTTTTATTTTTGCTTTGTTTTTTGGTTTAACAAAAACCAACAAAAAACACAAAGCAAATGACGCCAGACTGTGGCATTGTCAGCATCATGAAGCTGCTAACTAGTGTCTGTTTGGTAGGGGTGGAATCACTAGTGGCCCCACGATACGATATTATCAAGATACTTGGGCCACGATACGATATTATTGCAATTTTTAACATTTTGCAAAACAGTGAGGATTGCGATACAATATATTGCGATTTATACAATTTTTCAACTGTTAAGCTAATTCAGCATTCATCTTTCCTTTATGTTTGTCTTATTTACTCTGTATTTTATTTTCATGTAGCACATCTTGCAAACCTTTTATATGTTTGTTGTACTAACTTTCTCCTGCCCTAAGATGTCACCTCTGCCAACCTCACCGGACAAACTGTTGATTTTATTTTTCTATTATCAGAGATTTTAATTTATATTAGCAAATAATTTGAAAAATCGATACTTATCATATCACGATATCACGATACTAAACTGTATGGATTTTTTCTCCCACCTCTAAACTGTATGAGCTGATTTCATCGTAAAATACCATCATTCTCCAAAATTACCAGAGAAATGCCACAGTCTTTCTTCACCACCAAAGTATTCAACCAAAGACTTGTCAAGAGAGCAAAGCTTTTGGTTTAGACTCTGATTTGGACTGTACTTTTTTTTCCCTGTCTGTCTTGCTGTCTGTTCATTCATTTATTCATTAGTTTCTTATGCCATAATTCTTTGGCCCTGACAACATACAACACAGTCACCCCATAGCCTCCCTCATCAAATTCATCGTCACTTCTATCCGCATAATGTGATCCTATCGCTGCATGTAATGCTGAAATATGAATAGCATGAACATACACATCATATCTCTGGAACAACACCATAAATTAGTATTTGTCATTTTTATCTGCATCTGAGTAAAAATGCTGCTCCATGCCTTAGAAAGGGTGCAGAGTCTTATCACCTCATACTTCATGTCTCTCTATCTCTGTAGGATGTCTGCTTTTAAATAATGGCTTTTTCTGCCCTTCTGCAGAATAAATTGCAGCTACTAGAAGTGTTTCACGACAGTCGTGGGGATTAAAGTGGCAGCAGTTCAAAGACTATTCACAGAAATACTCTCAGACTGACTTCACATGTCTGGGACCATTGCAAGAGTGTGGACACCCGCTTGTTGTGCGCTAAAAAGATCAGTACGGTTACAGGTGTATATTTTCAGCTTATGAAATTATTTGAACATTCCTAGTCTGGCATCTATTCACATGTGATTGTGCATATTATGCATGTCCAGAGAAAAACATCAATAACTGCACAGATCACCAGCATTCACTGTAGCATAATACATACAGCCACGGCTATTGATTTCTGTGGCATGGGGTTTTATATTGATTGTTATTCTAACTCTGGTGAAGCAGTTGGGCTGGAATGTTGAAGCCACACTTCAAACTATGGGCAAAGGTTGTATTATGCTTGTAAGAGAAGTTTCAACTCAAAACCTGTGTCCAAAGGGCTGAAAGATACCTCAGTACTTCTTGTACTGACCCTTTGAACCATTGCAATGACCCCCATCAGTCAGCTACGCTAAACTGGTTCCTTTATGAATGCAAGATGACGTCAAGCAAACCCTATTAAACAGACCGCAGCAGGCGCTGTAGTGGCAGTGTGTGTAAACATTTCAGAGTGAAAATAAAAAGGGTGGTTTTGAATCAAAAGAAACAAGATGAGGAAAGTTAGCAGCAGCTCAGCACGCACCCCTTAGGACATGTTGAGCTGACCAGACAAGCTCATTTAAATCATAAAATTGTCATCTACAAATTTATTTCATCTTTACAAAAAAAATAAAAAAATAAAAATGTGTGACAGAATACTAGAGCACAGGAATCTCAAATATATACTAAAGTTTAATTCGATTGACCATCTGAGTTTAATTATTGTTCTCCCTCTAGGGATATTCTACCCAGGCAGTATTACGAAGCATATTAACTGATAAAAACTATCAATTTAAATTAATGTTAAACTGGAATGTAATGCAAAGCATACTAGGTGATAAAAAAATATCCATTTAAATTTGGTTAAACTGGAATGTCGTGTGTACAATTTTTGCAATACCATCTACTTTGAGGCCACACTAACTTCATGACTACACACCAATCTATTTGTAAGTTTGAAGTGTTTTCAAAAAGTTTCTGATCTAATATCTCTCGGTATTGCCGTCTTAAAAGATCATTTTAAACTTTTATTTTGTTACTCCCACCAAATCTCAAATTTAAAAGATCTATAATGGAAACTTTAAACTCAATAACACAATCTGCTATGACCACCTACACCTACACCAAAGCCACCTTTAGCTGAGCGAGGACCATTATTTACAATTCCCCCTGTAATACCCGGGGGAAAACCCAAACCAAAAGCTCAGCAAAAATAAAGAGAACCAATAAAATCTGTGCACAATAAATTGTGACAATACGTTAAAAAATCATGCTCAGCAGTGGAGTTGCCTCAGGGAAGCTATAACCTTTACTGAGGCAAATAACCAGGCTTAAAATATAAAGTAATAACTTTAAATCACAGCAGAAACAAGAGGACACTATGTTACTGGTTCAGTGTTGGCAACATTTAGAGATCACATTCAATCCAAAAATGAGTCATCTTAAACATGATGCAGCCAGAATTAGTTTGTTCTTTGTGTGTTTTACAGTGAAAAAAAAACTGTACAGTAATAAAAGGGAAACATGAGCCAAGCCAAAGTAAGATAACAATATTACTGCTGAGTTCAGATTAGATTAAAAACTGAGGAAGAGTCTGAAAAAATCTCCTTCCAAAACAAGTTAATAATGCATGATAATGCGGGAACATACATACAATAGCCACTGGAGTGCAAAAGGAAAAAAACATTGGATTTATTTCTGTAAATTTAATTATCTTCAACTTGAGATTAACAAAGAAATTAATTGGCCTAAATAAGCTCAGCCTCCCTCTTCTCCCACTCCTCTTTTGCAGAGTAACAACAAAAAGTAGCAAAAGCAATTCCTGGGCTGAGCTGAGAGACAGGACGAAGGTACATGCCTGTGGGAATGTGTTATTGTTAGGACTAATAATGTGCGTTGTTCATCAGAGACACATCGCTATCTTAATTAGGACCCAACAAGGTTGGTCCATGAGTGCCCCGATGAGAGTGTGTCTTATAAACTAGTTCCTGGGGAGATTGGGGTGAGAACTGATGGGGGCTGCTTTCCCTGTGGGACACCCACTGCCTCATTAGGAAGAAGTTCAATTTCCAGTAAATTAAAGGAGGGCATTGTTAGAAATGTGATTTGTGGATCAGGGCCCTAATGGATGGACTTATCCTGGTAAAACAGTTAACAGAGTGAACCTTGAAGCTGGAGGTTTGTTGCAGAAAATAACGAGGACCAAAACAACCCCTTAACGTGCAGATTCCACCTAAAAACCCCACATCCACCAGTATTCAACATTACACATGCCAGAAAATATTACAAAGACATAAAAGGAACTACTTGACATTTCCTAAAACAAATGTTTGGAAAGGCTCCTGCTGAAGACTTACTGCAGAGCTTGTATCAAAATCTTTACTCCTACTTGGAAACCTAACAATACACATACATAATCAGCTATTTTTAGATTCAGCAGCACTCATGCTTTGTGGGGATATCATGAGCTCTGATGTCTATAAATCTTGTGGCTGCAAATCTACTTTAAAAAATCCCTGAAAAAAGACAGTCCTACTCAGTGACAACATGCCAGGGAATTATCTAGTTTAGTGAGGGGAATCCAAGTTTGTTGATATGTGTCTTTGAATCCAGGAATACACTGCAAATACCCAATGAAGATTGCTAATTCAGAGTGCTTTGAATGTTAGCATGTAACATTTTAATTCACAGTCAAGTTCAAACATGAGCTTGTGTGTTGAGGTAATGTTAAACAGGTAGGTGGGACTTTTGCTTGAATAGTTATGCTGATATTTCAGTCTTTATTCAGTTTTCTTTTTCACTGGGCTTTTCAGTTGACACACTTTTAAACATGAACAAATGTTATACAGTATTTATTAAGGGCAAATGATACAACTTTTTTGTTTTTTGTTATCAGCCAGCCTCTTACAGATGCTTATACTAGCTCTGCTTGCTGTGGCATGGATTGCAGGACATGACCTTTTCCACTCCTCCCTGTCAGACACAGTTGAAGTCAAGTAGCTCCTCAGGCTGATCTCTCATCTGTGCCTGCTGTCTGTCATTCCTAACTTTCAAGACCAGACTGAGATTGTTTACCAATTTTGAATGTAAATGCAAACTAACATTTTGCCACAGTGTCAACAGGCTGAGGTAAAATGTGCTAGACTGCTTTTGTGTCTCCTGGCATTCCTTTAGCTTTTGAGACCCAATCACTGCTAAAAAAAGAGAATACACAAAAATGACGCAGAGAAAGTTGTAAAATATGTTAAACTGTTTGTTTGTTTGTTTGTCTTGACTCCAGTTAAAAAAATGGCTTCAAATATTTGATGTTACAATAGATAATACAGTTTGAGCTCTGTTTATATGGGCCTAGCAATGACCTTATTTTTTTCCGTACTCTTGTTTTCCAGTATCTTTTGCTTTGCAGACTTAATAATCATCAGAGAACATAAGTCTGGTACAAGTATCTATTTATTAAAAAAAGAAAAGAATACTGAACCTTTAAATCCTCCGAACTGCTAGAAAATATTTGAGTGCACTCTACTCGCCATTGGACTTTGAAGTGCACTTAGATATATTATCTGGTTGGATTGGAGCACAATATAATGTCTGCTGAGTATCTCACATTAAATTTTCTATTGATGCTGATGGGTAGGTCTTTCATTTCGCTCCTTTATGCTTTGACTTTGTGCATGGAAACAGGACAAGAAGAACATTTCAATGTACTGTAGCACTAATCAACTCTCTGGTATCTTCTCTGTGTTCAAACTCATCAACTATATTGCTCTAATCGCCTCCGCAGACTTCCATTATGACTGATTTCTTGATTGATGCCAGGTTTGTGCAGAAAACCTCCTGTCCTAGATGCCGTCCTTGACACATTCCCACACAAACCCAGTCTCAGAGGAGGTTCAGGCAAAAAAAAATGTTCTTAGTCTGTAGGATTGAATAAACTCTGATTTAAAGTGACACATCCAACTCTTTATAGCGCAGAACAACTATTCTTCAAAGGGTCAGCAAATGAACACAAGATAACATCTTGTGAATGACTCTGAACACATAACACAACAGCAATCTAGATATATCAGTATGGACAAAACTGTCCATTAAAATAACTGATATCGTGCTGAAAATCAGTATCCAGTGATGAGTATAAGTATGAGTATGTGGTATTCAGTGTTCTTTATGGTTCTTGTGCTTTCCACGATAAAATGGTGAGAGGTACGAAGAAGCTAGCTAGCTGTAGCAGCCCTCTGTAAAAAGGTCAGACACTTTTGAAACTGATGATTCAAGATTTTCTATGAATCTAAAGACAACTTAAAGGCTTGTGGTTGAGTATTTCATACTCTGTTGAAATTTTAGCTGTTTTCATTTAGTTCCATAACTTCCATCCACCAGAGGAATACTTCTTTTCAAAATAAAAGCATTTTACATCATAGGAAAGAAAGCAACCTCGATGCACAACAGTAAAAATGTCAAATTTAGTGTTACCAACAGTTGCTTATAGGTCAATCCTTTCTCTTCAGAAGGTCTGTCATGGGGCTCAGGAAATTGATAAAAAATATAAACCCGGCTGATATCATGCCAGTAAGTCATTTATCTTTATTTGTATGGCTATGAAGTGACCTGATTTTTAAGATTTAATTTGAGTAAAACTAAGTTATCTGAAAATATTGTGAGGATATCATTGTCATGAATGTTTTGAGTGTGAGCTGAGCTAGCAACTCTGCTTGGACTTATAAAAAAATTAAATGGCATATTAATGTAATGACTGAACTGCCAAGTCAGATTCAGTAGGCATGTAACAGTTCCATAAGAGATGGTTAAAAATCGATACAAAGGGAACAAAGGACAGTGGGAATCGATGAGATAAAAACAAACTATCAGTGAGCCCAGTTAAAACAGCAGGAGGTGCTCTGTGCTCTCTGGATTGTGGCGATCTAATGTCATACGTGTAGAGCAGATGATGATTTTGCAGTCATGGATGAACTGTTTCCCACACATGGACAGTACCTGGACTGTCCACCAAGGAGGCCATTTAAGAGTTTTTGTTGTTTTTAATCCATACTATCTCTTATCTTATCTTATCTTATCTCTCTGTATCTTTAAATAAAAGCTTGTTTCTTCAAGGAGTGCAAATACATCCAACAATATCTTTTGTACCTTTTGTGTGCTGGAGAAATAAAAGCGCACCTGTTACTAAAACAGAAAATAAAGTTGCAGAGACAGTGGTAAAATGGCAAAATAAAAGCATCACAAAAATCTGTTATTTGTGGCACTTTTTGTCTTAAGGTTAATCATGTAATCATATCCTGATTTCAGTTTACTCTTACAGGTAAGTTTTGTTTTTGACAGAAAATAACTGTAATAAATCTACATAATATATTAAATGTTGTATATTTAAAGTACAACACAACAGTTTTTCTGACCAACAAACTGCAACTTTGGGGAAAAAATGACAGCAGTGTGATGTCACATATAAAAATATATTTCAGCAACAACAAACTGTTTGCTATTTGCTATTTTGAAGACAGATTTCTGCTCAGCATACAAGTAAAACTGCTTTTGATTTGAGTTTCCCCTCTGGCACTTGTATGTATGATCAAAGATGTTCAGACTGTATGTAGAAACTCAAAGAAAACTCTGCAGTGTTCACAAGTAAGGCAAGTATGGGTTACATTGAGAAACTCCAGTTCAGGCTTGTCTCCAACTACATATTCAACACTGAGCTGATGTTAAAATTGAGGACGCAAAACTTGGTGAGTTGAACTCCTGAACTTGTGACTTCGGAAACTAAATGAAAACTTTCCTGCATTGTTGCTGGATTAAGCAAACACCTGACAGGAGTGTGTGATTTGATCCAGTTTGGTGTACATCCCTGTCATGTTTTTTATACATATGGGAGAGTCCAACAGGAATAACTGTACAATGTAGTACTTCGTGGCTGCTCCTGTAAGCTTACATAGCAGTGTGTAGGAGAGTGTAGTGTATTATTATGTAACTTTACAATGTTGGGTGAACAAGGATGATTTATGACCTGAACAGCCTCTCATACCAGTACTTCCTCCCACTTATCAAAACGGCCAATAATGCATGTAGTTGGACACACACAAGCTTGAAATATCGCTCAGTCTATGTGGGCCCAGAGGACTAAGGCATCTTCATTAGGGGACAGATCCCCCTGCAGCCATTTCTTATCCCACAGAGGCCATATATTCCTCACAGAGATTATCACCCTTAAGTGCCCCATAACCTGCATTACAAACCCACAATCTCTGCCTCATATCAAACAACACATCTGACAACAGTATCAGTGTAAAAATGCCACCGCCTGACAACCTTTATTTTCATTGTGAGGTGATTGTAAGTCATTTGAAAACGAGCCCACGGTAAATTCAGACGGAGGCAGTTTCTTTCTTTCCCCCAGGCAAAAACATCAATAGTGGAGAGAGAGGATCCAGGACAACCTATAGCCCAGGACAGATCAATAGCTCAACAAACTCAGTAAAGATTGACTGGAGAGTTGCCTGGAAACATCCTGGTTCAGATTTATGACAGGAGGGGGGACATGAGCCAACAGGAGAAGCTGGAGCATGAGAGAGAGGAACCTCAGAGGAATCGGAGGAAGTCTCTGCTTTGTGCCTCTCAGGGTTGAAGTGACTTCTCACCGAGAGGATACAACAATTTTACAGACACGTGACAAACGTGTATCTTTAAGTTTTTATTTTCTAATTTTTTGTTGCATCAGTTTATAAATCAAGAAAGGGCAAACTAAACGTATGGCCAATCCAGGAGCGTTGCTAGGTGTAAAGCTCTACTGGGGCACACTCTGGTCCATCAAGAAACCCCGGGTACCCCTATGCGCCAGGGCAAAATGTTACAGCATGACATGTGTAAATGGCGAAAAATTCACAGACATCCCTCATAAACACAGAAATGAACGACACCACATAGGATGTTGGTGTGAGTCCAAGAGGCTGTCTTGTAGGCCCCAGCATGACGCAAGTGCTTAATGAATTTCATAAATCAAGGTCACAGTAAATGAATGCCAAAGCTTTAGTCAATTCCTAACTGTGTGAATATGAAAGCATTCAATTCTATACATACACCATAAAGGACAAGAACGTTTACTCAGTCATGTCCCTTGTTGGTCTCTGAATGGGGGGTATGGAGCCCAAAGTTGGGGTATACCATATTTGAAATGCTAACCTCAGCTAACTTCCTCCTGTGTGAAGCCTTGGTATGTTCAGTTGTCTGTAAAAGAGTTCAGTTCTGCCACAAAACATGGTCTTTGCTGTAAGCTCTGTTGGGGTCTCCAATGCCCTGTTACACCAGCTCTGTTTTAGGTTAGGATGTAAAGGTCCACACTTGACCGTACATTTAAACTGGTTATTGATATTGTGCTAAAAATAAGCATAAGGTAACACCGTGAGCACAAAATAGTAGTTTTTATGCTGGGCCACATCTTTCAACAGGGGATAGACAAAGAAAAAGAAGAAGCACACTGCTAGCAAACTACCTGTAGCAACCCTTTTTTGAGGTGATGCAGTACTTTGAGAAAAACTAACTTTTTAAAAGACTTATTGTGAATCCAAGAACAATGTTAAAGCAAATACCTCTTCAGTTTACTAATCAGTTAAACTTTTCTTAATTAAACTATTTCTTAATCGTTTATTTAACTGTTTTCTTTCAGTTTTGTTACTTACAATACCAGAGGCTGTATACATGGAGTGAATACAGCAATCTTAACCAAAGACAGAAAATAATCAAAATAAAATCATCGGAATCATTTATGGAGCAATTTCTGCTCCAGAGAAGCCTGCATCAGAGAGCTGTTATCAATCATAAATTTAAACAGAGTAAGAAATGGATGAATGTAAGGTTATTGTGTGTATGAGTTAAGTTTATCAAGTAAAATGTTATTCCAACCTTTCTTTGTGTTTCTTCGATTTCATGGATTGTTTTTTTTTTTTACTTTTACATTACTCTCGCAAAGCCAATATAACAGTAAGGTGAAGATCTTATTTGGTGACAGCCCGGGGTTATTTTGAATTTTTGCATCGCTGGTGCAACGCAGTGCTGGGTTTTTAGAGTTTGGCCTCAAGTGGCCACTCAAGGAACTGCAGTTTTTTGCACTTCCCATATGACTGTCAAGGTTTGCCTCTGATCATATGTTTGTTGTCTATCTTGATTTTCTTTTTACAGCTATTTCAGCCATTTTTATGAGCATTTCAAGGAGAGGTTATTAACACGTCTGCAACGTCGCTGTTAATTTCACAGAGATGAGACGGTGGGACCGAGCTGTCTTCCTGCTGTGCCGACATCAGAGGTAGTAACAGAGGTGTTATAGGAGAGAAACAGGATTACTGTGAAACTGTGGGGACAGCAGGTGGGAACAGTGCTGGGTGTAGTTTCAGCTCCTGATGTGTGTTAATATGTCGTGCCTCTTGTGCTCCTGCAATACAGTAACACAATTTAAAACCACACTTTGGGACACTAATATTACACCATCAAAGAAACAATATAACAGTACAAAGATGCACTGACCACAGAGCTTTGACATAGCTCCACTGTCAGCACAAATACTTCTGTTGCAGACTTGCATTTTCCATCTCAGAAAACTAAAATATGTATTTAATGTATTTTCTCCCCTCTTTACCATATGTCACCCTGCTCCTGCATGCAGAGCATAGGAGCACAGCAGCAGCAGCAGCCGTCTTCCATAGACTCCAGCTAATTGAATATCCTTATCTGGCTTTAAACCCCACTTTCCCTCGGTGAACTGAAAGGCGGCACATTTGTATTCACCAACAGACACTTTCAGAGGAAACCCAACACACACACACACGAACAAGGAAAACAAACTGTACTGTATTGCACCAGATGTAATTTTGTTTCCAGGCAGGTGGACCATGACCAGACCCCACACTGTACTGTAAACCGTTAAGAGTAGCTATCTTCATGCTAGTCTATTACATCTCACATGATAAAAGTTGTGCCAACAGCCTGCAGCTGTGATTTTTTTTCTTCTTCTTTGCAATTAAGTGCTGCAGTTTTGTAATGCCTCCTGGGCCCTTTAGTGTAAATTGATTCTATTTTAAAATCCTTCCCCCACCCCCCAAGACCAACAGTGGAGAAGAAGAAGAGGAAGAGCGAGTGATTGTGGCTCTAAATAAAAGGAGAAGCGGGAGATGGATGCGGCGTCGTCAGTGAGAAGGGTTAAAAAGAAAATGGCAGCAACAAAAAGGGGATGTGCTCACAGTGTGATAGTGGCCCATTAAGGGGTTAACAGTTGGAGGGAAGGCGATAATGGAGACTGGAGCAGCTTGTATAGAGGAGCCACATACCAACCACTGACATACAGCAGAGAAAAACAGAGAGAGGGAAACGATGCAACAACACTCATTTCATGTCAACATTGTGCCAACACTGAATAAATAAATAAAACTTTCACATATAGTATTAAATCAGTGTTTTTTACAGACACCTCTGAAAACACATGCATTTTGTTCACACCAGTTCACACATTGGTTCACTCTTTTTTGTAAACAGGCCTGCAGATGCATAATTGAGCATTGTGGAGACTACAGTGTAGAAATAAAGAGAAGGAGAAGAAGGGGGACTCCCTCATGACTCCAACACTGTGTCACCGGCATGGTAATCATACACTTAAGCCATCCGTCCACTCGTGATTTACCCTCACTCTATGTCCTCCCTCTGTCACATAAACACAGGTACATATAAACATGCGCACATGCACAAAAACATAACTTATGTGCAACAGAGCACACAAACACACCCGCGCACACACATAAACCAGAGAGAATGCCCGCTGGAGCAGATGATGTTTTCCTGCAGCTTAAATCACCTGTTGTTAACCTCAGCAGACCTTGTTGCTGCTGTATATACAGGAAAGCAGCTTTTTTGCTCTCCAGCAAGGTGATTTAAGGTAACAATAGGGTGGGGAGGGGAGAGCAAAGCTGAAGGAAAGCAGCTTCATTCAACTCATCTTCTGTTTCAATTTGTAAAGCCTGCGTGTTGGAAAGGAGCCACTAAGGCTGCGGATAGCATAACACACACACACATGCATACAGTAAATCGTATATTATATTTGCACACACACACGCACATAAATGGACGCCTCCAGATTAAAGCTTGGGCTAAATTCTCATTCCCATTGAAGCTTCTTTGTTTGCATAAAGGTAACAAATTGTACTGGCATTTTCTATAAACAGCTGAAGGCGGAGTAGATCTGATGGGATGCGGTTCAGCTAAGGCTTTTTGTTCCTTGCTGAATATTTATCAGTGGCCGGAGGAGGCAGTGATTGAGTTTTACCGCAGAAGAACTGTTATGTATCATGTGCTGTAAATTAAGTAGTACAGCAGCTCAGGGGATCCACAGTCAAACTCCGACCTGAGGGCATAAAGACCTGATGAGAAAGAGGAGAAATAGAGTGCCCATGCAGGCAGAGTGGGGAAACACACAAACAAACGCACACACGTATGCGCACACAGCCTCTCCATATGGAGTTCCACAATGGCAGGAGCCGCTTTTCAAACTTGCATCTTTCACGCGCGGGCTGTAAGTAAAAGCGCCAGTCGATTGTGCGAGCGAAGGATGATGAAATCACACATCTCCCGCGTCTCGTTTCTGCACTGTGCTCTCCCACCGAACACTGTGTTTAACAAACATTCAAAAACAGCCAGCAGGCAATACTGAAATGATGGGTTCACACATTGACTGTTTTACCAGATATGGAGAGAGTTCACACACGCGCACACACCTGCCTGATTTACACGTGTATAAAGCCATCATCACATGTCTAAATCTCCTTGGCATTATGATGAACGACAAATATTTGCTTATAGCTGCATTACTCATACTCTCAGACCCTTTTGTGTTGTGATCACGCCCTAACGCAGGAATGGCCTCAGATCAATAACCTAATTAGCCATAAAGCATATGCATTGTGGTGATACATTATATGCCTGGCAACCCCTTGGCTTGCATCTCACAGGAATTACCATATAAATGAACTGTGGCCATTTATTAAGCTAAGAGCCACAGTGGGGACCTGGCATGCTAACACTGGAGCACAGTAAAAAAAAAGTGTAAGTTACAACACGCATTAGGAAAGAGAAACATCATGAGAGGTCGAGCAGTCGGGTTACAAATTGCATCGACTGCTGGCAGAGCGAAAACATCTGCCATGCTGTGCCTCCACCCGCCGAGTAAGTAAGTAAGTATGCGGCGAGGAAACCCCCAACACGCTTTCTTTCCACTCTTTGTGTTCAACTGGACTGCAAGTAATTCAATACACTTCTCCTTGTGCAGGCTCACTCAAATGAAACGCAAAGGGAATGAACTACATCAAGTGGAGCACTGTTTGAACCACTTACAGTAACACCAGTGTTTGTGTGTGTGTGGGGTTACCCCTCAGCGTGTGTGTGTGTGTGTGTGTGTGTGTGGAGCATGAGCAAGCCTGTTCTATGTGCTTGTGTAAAAATGAATCTTAATCTGGTAAATAGTCTTGTTCTGCACATGTTTCCTTGACCAAACCTTAACACCCTGACAGAGAGAGAAAGAGAGAGAGAGAGAGGGAGAGAGGGAGACAGCTACACAATACCAGGTTGATCTCTCCATAGCAACACACATGGTAACACAAATCTATTTCAGAGCAGTGAGCGCAGCGTAGCACTTAAACACAGCCAACTAAAAAAAAAAAAAAAATAGGGAAAACAGCAATCAATTATTAAAAGAGCTTCATGTTCATACTTACAGCCTGTGTGTTGCCAGCTGCAGCCCAAACTGAGTGTCTCACACAGTGCTCACCTACCTCACTGTGTGCGATTGTTTTGCCTTATCACAGATCTATAGCAGAGCCACTCCTTCATCACACACAGAGGATGTGAACTAAAGGATCTGCCCCTTGTCTGACATTTCATTTTTTTTAAAAGCAGCGTGTGTTTACTTTCAAGGTGTTGGCTGCCCTCAGACATATACACGCACACACACATACACACACATAGGAGGCAGTGGAAACATGGACGCCCTAATGAGAGGAAAACAAGCGCAGGCCTCTGTAACAGCGGCAGAGATGACCGATAGAGAAAGTTTAAATCAACTTAATGTTTCTCCTGGCAGGAGTGCGTACTCTAAATCTTAGCACTGTAAGAACATCTGTCGACATTAATTGTTCCACAGCTCCAACATTTGACGTTTTCTTAGTGATATTACAAAACCAACACAATCACACAACTGATAAGATAAAGGGAATTTTTTTTAAGAGAACCAACAATCGAATTACTTCAACATTTTCCTAAGTTCAGAGAGTAGACAACCTTAAAAAAACACTGTAACTTTCCTTTAATGGGCTAGTTTTTGTTATAGGAAAATCTGAGCGCAGAGTGGAGAAAACAGGAGATGGAGAAATGATCAAACAAGATGCTTGAAGAAGCAGAAAAACTGGAAATATTTACATAGAAACAAAAGAGAATTTCCTTCTTTTGTTTTTCCACTTAATCAGCTGCCGAAATTCTGTCGGTTTTTTTTGAGGTAACTTCACTTAAAGAGCACATTTCACAAACACTCGAAATATAGCAACAAAAATTGATAAAAAATAGACAAAAAATTGCAAGACTTAAAAGAATAACTATGACAAAAATATTTGAAGCCATTAATAATGAGGCATCAGCAGCCACACTCTTCTAAACAGGCAGCTCAGGGTTCAGTCCCAAACTTGTGGCCTTCTACAGCATACATTCTCCACTCTCGCTCCCATTCTTATTGTCCTGTCTCTCAAAAAGGTTATTTAAAAAAATACTTGATGAAAAATTGAAGAGTTAACAAATAAAAACCTTGAGGCAAAAAAAAAAATCATAGAAGAATTAAAAGAAATGACAAAATTAGACTGGCCAAAACTCTGCAGTGGTTTAAAAGCCTAATTAAAAAAGGCAAATCCAAAATTTACTTCTGAAGATACAGTGAGCTTCTACCATTTTGATATTTAGAGGCAGAGAGTCAAACCCCACCTGCACTAAATCCTGCAGCCACAGAGACACTAAGTCGGTTGCAAGTGCCACTTTGACGAGCACCTTGTTGACCTTTCTCAGATCATATAGGCTGATTATACACGTGTTGGACCGCAGTTTGGCAGCATCCGCACAAAAGGCTCGGCTGTAATGGCTTTCCTCCTCTTTCAAGCCATCCATTCTGCAATGACACATATAACCTTATGTTCTCCAGAAAGGTGGGCTGGCGACTTGTCTGACACACACACACTCTCCCTCTCTCTCTCATACACACACACACAGACACGACAAAGCAGCTTGCAGGCACAGAGCACCTAACAAACATGTGTGATGTGACAGGAGAACACAGATGGTCCAAGGTTCTGAATATTTTTATTCCCTTTTGTACTTTTAACCTCTGATCTTTTCCCTATATGTGTAGGAGACAGATCAAGAGATCAACATGAGGACTTCACACTGGATGATAAGATGTATAATGAGGCCATGATGCACCAAAAGAACTAATTGTAGTCTAAAGCATGAAGTAGCCACCCAAAAACCAATTTGACGGTTACACATGATTTCAAAAAGCTTGAGGAAAATTATTCATTTGAGTAATTTTCAAGAATTGAAGAGAAACAGATCCTGAGGGTTTCCTTGTGTTTCATGCTTGTTATTATGTTCTCTGGTCAAATTTGTGGATCCAAAACAGCTATTTCATTTATTTCACTGGTTTCTTTTATACAACGATGAAAATAGCTGTCTCATTTATAATTGTTGTTTACTTTAAAAAAGGGAAATTCCAACCTTTCTAAAAATATGATTTTCAATTTAATACTTATAGGTAATTTTTAAGTATTTAAATATTTATTTTTGAGTTTGTATTAAATGTATTGTGCGTATTTTTCACACAGTTATAGATACAGCACAGAACATTTATCAAAATTTGTCAGTCATGTGTATCCAGAATTGACCTCTCATTTCTGCCATTCTTCAGCGTTAATTGATAAATCTCGATTCCTTTGTCATCTCTATTCCTTTGCAGCTTCCTCTACTGTCGCAGCCATATTAAGTACAACCTTTGAAACACTGAATTTGTTTTTGGTGGTATTTGGTAGCGTTGGCCCTCAGCCAGGAGGCAAAAACTATTTCATGAGTTTTAAAAAGTAAAATACAAAAGTAATTCCCGTTGGATTCAGACTGTAATTAGATTTTCTGCTGTTTTTAAAGCAATAAAACTGTCAAACTTGATTAATTAATGGAATACTTTGACATTTTAATCTCCTTATCGAAATCCTAGAGGGAAGTAAATATAAACATAAAGCAGTTACATCAAACTTTTCTTTGAGTATACACATACTCTGCAGACAATGATAAAAAGCTGCTGTTACTGTTCAGTGAATATTTAATTACTGTTTCTGTTTTCAGCAAAACACAAGGTCTGTGTATCCTCAAAATGAGATCCAATCCCTCCATGTTCATGTACAACAGAGTCTCTATAGAGAAATCATCCCAGCAGTAAGTGGCAGCATTAGAGTACTTACACAACTGATCACAATAGAAGCAGCTACGGACCTTTCAAAGCACAATGTTATTGAGGCAGGACACAATATCGTACAAGCTGCCATCAGTTCAGTGGGTAGGCGATCGGGTTTCAGGTTGTGCTGTAATCGTATACACTTTATCAGGCTTGTTCTGTCGCAAGTGTTTTGTTTAAGGGATTTCAAAAGGGGAGGCTGTTTCATTGAGGGCTGCTCAATGCGATGTAACCACGATACCACAAATATCCCTGAATGGATAAGTGTGTCTGGCCGGATCAAAATACTTGGATCAGAGCGAGTGGAAAAGGTTTGATACTTAGCGAGAGCCCGTCAGGGGAGAACTTTGAAGATTTGTTTCCCCTTCAGATTTCCTGTTTTGAGCTTGTGCAAGAAACGTTTCTTGCTTACAGAGGATGTTTATTGCTGTTTGATTATTTGTAAGAGTGGAGAAAGTTGTCTTGAAGCTTTCACTTGTCAATTCCTTCATTATTATTTTGTGACAGTATCTGAGGAGGTTGTCGTAATGACTGGTATCCTACTTCATACTGACATTTTCAGACTATTTTCCAGCTTTTTTTTGCATGAGCTGTCGGAGATAAGCAATAACAGTTTAGATAAGCCAAATAAAACCCTCACATATCTTAGTCTGAGTGGATTTAAAAGGCAGGTCTGCTACCTTACAGCAGTTATCTGTAATAAACTGGACCCACCAAAGATTTCCAGGAGATGATGCACCATAGAGTGACAGAAAATTGCTGTCATGCTTTACCAGTAGAATCAAAATACTGTAACAGCCTCAACAGATAATTACGCGTGATAAATGAGCGGTTACCTAGCATTTGTTTTCCCCTTTTTGTTCTTATTTTTTGTTGATCTAAATGAATAAAAGATGGCAACAGCTCCTTACTAAATTCCTCTATGCTGCATTGCATCAGCTGATTAGGAGCAAATTGAGCCCTCACAGTAGACCAGTATAGTTAACACACAGTGCTATAACTCCTCCTTATATGTTATTTAAACTTTGGACGATTATTTTGGGAGTATTGGGTCAATAAATGCTAGTTTGTTTCAAAAAGTTTCTCTTCAGCTCATATGTCAGGCAAAGCTTCTGTCTCTTGGACTTTAATTTGGACCAGTTCAGTGACAACCTCAAGAAAAGTAAAGTTTACTTTCCCTTCCGTTATTTGTTCTGCTGATGCTCCAAGATTGAGCCAAGTTCAGAACAGTCATGTCAAGGTGGTTTGGTGTACCACCTTTTGCTACCGGCGCCAGCTCAGCTCCTGAAAACATCTGCAGCATTTTAAAAAGGAGTCTGGTGCTCTTATTTAGATGCTGCAGCCTCATCAGAGGCTTCATTTGCTTCCCCTCTTTCTGTGATGTAAAAACTTCACATTAACTGCATCCACAGAGCAAAGTAGGGCAGGAAAACCCCGGTAAAGGTCAAAACATTACTCATTTAAAAATTAAGACAGCATCATAATCAGTTTTGACCAATAAAGGCATTGGTTTGTCTTTTAAACTGCATTAAATTGGTGTTATAAAAAGTCATTTTCCATGTGGTAAGTTTAACACATTGTTGTTAGCTTTGTCAGTGTAATCACAAATGTATGTAAAAGCTTTAATCTGTATTCTTTGATTACTTACATAGACTTAAGAATGAATAAAAAGCAACAAACCTGGTCTTCATTTTTGATAAATTTGTACAGCTTGAACAACCTGTTTAATATCTTCATACACAATGTCACTGTATCATGAGTTAAGTTAACCCTTCAACAGACTTTTTCTTTAGGTCATATTTCATATATATAAGCATGTCCTCCTGATTCTTTGTTTAAAATTGTCAGGACTGATTCATTTATATCCGTCATGTTTAACCAAACTGTAAACCCAAATTGGTACATCTGCTGAAAGACACGGTGTACAATGACAGAGTTGAGGCTCAGGCTGTAAGGCAGCTTCCCGAGCAGAACATACAGCACGGACATCACTGCAAAGTGACTTTTAAAGTACGTTAGCGAGCCAGTGGCTGCTCACGCGGACAGGTACAGCCAGGCCTAGTGTTATAAAGCTAACCACTGTGTCAGCGTCTGAAAGGCAAATTATTAACATCTCCCCAGCTCAGGTACCCCTCTGCTCTGTGGGAACAACAAACGCTTTGTTCCTAATTCAGCCGCCGCGGAGCGTCGTTTGAATTTTTTCACTGCTCCCCAAAACAACACTGCAACATGGAACAGGTGTGTGTGTGCGCGAGGGCTCGCGTTCGCTGTTTGTTTGTGCGTGCTCGCGCGAAACACATGTCAGGTTAGATAAGAAATATTAGGCGCTGGGTTACATGTATGGTTGTATTATATCAGCGTTTAAGGCAAAAAACATGAATGACGACTCAAAAATGCCCCCCCTCCTCTTTTTGAACATACGTACACATACAACGCGCGTGCACACCGTACACATAAGCAAATGAGCTCTTTTAAAATCATATAACAGGCGTGGTCATTGGTTAAAAACAGCTTTTCCTCTTATTTTCAGGCACATGAATGTGAAAGCGCAGGAGATAAGGTGAAAATGTACCTTGTGGGGGTCGATGCGGATCCTCTCCTCGCCTTTATGCGGGCTCTCTGGCCACAGGTGATAGCTCGAGCCGTAGTTGGGGCTGTCTTTGCTGCTGTTGCTGACAGTCGCAGACGAGTTCCCCGCGTACGCCTGTTGTGTTACCGGGGTTGAGACGCGACAGTCGCGGCTGTGCTCGCCTGCCTGCCCGGAGATCCTCGCAGACTTGTGTCGGTCCTGCTCACAGTGCTGCTGCGGACGCTGGGGACAGAGCCCCAGTGCGCCGTGCTGCTGCTGCTGTTGCTGCTGCTCGTGCTGTTGCAGCTGAGAAGCCTGGTGAGTCCTACATAGCTCTCCTGAGCCGCTGGCGCAGTAGTTGATCGGTAAGCTGCTCCCCACCAGAAGCTGTTGCTGCGCTCGTAATTGTGGTATCTGTTGCTGCTGCAGGTCCTGAGTCTGACACTCGAAAGCTCTCCTGTTAGCCTCGGTTGACTCACATACATTTAAAGAGCGCCCTTTCTGTGAGTTTGCACGGGTTCCTTCAGGGGAGGGGTCCCTCTGTTGGAGTCTTAAATGACTGTGCTGTTGCTGTTGCTGCTGCTGTTGCTGTTGCTGCTGCTGCTGTTGCTGCAACAACTGCCTGTGGTCTCGGTGCCCTCCTGCTCCTCCTCCTCCCCTGCAGCGTTCCACGATGCTCGCCTGTTGGTAATTATCGGCACTCCTTCTCAGCCGATCCCCCCGTTTAGATCCCCGGGAAAAGAGCAGAGAGGAGGAGGACGATGGTGGCGGAGGTATAGGAGGCGGAAAAGGTGGGGAGGGTTGCGGTGGGAGAGAATCGACAGGATGGGGCTGGTTTTTAGAGAGGCTTGCCTCCTGCTCGGAAAAACTGCAGTGGCAGCTCGGAAAAACAGGCTGCTTCTCTGACTGCGACGCCGGCGGCTGCTGCTGCTGCTGAGAGCCGGTCGGGGCCCAGGGATCCTGCTGCAGGTGCGCCGGCTGCCCGGTGCTGGGTTCACCGGCTCGGTATGAAGGTCGCTGGGCGGTGTCGTAGCTCGCCAGAGGTAGAGGGTCTCCGCTGCGAACAGGTCTCCTGGAGGGCTGGCTCAAACACGGGAGCTCCTGGAGGCTCTGGCGCTGAGCGGCGGTTGTCGGAGCGCGGTCTCGGTGGTGAGAAGAGGGCGGGGGCGGCAGGCTGAAAACAGGAGCGGCTGGGTCTCGGCTCTGCGCGCTGCTTGCTTGCTTTTGGTCGGGGGTTTGGTGCTGATGGACAGCTCCCGCGTACCGATGCCGCATCCCCTTGATCGCCGCGTCTCGCTGTGGTTGCTCCTTTGGCGTGCAGAGCTCCGACACCCGTTCATTGCGATCAGTCCCAGCAGAATAGGAGCGACTTGTATCATTGGTAGGTTTGACCAAGACCTGCCTTAAAACGTCACCGTATAGCCAAAACACCGCCTTCGCCTGAATATCGCTCCATCGCCTGCTCTGCGCACAGGTTGCAGCGGATCGATCACTCCTGTGGGCTGTTAGGATATGACAAGAACCGGATTATGCGAGGAGTAGAAAGGTGTTTAAACCCCGCTCACATGGTCGATCATCTTAATCCACTGTGGAGCCAATAGATCGACTTTGTCAATGTTGCCATAACCACCCTGCATAATCACAAATCACTTTTACTGCTACGTCACCACAACCGATCCATAGGCCTGTCAAATAATATATATCTGCAGGTCACTATAGTTTATGATCAACTCTTAATGATTAGCCTCCTCCTATATTGACGCTCGTAAAGTGTCAGCGTTTTTAAATTCATGACAGGAACACTTAACACTCCTGAGGTCTATTTTAGAAAATTCCCACTTGTTGGCACACAGAGAAGCATCAAAAAAAGCCGGGCTGCAGCGATTACCTCATGCCACACAGCCCGAGCCGCGCAGTCTGCATGGTATTTAATAATTAAGCAGAATATGCCTGGTTTTGTATTACCAGGCAGAAATATTTAGAATGGGGGCTGCATGCAGAGCTGCAGCATGAGTTGGGCTCACTGCTGTTGCATGCTCTCAGTAAAACATGTTGAAGGAGGTTTACTGTCACAGCAAACAGCAGCACGAGCAGCGGAAGCGGTCAGATCAGACAGAGAGAGAGAGAGAGGCTGGGCGCAGACGGAGCTGTCCGCGGTGCTGAAGGAGATCATCACAAAAATAGCCTCTGCTGTGGTGTCAAGCAGTCAGAGGACGGACAACTGTCCATCACATGTCGGTCAAAAATGTCTCCCAGCTGTGAGGGGTGATTCATTTACTAACGTGTGACTTGCATGAAATGGCAAATTCAAATGTGTTTTAAGTTAGAATGAGAGTAAGACATGCCCATGATTACAGTGACCAAGTTACTGATGGACTGTGTTCAATACAGGCATCCCCTTCCGAGCAGGACTTCAGTGTAACAGATGGACGACGAAATCCACTCCACAGTCCTCCCTCTGTGTGTCCCTGGACGGTGTTTTGTTGTGGATGGATAACAACACAAAGAGAGCTTTAGTATTTCAAAGACCAAATTAAAAAAAAATAAAAAAAATCTCAATTCAGAAAAACTAGCACTGCTGAAGCTTTAAATTCTGTCAATTAAACTGATGCTTCAATCAGACCCTCGGTCTTTTCATTTACTATCATACTGACAAAACTTTAACTACAACAGTTCACACAATTTCTTAGCCAAAGAGTCAGGTTAAACTTGAACATCATTTCATTTCAATAACCAGTCATTTATTAAGAGAATGATTTACAAAGTTATTGATGACTGTGGTGTGATACAGAGAGAAACACAGTTACAGTTTGAAAAAACAAAAAGTTGATTGCAAAACAAACAGAAAAAAACCACAAAGCTTTTTTTTTTTTTTTTTTTACACCAGTTGAATAAGCCCTCCATGGGTGTCCATTACAAGGTTTTTTTAATGGACTCTGGGGGAAGTAACCAAAAACCTGATAATGGACACCCGGTCAGGCACGATCTCTAACGAATAAGATTGAGTTAAGGTGAGGGTTGTATCAGCTTCTCTGGATCTATCCAGTGCAACAAACCACAGGATGTCCTGTGATCTTTTACACCTACCACATGTTCAAGTTCGAAAGGAACATTAAAAAAAAATGAGTTCATAGGTTATTTTAGTTTGTTTTTTTGTAAGTTTTTGGGTTTGGGGAGTCACCAGGCTTATGCAGTTGCCTTACTTTTTGATTTTTTTTCCAGTATATGTCATCTTGAATAAAAAACATGTACTTTTGTGCATGTAATATTACTACAGATATTGTTCCCTGTCCCCTTATGGGTTAATGCAGCCAGCATAGTAGATAGGAATAATACATAATACAGAGAAAAAAAACCTTTAACCATCTTGTTGCTTTTATAATCTTATCAAGTTAGTGTTTAAAAGAATGAGCACACACACAACAAAATGCAGTTTTAGTCCAAGAGAGAAAGGTTGAAGCTGAGCCAAAGAGACAAGAGGATGGAGACAGGGATGGAGTGGAGGCCAACTTTTACATCATACATTAGCCTTTCTTAATAAGTAATAATCCTCTCCTTAAAGCTGGTTCAGCCCTTCTAAGTTTTGATGAGTCTAAAGAGTGCAGCGATGGCACACTTTGCCTAACCACGGGAAGAAAGCTGATGTACGCTCTGTTTTATAGCCACGCGAAAAGTGCTGCAGGATATTTGGAAACGAGTTCTGGCCAGGCCTGCATTAGAAACCTGATCATTTTCATTAAGTAATTGGTCGCTGTGACCTGTGTGAGTTTCCTTGGCAAGATGAAGTTTCATTTGCTGGTTTGGGAAGCAATGTTACTGCTTCCACATGAATAATTAAATCAAACTTTACAACTCCTGGAGACACACAAACACTTATTCACAGAGCCGCTCTGATCGCTGGAGTCCACAATTTCTCCCAGTCTTGATTTACCCTCACCACACCCTCCACCCCCTCTTTTCCTCGCACACACACACCCACAACAACACTACAATATCTCACTCAAATAGCCTCTTTCTAGCAAAAGCTACCGCAAGAATTTAGTGCCTCTTGGATTCGCCCCATGCTGCTGTCAAACTTGGCCAGTCCGGCCATGTCAAAACACATTGTGTTTCTCTGTCTTGCTGGCTCCTGGAGGGGAAACCAGCATTTGCTAAAACTGTGACACTAAAACGGTCAAGGAGGCAACACAGAGGAGGCCAGTGGCTGCAGCACGCAACATGGGAAGAAGATAAATAGCCTGTGATGACAAAGAGTGAGAAAAAGAAAGAAAGATGTGCAGAAATGTGCAAGTATTTATGTGTGAAAGAAAGAGAAAGAAACTGATAGTGAGCACTGTAAGAGAGAGAGAGAGAGAGAGAGAAAATGGAGTGAGAGAAAGAGCTATCTGAAGAGAGCAGGTGCACTGACACAGAAGAGATCAAAAGGATTCAATAGAAAAAGACAGTAAATGAGTTTTACTGTGAAGAGAAGAAAAAATATAACTACAGACATAGGTACAGAGGTACAGAGATTAGCCTGTTATCTCATGACAGAATCATTTACACCCACAGATAAGTTATGAGTAGATCTGTATTCAACATTCTCATAGATACCTTTCTGTCATTGTTCGGTAACAGCTGATATCTGTTGGTACACCCTGTATCAGGTTCAGGTCCCACGGTCAGTTTTTCTTTCTGAATTAAAATCCTGATGATGAGTATCAACAGCTTTTTGTGATCCTCTGCAGAGAAATTTGGCTGCAGTACTTTAGCTGTCCTTTCAAAAGCATCTTTATGCTTTAAAGCTCCTGTAAGGATCTTTTAGCTTGTGCTGGTTTTAGCGTCCCCTGCAGTACTTTTTATTTCTTTGCTCATCTTGTCCGGTGAATGAGTTTTCTGAGAGAAACCCGCTTGTCCTGCTCCCATTTAGCCATCAAACATAATTCTCACAGTAAAACTTTGATGTCTGAAATACAGCTCTTTCTGCAGCATACTGAAACTCACTTTATCTGCCACATGCAAGCAGTCATTATAAGCAGTAAAAATAACTCTAGACATTGTCAGTCTTCTTCCTCATGCTCTAGTTTGTTTTTGTAGACCATTTATAGAAGTTTTCCGACACCCTTCAAATTTGACTCAATCTCAAATAATATCATGAAATATTTGCAGAAACGTTTTTTTTGTGCCTTAAAAAGGTGTGGCTACATCAGACAAACACAAACAAATGCAAAACCCAAACTTGATAGTGTCCACAAGTCAGTTCTCAACATGGTCCGTATCAAAGTCAACAAATAACAGAGGTTGTGTTCATCATCACATGATTATATAGTAGTCCTGCCGTCAGCCCACAGTAGTGCTCTAATCCTGGCTGGCATGTTCCCCATGTGCCTTTCACATTGTTGAGGGCTAACCTTGTCCCACTCTTCTTAAATCACTTTCATTAATTCTTCAAAATTTTTTGAGTTATGCTTTAAAAACATACTTTTTGACAATTCACCAAAAATTTTCACTGGGGTTCACTCCAGGACCTGGAAATTGTGCTCCTGCAGCCAAGTTGTACCTGCCCTGGATGTGTGGCAAGGGGCATTATCTGGCTGAAACAACCACCTCAGTAGAACCGTGCACACGCAGAAAGGAGCACATGGGTTTCAAGAATGCCACAATTCTTGGTAGATTTCAATGTACTATCACAGACAGTGAAATGACCAACATCAGCAGCACTCATATATCCCCAAACCACGATACTGCCTCCACCATGCTTGACTGTAGCTATTGTAACTGTTGTTTGAACCACAGATCAAACCCTTCGATTAGCTGTATGCTTTTTTGTATTAAGGATTCAGTATTAATTTAATGTGCCATCCAGCAGTATTTAAATGCATCAACAGACTAGCCCCTAAAGCTCTTTCTAGATATGCATATGCTAGACAATTATTAAATAACCAGAAGTTGTGGTCGATTGATGAGGTTTTCAACTGGTACTGATTACTAACTATATATTTTGGTTTTTCTTTTGTTTGAATTTTTTTATTTTTTTATTTGACAAAATACAAACTATTTAATAATATTAACAAGTAAAACTAGCTGTACTTTTGGGAATATCATATGAAAGAGATGGACAAATTTAATTAAATATCATCACAAGGGACTTCTGAATTTCTGACCAGCAGTCTGAAATTGTTAAGAAAGAAAATAAAATAAGGTAAATATTGGGATTAAAACAAAAAACTACAAAAAAATCATGTACAGACTTATTATTCCATGCAAATTAAAATCCAAAATACATGGTTGTTTTAGCCGGCAGTATGTTTTAGATGGATTTTTTCTAAATCAATGGAAAGGCACAGATGTCGGATTTATGCTCTAGATTGCTGAACACGGCTGATATTGCCGTCAATACTAAGTATTGCATTTCAATATAACAGTAAAACACCAGTCAATGACTTTTTTTGGATGTGATTTTCTTTTAATGGGTGAAGGGAAAGATGTGTTATAATTTTAAAAAGATGATGGTAATATTGGCCTTGTGACAGTCAACGCCCATACTATGCTGATTTAACAATAAACAGTGAATATACAGCATTACAGATCTGCATTCAACCATTCAATTTTCTCCACGATGGGCTGTCAACTCTGGAACACTAAAATCTTTCATAAAAAGGTCAAATGCTGGATAAAAGCAAATCAGAAGAATACACATTTTAGCATATTGTATTTAGATTTTCTGTCTATTTAGATTCGTATTCACGGACTGCTATATTGTGGTTATGTATTTTTTTGTGTCCTTAATCAGGACACAAAACAATTATGTGGTTGTATGTTTCAAAATCCTGTATATTTAACTTCATTGTACACTAAAGACCCAGCTATGATCAAACATTGAGGTTTGGCAAAAGCTTGAAGCTCTTTGTGCAAAGCAACAGTTTCATGCTCTGTACAAACAACCGAAAAAATGTTCAATTGCATTATCAGCTTAAATCAGGCCAATCCAGTCGGCAGAGGTTGCTCTTTTGAGGGAGTGGGTGAAATACACCTGCACTCAGCTGTGTGACAACCATGCAGTATGCAAATGCTACCACCTAGCAGACAGGGGCGTGGACTAATGAACCCTATCAATTGAAATTCTTTATAATTATTTGACCAGCTCCTCTCAATAAAGGGATTACTTGTACTTTTATATCTCCCTGTGCACAGTTAAGTGTCAATGAAGAGATCACATACTGAGTGTGTGTTAAGCCACACTATCTGACTCATATTGTATTTGATGACATGTCATTAATTCACTGACTGAATAACTATGCCATATGAACAGTCATCTACAAAAAGCTCCCGAGGTTACATTTGTGCCTCATATAGAATTTAAAATGTGAATTTCAGTATGCATGTGAATGTACAGCACCTGCTTCACAACAGCGATGACTGACCTGTGCATAAAAGCGGAGCAAAATCAACACAAAAGACAGAAAAACAGGAACATGAGCACCAGCACACGAGCAGCTTTCAAAAGAGAAAACTCAAAGAGGCAGCCAAAAGAAGAGGGGATGTTTCCAAAAATAGCTTCTTTTTTTTTTTTTTTTTAAGAAAAGGAGAGGCAGAGATAGACAGCATCGTTGTCTCTGGTGTTGTCCAAGGTGCTGAAGTTGTGAGCGTACAGAAACAGGAATCTGAAACATAATTAACAGTCACGATTCGTGTTTATGAAACTCTTTAAAGTTTCTCTGACTTATTTTTGTACGAGAACAAAGCTGCTACTGTCACAGAGAGTACACTGTACTTCAGGATGTGCGCTGCAGGTTGCACGCTGAGTGATCATCATGATGCATTGTGAGTGACAGGGTCCTCTTTGGCCACCTTGGACTAAGGGCACAAAGCTGACTTGTTACACCACTGCTTACACCTACCACTTATGACCAGAGGCGTTGCAAAAAATGACAAAACTGGCATCTTAGTAATGGCTGCTCTTAAATAAACCTCAGTAGCATGTATCATCACCACACAAGACAGCGAAGCTGAGCTACACTAACCTATAAGTTAATTCCAGTGTGTGATGGAGTATCACGTTTTCCTGACCTTGTTAGTGCTGCAGGTCTCGCAAAACAGCTGCCAACAAAGGCAAACATGCTGCAATGGCTCTGAAGGTTTTACTCTGGGAAAAATAGACTGCAAACTCAGGAACGAAGCATATCAAAACTCACATACCATAATCCCCAGCTGACAGTATGTCAAACATGCATAGATACAATGGCACAATTCCTTTATAGTCATACTGATGTGCAAGGACAACAGTTCAACAAAATTTTCATGGTACTCCTTAGGTTGTGAGACAAATATTATATATGTCTTTTTATTTTATATACAGTATGTGCATACTGTAAGCTAATGGCACCAAGAGAGCAATTTAGAGATAACTACTTTACTGACTTTGCTGTCTAAATTACGATCAGTTCATGTTTCCTGCGTCTCCTCTGCAGAGTTAAAGCGACAGCTGCTCAGACTGCAAGCAGAATAAAAATCACAACCAGAAAGAAACAATGAAGTAAAAGGAAGACTTTCCAACTGAGATATGGCAGAGGTTTTAAAAAACACTCCCCTTACCTCGAAATGTCTTGTGTGTGATCTGTGTGAAAGCAGCCATCTTGGATTAGCCTGTCAATTCCCTGCATGTCATGGCGATGGCTGTCATCTCATGCTGCTATGACTAAGCCAAGTGACGCCTTGAGGATAGAGAGTTCGGTGCTGTCGGAGTGACAGCAGGCCTCGATACAGTGTTATGACCAGAGAAAAATGTGACACACATCCAGCTGGACTGATGCGGCTGTAAACGCTCCACACATGATAAACAACCTGTGATCGTGGCGATAAGGCGAGTCGTGACTCGAGCCAGGCTGCGCCATCATCGAACACTCGGTTGGAGAAGATAGCAGAGGCATGCTTGAGACAGAGAGTCTGGGAGATACAGCCAGGGCCCTGCACCCGGTCTCTGAAGGCTAAGATCATTAGTTTGATTTCCTTGGATGACTAAGTAGCTTTCCCATCATTCAGGTAGCCTACAAGCCAAGGAGAGTCACTGTGTAATATCTGACATGTTAGCATCCCAACATCCCATAAATGAGCAAAGAGGCCCATGTGAGGCGGACACCTATGATGAAGTGTTTTCGCCTCAAGCAGAGCCAAGGTGCACAGGATGATAAACAGGCGGGAAAGGCTCTAATGCATGCCAGACAGGTGTATGTGATGAGATCCCATTGAAGGAATAAGGAGATACTCAAGAAGCATCATGGGTAATCCTAACATAGTCATAAGCTGAGGGAAGCAGAGGGGTGACTGTTTCCATTGCAGAGGAGGAACAGGAGGGTAATTAGTCACCTTTGTCCGCACACAATGCCCCCTACATCACCCACAAATATGCTCACACACACACACACACACACTCTCGGACGGCTCTATTAATTTGCTGTAATATTAGATTTAAGATGGTGTTTAATTTTTACATTATGAATGACAAATTTTACTGTCAGTGGCAATTATTCCCACGAGACCAAGATAAATATCAAGAAAAAAAAACCTGCTGTACATTTCTAAGAATCCATAAACAAGTGAAGACCAACAAACACAGATGAATTCAAAGCTTCCTTTCCATTTGATTGCTTCTTCTTTCTTTTTCTCATTTATCTCCATCTGAGATGTTATCCCACTCGCTTCAACACCTCATACGTCAAACTCTCTCCTTCTCCAAATCAGTGTTTATGCAGCAGTGACAGAAGTGTCTCATGGCTGTGTCTGCTACTGATTGTATATGATGTCTTCCTGCCATAGAACAACAAACATCAGCCTTGTTTTTCTCAGTCGTGGCCTTGGCACAAGCACTGGACCATCAGCCTCTGTTCACAGAGCACAATGATGCCTCTGCATTAAATGGAGCAGCTGATGATGAGGGGAAGTGAAGAGGACAAAGAGGAAGAAGGGGAAAAAACAGGGCAAGGTCCATTTATGGTGCTGTCCGTTGTGTAGACTGTTCCTGCTTTTAGGTGCAAAAATGGTTATGAAATTATATTTGAAGTGACTGAAACGTGTGCCTCCATGTGTGTGTGTGTGTGTGTGTGTGCGCACATGGAAACACATGTGCATACCTGTGTGGGCAGACGGGACCAGCGTTTGACAAGAGAGGCTCAGTTGTAAAATATGGTGATGAGAGATAAAGAGAAAAAGAGAAAGCTCATCACTAATGCAAAGGTTCAAAGACCTGGTTCCGCTTCTCATCATCAGAGCTGCAACAAATACAAAAGAGATGACCAAGTGACCCCCGTATTCACCACCAGCAGGAAGAGCTCCACTCAATGCACTATACACCCTGCTGTAAAAAGCTCAGCGTGAGGCACAGCCTTTAAGAAACGCTCACGAGAAGACCACAGAGTTGAATCTTTCTAACCGATCATCTTAGATCGACTGTAAAAATCTAAATATACAATCGTTCTCATCATACTGAGCTTCTCTGATGCAGGGATTCCCCTTTAAATTTCACACTGCACATCAGGACACACACACTTCAGCTCTCTTGTCAGATAAAAAATTTCACCCTTGTAAAAAAAAAGTCATGCACTGGTGCTTTTAGGCATAAAAATGCAAATGAAGTAGCCCTTAAAGGCTATTACCTACACATATTAGAGCCTGCCATTACAATTTCATCATGAAATCTCTCCACACCCCTTCTTTTTGAAAAAATGTGAAAGAACTGAAAGCAAAGGAAAGCACATACCTCTTATCTGATGCAGGCTGCAGAAACAAGCTCTCTCCCTGCAGAAAACACATCAACGATTATTAGAAATGACAGAAAGAGAATCAATAGTCTCCTGCTAAGAATAGGGGCTCTCCCAGTCATTGCAGCCTTCTGTCTGTGCTGAAATAACGGGGAATACTCGCTCTGATTTTTTTTTTTTTTTTTTTTGCAAGCACATGCTCAGCTTATTGTTACAGCTTATTGGCTGCTCCCTCTTCTCTACCCTTTCTCCTCCACCTGTTTGTGCTCCGCTTTCAGACCTTTATTCTGTTCAAAATATATATATAAAGCTATATATCTGCTCTGTGCGCACAACAAGATCTCATTCCAGCCTCAATGTCGTGAAATTAATTATAGGAGGGGCGTTTAATGTGATTTACAGGGGATCGATACAATTTGGGCTTTTATCAATTCAGGGCGATAAAATACAATCTGACACGGTGTGGGTCTGCAAGAAAAAAACGCTGATGGGTGCTGTGACAAATCAAGAAAGGCACTGAAGGGGGTTTTATGACCTTGTGTGTGCTGACGCCCCCCCCATGCTCCCTCCACTCTCTCTCTTCCTCCCTCCATCCCTCCTCCACTGCCTCCTCCTCCTCCCTCTGAATTGATGCGGGGATTCCTGATGCTATTTTTAGCCTCTCGGTCGTGGAGTGCCGTGCGTGGGTGGAGGAGAGAAAAAAGAAAGGAAGCAGGAGGAGGAGGAAGAGGAGCAGCAGGGGGATGAAGAGGAGGAAGAGAAAGAGGAGGAGGATGAGAAGAGGGAGATTTGTGCACGTGAGGGCTGGGGGGGGGTTTTGGGGAGGGGGGTTCCCATGCGGACTTGAGCTGCAGCAGCATCAACACAAAGCCCCCCCGTAGTGGAGGCTTTGAATCGTGACCAGACAGCCGGAAACACGAGAAAAAGGGGAGCGCCGTGTCATTTTCTGCACACAAGACGGTACTGCTTTCTTTCATTTGGCAGCTTTTTTATTTTTGTACACGTGTCCTAAATTACACAGCGCTCAGGAAAAGACTGTAGTGCTGAAGGCGAATTATGCAGAAATATAGTGTATGCTGTGTAAATGGAGAGGGATACAAGACGCTGGAAAAGTGATCAATCATAAACCTATACTGACATAAATCTGCATTAAGCTTCATTATACACCAATACAGTATCTTTACAGCTGTTACCAGGCCTTTGAAATCAACTCTTCATTGTTTGAATTTAGACCAGTTACATTTACAGTGGTTTGATGTGAGGATATCTAAAATTTTGTGGTGGAAATTCAGACATTTTTTCTTAAAAGACAGAAATTGATGGGAAATGGTTGTTCAAAATCATGAAGGGATGTGATCATCAAACTGGAGAATCTTGAACTCATTTAGTAAAACTGATTTTTAGCATTTTGAAGTTCAGGATTTGTTGGACATGGCTTCACAATTCTCAAACTGCGTTTTGTGAAGCCCGTTGGCTTACAAAATAAGATCTGAGACAGTACTGCAGTCTAGATCAGGTCCACTTTGGCTTGGACTGGGAAAATAACAGTGAAATCACATTTTTGTGCATTTTACAAATAACATTTAAAGTTTTACAAGTCTAAAACTGTGTTATAAGAAATCTGTCAACCCCCTCGGACAACCTTGCCCAAATATGACGAGCCTAGGTCTTATAGGATTGGATCAGGACCAGGTACAATGAGGTCTTATCAGAAAAAAAAAAGTAATTCACAAATAAGGAGAGGTTTCATAAATCTGGAACTGTGTATTATGGAGACGGTAGAGTTTCTACAATAATCCAGTCTGGCTCTGTCAGTGCAGTGGTTTCAGATCAGGACCTTGTTTCCCTAACCTTCCATGTATCTTTGCTGAACCATACAGCTTTCCCTAACAGTAAGAGATACAAGAAGAAACCATAAAGCTTTGTGACATAGTAGATTCTCATTAGCAAATTTGTTTGGTTGTTTGTTATTTAGTCTGTTTTAAGGTGCTTAATCTTCGTTGAACCATTTCTTTTTTGTTTTGAGGTTCCCACTCTGCAAAGACCTAGGCCTACTGGTCCAGTGCGCGCACACGTGCACAGTTGTCAGTCTGCATAGGGAGGATAGATATTATTGATAGCTTTCCATTGTAATTCAAATAAACCCAACAAACATTAACCTGATACAAGCCAAATAAAGGCAACTCTTTAAGTTGGAAAGTTTACAATAAATGTCTCTGTACCTCCGCGGAACTGGGACTCCACAAACACTGACTTCTCCATCAGTGAAAGACTTGGGTTCAGCCAGATTGTAACCAACGCCATCAGGTACAGTTGTTGCAGGCGCTTGGCGGAATTTAAACCAACAAACCAGTCACCTCTTTCCTCTCCAGTTGAAAAATCCGCGTTAGCGTCAGCTACTTCCGTGTTTTGAGAGAGTAGCTTGGCCGAACTTTTTGATTGACAGCTGTCCATGACCATTCACAACCAGCCCAAAGTACCACCCCAGAGCGACAATTGAAATACTGATGTGTTTAATTCAATTTGGGGTTTTTTTGTCCTGTGATGCACTGAACTGACAGACATAAGTATTACACACTTTACGCCTCGATTTAAAAAATATTGAATGGTTTATAAGCTTCTCATGGACCGCGGTAGGCCGGTCCATCATCCAACTTTCAGGCCGTGCTTATGATTGACACCTGAGAACGGCAGGTGGGCGTGGCTTCCGCACATTTCTTCTACAAGCACGCAGCAACAGAGATCAATATTCTATGATTTTGAAACCTACAGTCTTGGAGATTTGTTTTCCTATGGTCTTATAATTCAAATTTTGCTGGGTGGTTACTGATAGGTCTTCTGGTGGTATGAAAACTCTGGAGCATGTTTTTCTCCACTTCACATGGACCCTAAGGTAGGCCTAACTTCATATGTTTTGATGGCTTATTTATAAAAATGTGCGACATTATAGCAAAACTGTTCCCACACAACAAAGTGTATCCAGATCCTTTTCAGTCGGTGCCTAATATATTTAATTCACCTCCTCCCTGGTCTGTCAATATGGCTGAAAAGTGTCTCATGCTTGTGTGCATTTTCGTCTGCAAAGGCTCTGTAAATGAAGACATAGCTTATTATTGCCCTCACAGACTGAAATCATGTCGGGGAGAACAGGGATGCTCGGCATATGTGGAGTGGTTATATTATTTATCACCAGTAGACTATTTTTAGCTCATGCAGTCGTGTTGGCGTCGAGGGTTTCCGGGCACATGGATGGCAGGTTTCCCCGTCACCCGCAGGTCTAACGGCGGGGGGACACCCAGGCATACCATAGTGCTGGAAAAAAAAAGAGAAAAACAGGCATCAGAGAGGACTCCTCCAGCTGGTTGTGTTATTCACTCACGCACTTAATCAGAGGAGTATAATTACCCAGAGACAGGAGCTGACAGAGTGCTGCAGAGGAGGCGTATGTAGCCTTTAGAAGTCCATGTGATGAGGAAAAGTTAAGTGAAAGCAGATATGTAACTGTGAAATCCTTGGTGTTAGACTATCTGAATACATGATTATCATCATGCTTGATCCTTAGGATGTTACTGTTCTGCCTGGTTGTTGTCTGGTAGACTGTAGTAGGGAGGTTGCACTGCAGTATGTTGATTTTTATTTATTTATTTATATATTTATGCTTCCAACAAAATCCCAGGTTACTCGTTTTTGTAAAGTCTGCTATACAAGCAGAGCTGACCCAAGCCTCAATGGAGCCCTAAGCAAAATTTGATATTGGGGCCCTCTATTTCTGCCAATAATATTGATTGTTGATCATTAACACACCTTCATGAATCTCTTAAACATTCCGTGACATGCAAACATACCTTTATCTTGGCATTTTTTCTCTTCTTCCTCTTTCTTTTCTCTCCTCCTAAAGAATATGTCCTTTTTTGCGACATTATTTTGCCTCAGAACTACCGCCGCTTTGGATGCTCAGTGCACATTGCACAACTGAAGGCACATAACGGTAGAGGAGCTTTGACATATCGGCAGTAAGAATCATAGGTCTACATCAGCAGCAGCACTAAAATGTTTTTACTTTTTTGGATTTTATTTTTACAATAATATATATTTGATCATACAGAAAGCATCACTCATACGTGCAAAAAATAAAAAATATAAACAAATATTTTTTGGATTGTTCTTGGGGGCCCCCTATTGGCTGCGGGGCCCTAAGTAGATGCTTAGTTTGCTTTTGCCTGTATACAAGTAAATTCTTTGTCTTTCATATCCATCTCACAGCAACTCCTAAACTTTAAAAGATGTAATCAACAAGAATATGGCAACAAATTTATCATTCTTTTAAGCCCCTCTTTTTAGAAAAGTACTTTGCGAAAAGTATATTTCATGTCTGCAAATTACAGGATATTTGGGAAGTCAGGTGACCGTGAAGAAAGGAAACAGCGACTGATTCATGCGCAGAACTACATGAAAATTTCAAAAAATTTTCACAGGACAGTCAGATTTTTCATCTTTTACCTGCTAGCCTCCTGACAAGAATTTATGTTTAGGTGATGTGGGAGCACAGGAAATATGAAAAAGGGCAACACCTATCAGAATGACTGATAACATGAGTATTTTCCAGATGAGAACAGCAAAAAAAAATTTCATGTTCGCCCATATACACATAGCATTAAAGGGATATTACGGCGAAAAATTAAATTAGGGTCAAACACACAGTAACACCGAGTTAGACACTCCGTCAAGAGATGAAGGTTGCTGAACACTTGCTTCTGTAGTTATACCAACTAGTAAGTAGTAAGTAGTAGTAGCAATCACAGATAGCAATACAGAGAGCTACGCGTTCAACCAAAACGCCACTCTATATGAAGAGAGAGTGCTGAAAGAGAGTGGGTGAGTTGTGTGTAGTCTTTTTGCTAAAGAAATTAGGCAAAGTTAAAAGTATGTTTGGTGGCTAGTGCTGTGGCTGGGACCCCTGTATGTACTGTTGCTATCCTGCGGTCATTACTTAAGTTGGTATAACTAGAGAAGCAAGCAGTCGCCATTGTTTGAACAGAACCAAAATCATTTGATTCAGTGGTGGTGGCTAAAATTATACTTTAGATAGACTTGTGGCTGAACAGATGACCTACAGAGCGGTTCACAAGGAGACAGTCATTTTAATTCTGTCATGATCACAGTAAGCAAATTGTGCAAATCTACACAAACCATAGATTATATTACATCAATGACTATCTTCTGACTGGTTTAACCTCTCTGAATATGAACTGAAACTGTGCTGTTATTCTCCAAAATAAATAAATATCCATGGCCGCACCCAGGACTTCCCAGGATCATCAAGTTCTCACCACTGTGAATTTATGCAGATGCAAGTGTTAAAAGTCATCTGAAACGGTCGTCACATACACACTGCATTGTTCCAATTTTTCTTTCAATTGATACATAAAGCAAAGAACAAGAGATGAATAAAGCAAAGGACATAAAGTGAAAGACAAAATGTGAGGACGATGAAGGCGTCAAGGGATGACAACAGGGTTGTCTGACGGAGAGGGAGACGTGGTAGGGAGAGGGGAAGGAGGGAGACAGAGTGCATTAGAAATGATTGCAGGGGAGCGATAGTGAGAGCGTGCACTGGATGAGGGTAAATTCAGATGTTCTGGATGATAATATGGCTTTGTGTCCTAATGAAAAACCCAGATGCTATCTTGCTTCTAGAAAATGCCGGACCTCTCTCACTCTCTCTCTTTCTCTCTCTGTCTGTCTCTCTCTCTCTCTCTTGGTGCAGAGTAAAGCCACTCTCTCCGCTGTTGAAGGGCCCTAACTGGTAAAACACAGTAGGGGATTAGTTTTAGCCTCTCGTTTCTGCCAAAGTGTCCTCCAGGTGTGGAAAGGCAGCGGGTCTGCCCTCCATCCACTTTACATGGATGTATGGATTTCCTCCAATCTGCCACTCTGTCTGCCTGCCGGCATGTCTCCTTGTCCATCACTCTTGGTGTGTGTGTGTGTGTGTGTGTGTGTGTGTGTGTGTGTGTGTGTGTGTGTGTGTGTGTGTGTGTGTGTGTGTGTGTGTGCGTGTGTGTGTCAACTCGCCTGTCTGTCTTTGTCTGGCCAGCTGTTGGTCCAGTCAGTGTATTATTTGTATTCAATGTGTATGTTGGTGCCGGTTCTCTCTGTCTTCCTCCGTGACAGTCTTCCTCTCCCTCGTGTCTGTCTGCACATTGACGCTTGGTGCCTTTCTCTGTTTCACTACCTCCATTTTCTAGACGTCTCCTCATGCTGCATGTGGGGCTGTGTCTCTGCTTCACTGCCTTGGTTCTGCTTCAAAAAGAAATAAGTTTAGAAAGAAAGCCTTGCCACGCCCAAAAGCAAATTACTTTGTTATTCACTGTGCAGCAGAAAACAAGTGAACAGTTTGGCATCTACGCATGAGTAAATTCAGGTTACTGTGGCTAATTAAATATGGAGCTGAGGGAAACATTAAAATGACCTCAAAACATTTCTAATTAATGATTTAAAAGAATCTTGGTTTTATTTGTAAATAGGTCCATTTATCAGAGAATTTAACTCCTTTAAATATTGCAGGGCCTTACCACTGCATCCAGACTCTGCAGCCAATCGCAAGAGTTCTATTTTTTCCGGACGCCAGAGCATGCCAGATAAATTCAGCACAGATTAACCTGTGCTGGAAAGGAAGTCGGGCACAGACACAAAATAAAACATCCGACTTCTTTTCAAAAATTAAACACTGTGTTTCTGGCAGATCGTATTTCACACCATGCAAACTGGCGGGGACGAACAAGTGAAAGGTTTTTAGGTTTTCATTTCACCCCGTTTGTAAGTCTAGAAGTAGATTTCTTCCTCTGGAAGGACACAACCTACTGCTTATATGGTTAGACTATGTGGCTAAAGACAACTCATTGATTGCATGTGAATCCACGGGTTCTTGTGAGTTCTCGCGATTCCTGCTGTCCATAATCCGCCACGAAATTCGCCTTACAAATGGATCCGGTAGGAATTGGCGTACGGCGAAAAACGCTGCCATTCCAGATCGGAGCCGTACAGGATGCGGTGGAAATTCCAGGTAACTTACAGCTAGTGTGACTTACCATTTTTAAGCATGGTGAAGTTAGCTATCGGATATATTGTTTTGACTTTAGAATAAAAACCCAGTATACTTCCATGTTGTTAAAAAAAATTAACTTATTGCCCAAGTCTGACTGAAACTAGACTCTTACACAACATATAAAAACATTCATCTGACTGACATTACATTAAACTAAACTAACTAAACTATTCATGTAGGTAGACAAACATATCAAGATAATACAGTCCGATATGACTCAATCGGACAGTAACTAGCCTAAGTTTTCTGTGCATACATCACATGCCGAGCTTTAATAGTTCAGCATTGATAGGAAGCCAGACAGTAACCAAACCCTGACATACGAGGACAGGACTGAATATTCTTATTGTACAATCAAACGGTACAGAGTTGTAAAAGTGGCTGTGTTTTTTCATCACTCTATGTACATCCCGTTAGCCTCTGTTTTGCTACGTAATACATGAACTGGGAGAGAACGCTATAGTAACAAGCTAAAAGGACACAAAGTCTGGAAGTAGGGACTGACAGATAGGCAGACATCTTTCTTATGGTTGTATTAATCTGCTTGCAGTGCTTCTAAGATGTGCAGAAGAAGCAGGTCACAACTTGTTATTTGTAATCTTGAAGTCAACTGTACAGAAAGTAGCTGGCTGTAATGAAGTGGCTTGTTGGCTGTTTGACTGGCACTTGGATACCCCTTCAAAAGGAAAACTAGGAAGGTATAACAATTTATTTTATCTGATAGTCCTAAATTTCAAATCCCTCCCAATTTCACTGCCTCTGTGTGTTTTTAAACCAAATGTGCAAAGTTCCTCAAGAATAATATAATTAGAATAGAAATGTAAGTGAAGCGGAGTGTTTTGTAAATCTTCATTTTTGAAGAAAATGACCTGGTTTTAGGAACAATGTCAGCAGAGAGCTCAGATTTCTTCCAGACTCCTGTGTTTTGGTCCTGATACTGTTTGTTGGTAATGGGCCAGACAGATGTGCTCGCTATCCATCAGCCCAAGACACCTTCCATGTGTCACTACCAGTCTATTTCCCCGTGGTGCTGCCTCTCTTTAAAATGTGTCATTTTATTGTTCTGATTTCTCTCTCTTCTCCAGGGAGAGGAATATGATTTCACAGAACATTAAGTGGATGGGATCTCAGGGAATAGTGTGAGAACTGGGGATGGTGGTGGAGGATAGGGGCGCTGATCTGGCCTAATTAAGCCCACTCTACCCATCTCCCTGCTCCCCCAGCCCCATCCCCCCACTCCTCCTTCTAACACCTTCACGCCCAGTCCCCACAACAAGCCCCCTACCCCCCTGCTCTCTTTTAGGTTTGTGACTTTCACTGAGGAGTGTGAAGGGCAAAAGAGTACTCCTCAAATCATAATCCTCCTGACTTTGGGAGAAAAAGGATTAGCCTAGCAGTAGTCTGACAGTCATGCAAAGGCACACGCTTCAGCATGTCGTCTGTCTAACCCTATATGTCATCTAAAAAGCATGGAGAGAGTAAAGACACTTACCAAGCCACTGAGCAGAAAAGGGTATATTTTCATATTGATTGGGTATTGAATTTAGGGAAAATGAGCGGTGAACAGACAAGACAACCTACTCTCTGTCCATTGTCATGCTTTTTTTGGAATACAGTGACAACAGAAACGACTAATTTTACACAAAATATTGATTTAGAATATGTATCTTAAGTGGATTTAGCCTTTTTTTACAAAACCTGTCAGATTTTCTTTTTTTTAACAGAATCCATATCAACAGCATACACCATTACGGAAAAAGATTAGGGCCACTGAGAAAAAAAGAGAAATTATGAGGTCCAGTATATTAATACTTCTTATTATTATTCTGAGAAAGAATTCATAACTCTTAGAATAACCTCAGACTTTTTTCTCAGAACAATAAAATATACTGTATATATATATATACTGTATACGTTAGATGTTTTCTTCCTAGTGGCCCTAATCCTTTTCCTTACACCATAGCCATCTTAAAATGAGCCCAGCTTTGAAAATTAAAGGGATAGTTCTGTTTTTTAATGGGGTTGTATGAGTAGAATATTTGTCAGTAGTCAGTGTACAGCATACAGGGTTAGGGGGTCAGCTTGGCCCCTTTGAGGGGAAACCCACAGGGGAACCAGAACAGAGGCTATATGTTTTCAACCCTAACACTGAATTTATCTGTTATAAAGAAACTTTTGACTCACATACCTGCTGTTTTGTTTGATTTTGATACTAAGCTTTTGTCTTTACAGATGTTTTTTTTTAATTCATGGTCTCTACGCCCTTCATTGTTATCCTTTCTTTTCTTCATAACTGTAATAGGATTGTTGACACATCACTAACTAATATTCTGGCCATCTTTCTATAGAATCAGATTAGATTGGGCCCTGAGATCATGTTAGATACGTTCTGCTCTTCTTGGCAGCATTCCGCAGAAAAGATGGACTCGGAAAGCTGCAACTGACCAATCAGAAATAATAATTAAATATAGTGGTGCACTAATGGAACAAATAAAAATACTGCACTCCCTCTGACTAATTAAAACTATGCTGTAACTTGCCAAAGCTTTATAACCATGCCCCTCATGTTAGCCATACATTTGGGGTTTACACATATACCACATGAGGGCATGACCTCATGTTTTCCTAATGGCTCTGGCCCAAGTATCATTGCATGGTTCAGTGGCACCAGGTGGGAAACTAACCTTGTTTTCCCTCTGGCCTACACAATTATGGCAAAATAGTCTCCAGTCATTAAAATCAGTGAGCTGAGACAAAAAAAAGAGATCCGTAGAGGTCATGAAAGGAAAGGAGGCCCCTGATGCAAACACATGCCCTCAACGAACCATCCAAATGACGACTGTAACTGTTACAGTCACTGTCATGGAGGCTCAGGAGAGGTGGAGGGACTAGTAGGAGTGAGAAAGTCCTGCAGCTACAATACATGCCCCCCTCCTGCACATCAGGCACAAGGCTCGGGCAGGCATTGGGTGATTGATAGTGGTGCCAAGACAACATCTCGTCAGGGGCCCAGTGCACAAGGGTGCCTTGCAGAGCAATGATGGACGAGCCCGTAGACGCTACATAAAAATCGAACCCGGCATATATAACACATTCCCAGCTCCCTTTCTTAACCTGTAATGTATAGTGATAGAAATTTGTTTCGCAGTCCATTGCCGCGGACAGTGATGGATGCCAAAAAGAAAGAGAGGGATAGAGGGAGAGGAGAAAGGGGAGGTGAGGGAAGGGGTTTGTGTGTATGCGTGTGTTTGTGAGTAGGCGCACGTGTGTTTGTGTATTTATGCAGACAATTCATGGAAATTACTGAGAAAGTCTTTGTTGAATTCTTTGCAGCTTTTTGTTGTTGCCACTTTTGTGCATAGACAAAAGCACACATTCAATTCTATTCAAACCTTTATTTATTCGGGAAAGGACATTGAGGTTTTCCTTATTTTCAATGCCATCGAGACTACCAAACATCAGAACAAGCAAACCTAGGTATAATTAATGAGACTTTACAAATTAGTTAAAACACGTACAATCTGAAACAAAATAATTAGAAATCAAAGTCCCAAACTCTGCAAAAGGAGGAAGAACTTTTTAAGTTTTTCTTTTTTAAAGTTTTTTGAAAAGTGTTTAATGAGCTCGGGGGCATCATAGGAAACTTGTTTTGCCAAGCTCCATAAACTATTAACTCAAGGGACTTTAAAATTTAGCAGATGGGAGGAGCGGGTGGTGTAGGTGACAGGTTTACACTTCAAGTTTGTGATATCAGATGGAAGTGTTTTTAAACTGAAACTAAACAAAAACCAGTGTTTATTATATCGCTCTTCAAGAAAAGACCAACAAACTTTCTGATACATGACACAATGATGAGCATCATATCTTTCCCTGCCTATAAATCCAAGGGTGGAGTGATAGACAGAGTCAAGAGGTTTTTAAGCTGTGGCTGCTGCATGTCTGTAAATTACATCACTGTAGACCATAACAGACAAAAACACAGCTTCAAAAATTCTTCTCCTTCAGGATTGTATTAAGTAGCAGTTTATGGTCAATCAAGGATTTTATAGGAGTTAAAAGGAAGTCGCAAATGCTCGATAGTTTGTTGTACAGAATCAATAAAACATTATAAAACTGTGTCATCTGCATAGAGACAGACATGACAGTTGTTCAAAGAGGAAACCATGTCATTGCTGTACGAAGTAAAGATCATGGGTCTCAGATTTGAACCTTGTGGCACACCTCTATTGATACATAAAAACTCTGATTTGACCTGACTCAACCTAACACACTGACACCTGTCAAATTGATAATCCTGAAACCATATATACTTTGTGTATAAAGCCTAGCAAAAATAGTATGTTAAAATTGTTTCATCAGCACATTATTAAGTTTATGTCCTTATTTTTGTCCTTATTTAACTTCATACTATCCCTGTAAAGATCAAATATAAGGAACAAATGTGATGTGACACTTCTGCAGATGCCCCTGTGCCAGATCGCCCTGATGCTAATCAGCAGCGGTCAAGTGTTGACATTTACTGCATTCACAGCCAACTGTGTACCATATATGTGAACACTTGGCCCTCAATTTACACTTTAAACACACAGGTCATACATGTGCATGGACATGACCCATCATCACATGTCATACTTACACTAACACATGCACATACATGCCCCGGCTGACCTGACGCTGACGCAGGAATTAATGAACTCTTCTTCTCGCGGCAAATTAGAGGCAAGTTGTAGTCCTAATATTAAAAAAGACCTTAAAAGTGCAACAAATGCAGCCATGGTAACGTAGAAAACACAAAGCACAAACGTAGATGGGAGTCAGAAATATAGATCCCAAATTTTGATGCATGGCATGTCGGGTCAGGTACAGAGACTCTACAAGATTTCAAGGTGTATGAGTCTGGACCCAAGCTGCTGTTGTTCACCACAACGTAGCACACCACACACGATGGGGACAAAACTGTACCATCTGTCAACATTCAGCATTGTGTGGGGTCTCTGACTTTTAAAGTTGGGTTAGATTTTTAAAACCTTTTGGTGTGTGCCAAACTTCAGTGAAAAAAAGCATAACATTTTATACTGTTGCCATGGTTGCGTTTGTTGTGCTGACTCCCTCAGTCAGCTTGCTTTCCAGTTGGCTATCATAGTGACAATCCGAAGTGTGTATGTTCAGCTGTCCTTATAGGGTTCCCCTCACATGTAAGGATTTTTAATTCTAATTTTAGACCTTGTTTGATATGAACGATTCCAAGTTTTAGAAATTTCCTCTTGACAAACCTGGTGGTATAAGGCAAAATTAGGGAACATCCAAGATCGAGAACCATTTGATAATCTGGTCTTTGCTGGCTTTTGTCAGTAGGGGGGATCCGGCGTGAATTCAGCATGATTATCTTGGAGTGTGTACCTTGCTTTGGTCTTTGTTGTCTGGATGGCAAAAAAACAAACATTTTGCGACTGTTTGCAAATGGCAATTGGTGCATTTCTGTTTCACATATGTCATGATAGTGGTCTTCAAGTTGTTTGGGTACTGTTAGGTTTAGTGGAATTATAACAAGGAAACCTCACTGCCCTTCATTATATAGCAGCACTGACGCACTTAAATTGATCATGTTCACAAGTTTTTGACTGTTTGTGGTGTTTGCTGTGACAGACATCATTCACTATTGCCGCTGACTGGTCTTTCCTTATGCTAGCACTATCAACCATCTGTTAGGTGGACAGAGAATTTTGGTAAAAACACCTCTGATGTTTGAAGGGTTTTTTTCTTTTTTGCAAATGGAGGGATGATCAATTTATCTCGATTTGGTTAAAGTCTGTCATAGTCTGTCGGCATGTGTGTACGTAACTTTGTTAATCATAGGCTTGCTGTATGTAATATTGGCTGATGATAACTGGAAAAGTCTGTATTTGTTCTGATGGCACTCCCCACTTCTCATTCACATGTCCAACCATGTGTGTACTGTTTATACCTAGTTAATGTGCTCTCACACACTGCTATGCGCGCACAACAACACAGACCACCACGGTGCATTGTTAGCCTATCAAATTGACTCGTCGTCACGAATCTCACAGCGGCTGATGAATATTAGATGGGAGCGGATAATACCTCAACAGAGGAGGCCTCCCCCTGCCAAGGAAAGAGAGGCTGCACACTCAGCAGTGAAGCGCTGCCCACTGAGACCGAACCCCCGACTGCTGAAAGATTCCCCTGCAGTTGTGAGCAGGATGCTGAATAACTGTGGGTGGATTTCATGTAACTCCACGAGTGAGAGGAAGTGTGTGAGTGTTGGTGTGTGTACGTGCAGGAGTGTGAGTTCATGCTTGTGTATTTCTGTGGCAGAGAGAGAGAGAGAGAGATGACAGAGAGAGGTATTCATCGCCATCCATCTCCATAAACCTCCGATTGGATTTTACAGCAGTTGCCTCTTCATCATGAACTGCGATGGATTGTATTCCAAAGCTGCGGCTGTGAGAGGAGGATTTCAGGGCTTAAATTTTTTTAGCTATGAGTGAGGATGACATGGAGAGGAAAAAAGCTCTGCATCAAAGATTTGTATATATGTATGTATGCAGGTCTTCGGAGAGGCAATCCTTGCATGTTATAGGTTGTCTGTATAGGGCACACATGCAGTTTTTCATTCACTAGGCTTTTATTTGTCAAAAGCCGTCAGAGATCCTTGTTCTGGTTTCTCAGATTCTTTAAACCATCTGTAATTCAGTGTTAACAAACATCAACAAACACAAAAACCTTTCATTATCTCTTACTGGCTGGGGGGGAAAAACTACATCTAATTCTTACACTTCAGAAGAGGTTTGCTCACAAATACTCTGACATGTATTTAAACAAGTCTGTATTTTGAAATCAGTTATGAAACACAAAAAGGAAGCTTTTTCTCTGTGCTCATAGATGGCTGAGACGTGCTTTTGAGGATTCCTCGATGTATAAGTAAACAAACACCGAAAGGGCCTTAAAAGAAGAGTAAAAGATTGAGGTTGTTTTGACAATGTTCCCATTGTGTCAAGTCAGTCCTTTTTTTAGATACTGACTAAAGCGCTTTCTTTAGATTTGAATAAGCAGAGTAGTAAATCTGAGAGAATCTGGATCCACACACACTGTATTACGTATTTAAAACTAGGTAGTCTGACTTGGATTATTGCACCATCGAGATCAGAAAAACTGGGACTTGATTAATTGATGTTGGCACATTTCTCGACTGTTAAATTGTATATGACTGCATGCTCTGCATAATGAAGTACAACACACTCCCCATGTCAGTTCAGGCTTAATGCCAGACATAACATTCACTTCAACCCATCAGATCGTGTTTCCTCTAGATTTCGATATAAATTTCCAACGTAAAATTTATTCATCTTTATAAGGCCAGTGTTGATTCTTCTGAACTAAATGATAACAATGGGAGTGAGTTTTGGCAACTTATAGAGGGTCAAGGATTCTCTTTGGCAGAGTAGTTGTAGGTTGAACACCCAAGTCTGTGCGAGAAAGATACTCAATCCGTGTGAAGTAAAATGAAGGATTTTAGCATTATATGAAATGCTTCTTTGTTATCATTACAGTAAAAATGTGCTCATTGCATTACTTATCAATAGATCACATGCCATTATTTATTCTATATATCCAGCTGGCGATGGGTTGCACATTTGAGATACACAACAGTGATGGATTCATTATTTAGCCCCAAGCAGGCGGGCAAGTAAAGTCCAAGATGTTTTGTATCATGCTCACCATTTAGCCTGCCATGCGGTCTTCGACATACAGCTCACTAAGCAGGGAGTGCAATGTGAGTTTATTTTAAATTGTTTTAATATCTTTTTTCATTTCCAATGAATTTCCTTGTATCTGTAAAGCACTTTGAGTTGCCTTGTGCATGAATGGTTCTATACAAATAAACTTGCCCTGCCTAAAATATCATCCAGTTTTACCAAAATGACAAACTGAACTTTTATTTTTCAATTTTTAATAAGTTAGAAAATCAGGGAGGCCCACTGTCCCCTTTGAAAAGAATGGTGCTCCATGAAGTGCCTCCTACAGGTCCGAGCAGACTGGGTACTCAGCAATTTTTTTACAAGTCTTTTTGAAATTGCTTTTTTACAGCACATCTGTTGTTCCTGAATTTGCATCACATTTCCATGATTGCATTTGTCTCAAACTTTTGCAGCTCTTTTTTGACATCGTAACAGCTCAGAATTTTCCAGCGTTTAATCATTTAAATCTTCAGCAGCAGCTGCAGCATGTTTGTCCATCAACACACAGCAGTGCTGAAGCCACTGACATATCAAAATATTGAAGTAGTTAAACTATCAGTGCATACCAAATGAGTGTTTTATAACCCCCAATAAGTTAATACCAAATATCCTGTAAATATGAGATGTAACATGTGAGAGTATCGACACTGACGATGTGAGGAGGTCAGAGCAGACTGAGAGGCAGCAATGGAGTGTGACGTCACAGAGTGATCTTTATTCAGGCTGCAGCACTCGGTGTTGAAGGCAGACCCTTGAGGTAACATTGTGTGTTCTTGTCTGCTTACTCCTCTTGTTTTCTGTCTGTTGGGAGCTGTAGCTCACTTGGTAAAACTTCGAGACTTCACTTTGTTCTTATGCTTCAAAGTAAAACATCAGTTTCAACAACGCCCCCCTTTCACTTACACGGATGATTTATGCTATTATTAATTATTTATTTTTGGCCTAATGAGCTTCTTTTATCATAAATTTAGTTCTCAATCTTTGATATTTCTTTAAAGAAATAAAAAGCCTTTTGGCACTCTTCTGATGTCACAATGGATACTTTTCAGACTGAAGGCTAAGAATAGCAACATGGAATTCAAGGAAGTCTCACTTTGAGACTCAGAGTCTCACAAACAGCCTGACTGTCTGTAGGGTAATTATAAACAAAATGCTGCTCTTCAACATCTGTGATTTAGCAAATATAAAAACTAAACCAATAACAGCCAAAGCTAACAACATCATGCAGCAAGCACAAGCACCTTTACAGCTTTTGGCTACCTGCAGCTTTACTTTTTTGACATGTTGACACTTTATTGTTTCATACTGGAGCCGCCAGCTGCTTAGACATTGATTTTAAATGTTAACACCACCTGGACACTATTTTCATGGCACTTAAAACAATAATTTGGTGAACTGATGGTGAATTTGGTGACTAGATTGGGAACATGCAAGCATATTGCTCATATAACACCCAACCAATAACCTTGTAGCTCTCCTGCAACAGCATGAAATCATCCCATCACAAAGACGACTTCAGATCAGAAACATTGGAGACCTTTATTGTGAACATCATTTCGTCAGCATTTCTAAATAACTGAAGGGAAATCTGAAAACTGCCCTCTGGTTGTAAGAGGGGAGTTGATCCTCTTCCATTGTTGTTGATGACGTTCATTTTGACTGGAAGGTCGAGGGTGAAGGGACACCGACCAGCACAGTGGTGTTCATTTCAAGACCCTTTTTCCACTAAGAATGCTTTTAGCAGTGTCCAAAAAAAAAAACATTTTTGCACTTGAGGCACTAAGCACTACTAAAATGCAGTAAGATTTATATTGCAAATAGCTCCTGCAAGTGCTAACAAAAAAACACAGAGTGGACACAGGCCCCTGGACACATTTGTCATTTAGCATCATTGTATCATCATTGTTACTAAAACCTATTTTCTGGAACCGAAAAAAAAATCAAACTAAAAAACTGAACAGCACAGTGTTTAAGAGTGTCATAACACAAACCATAACCATCTTAGGATCCTGAGGTCTCCTTTGAGTCCAATGGCCAACCTGACAGCATGCTCAGTAATATACAGGCTTACAGTTTGTACCTGATGACTCATATTTCCTACAACCTGTAAGTTACAGGCAATTACACAAAGATTCGGGGGCATAACAGTTTACTGTCGGCCATGTTGTACGGGTTGTACCGAAAATTGTGATGAGTAGCTCAGTTACACTCAGTAGGGGAGACCGGGGTTTGTTGTCACACTTTTTACACAAATGTGTACCAGATGAAAGACCAAAGTCTCAGGCTTATATTTAGTATTTGTGTCATTTTGTGTCATTAAGTTGTCTCACTATATGGGGTAAGATGTCACAGTTGCAGCTAGTAAAACAAGGACAAAATTATTGCTGTTCTCATTTTTGTTTTTACATGAAAGTGAACATCAAAGTCAGGCACAGAAAATGTTTATCATTGAGCTAGAAAAAGTCATTGAACATAGCCACTGTACAAACGTTGACATAAAATATTATGAAACGTGCTCTGGAGTTTGGAGAGCTGTCTGACTCTGTATTTCGGCTGGGATGAATGTTTACAAAGGTATGGTAGTTGACATTAAAGTCCTTTATTGTAGTTCAGATTGATTTATTAGCTCGGGTCACCTGCATGACTGCCCTCAGCATCATGTCAGGTAATGCACTGACATGTTGTTTTTCTTTTGAAATTCCAGACCATGTCTTTTGGCTTTCTCTCCTCCTTTGTCCTCTAACAAGTCCACATGTATCACTGCTTGAATTTTTATCTGGAAGAACCTTTTTTTTAAATATATGAAGTTGTTTTTTTTTCTTTGGGTTTTGTGAAAGGGTTAATTTGTGCTCATCTCAGCTCACAATATGCTCTTCTTTTCTCAGACAGGACATGACCCCTGACCATGTAAAGGAAGAAAACTAGTATTCCCTTTTTAGTTGCGCCCTCTGGTGGCAAAGATAATTGCAATGTGACAATTTACCCATGTGACAACAAGCCCTGGTCTCCCCTATGCTTACATATGAAGTTGAGCAAAAGTTAAAGTTTATCAAAACATTTTGAACGTACTAATGTCCTGGCACATAAGCACCCATTAATAAAACCTATCCATCTCCCCCTGTGCTATATGGTAATACGTCAGTTTGCCTAACACAAAACATACTACAACAGTTAGCAAACAAGTTAGTAAGAGGCTAACTGGATGTTTGCTGAATGACAAAAAAGGAGGCTTTTTGCACAACCTGACTTCCTGCAGTGCATTCATGCTGTTCGAATTTGGGGTCAAAGTCTGGTGTGTCCGATCAAAGCCTGATCAAAATAAAAAAAAAGATACCCAGCACAAATTCTTTGTATGTCAAACTCAAGAAATTGGCCAAGTAAGACAGATGCATCATGCATGCATTTTAAAAGGCATTTTTCAGTTGGACTACTGAGAGATTTTTTTACATGTCAATGAACTGACTGATGAGTAGTACCATCAGCTCAAAACTCACAAATTCCTGGTCATAAGTGTGTTTGAGTACAGGACATCACTGTGAAGTAGCAAACCCACACAAGGGCACATGTGCAAAAACAGGCAAAGTCCAAAGTCAGGACACAGGAAATTGATCTGAAAAGACTAACAATCCAAAAGAGGGAGGTGAGGAGGGAGTCGAAAACACGGGCAAGGTCAAAACACACGGAGACTCTTGAGTACCAACACCGAAAATGCAACACGGTGGGAAACATGAGGAGAATATATAGACAATCAGGGGATGATGACACTCGGGTGGATCTAATTAGTGTGGGATTGACACACATGGTGGGAAACACATAAAAGGAGCGTCAAGAAGCCAGAAACAAAAGTACTCTGAAGATAAAACAGGAGCTCACAAGAAACGAAGACAAAAACTCAACCTTCAGTAATGACATACATATGTCATCAGTGAGTCCTTTAATTATAATTTGACATGTCTGTGTATGTTTCTCAACTAAGTGGTTTATTGGTTTTGAATTGGTTTGGTTCCCATCCATCCCTGACATAGTAGACCCCTTCTATTCAAAGACATTGTCAGGTCTCAATTGTAAATAGAAAAAAGACTGGCACACACCAATTAGCATATCGCAGGATCTACCCAGCAGACGGCCTTGGATTATTTTCAAGACTTGGCTCAAGCAAGAGCGATGGAAATGTCTGACACAGGAACTGCCTCACTGTGCTCTCATGACTATCAGAGACATGCTATCATCAGGAATAAGCACTTATCTGATCGATGGAAACACACTCCAAGAGAGGCAAGCTAACGGTTAACTTAGAGACTCATCACTTCGAGCAGACATTTTAAATGACTTCATTCCTATGTAATGAACCACTGATATCCTATCCTAATGTCGGCTACAGCTGAGCAACCAGCCAAGTATATTACCAGTCTAAATCCTGTAAAGCCTTAAAGCTGTGACAGGGCCACCAGTGGGTCAGTGGTACAGTAGCTGCTGAAAAAAACATTAGCTGATAAGATAGACTTCTTTGTGTAATAGTAGTAAAACAGTGTAGAGTGATGGTCAACAGCAGTAAAACATTGTTACACAGGGTTTTAAAAGCACGTTCTGACGTTGACAATAAAGTTAACTGCATGAAAATCAGTTGCGAAATGAGCAAGATATCAATTGCCCCCGCTAAGATGGCTGCCACGTAGGCACATCCCTTAGCAGGCTGCTACAGTGCGCTGCTGTATCTAGTCTTCTATAATATATATCTGTGGTAATTGTTGCTTGCTGTCTAGCCATCCAGTGCAGGAGCAATTTCTTGTCAGCTCCGCCCCATGTCTCTTCAGTAGTAGTACATTTTGTTAAACATATTGTGTCTAAACTCGTGTTGCCATGTATCAACACATTACCATTTGTGATATGCATTTACTATAGTTGCCATGGATGCATTTGTTGTGCTTCCTTCTTCAGACACTTGGCTTCCTAACAGCCTACATTCTGCATGACAGTGGAGGAAGAGGAGGCTTGGCTATCCTTGGAGTTCCCCCAGAGTGTTAATATTGAGCGTTTTATGTTTACCATTTCAAGTTGGAGTGGCTCAGATTGCCTTCTGCACAGATCTGAGAAGACACTTTTAATGCACTGCACCTCAGAATACTTTGACAAGATCAATTTAAGACCCATTCCATCAGGCCTTTGTTGACTTTTGTTGCAAGAGGGGAACCATGACTAAAAAAGGCATAATTACCTTGTAGTGTGTGCACTGCTTTAGCCACTGAATGGAAGGAAGGATATGAGGAACTTTGGCATAGCCAATGTTGAAGTAGCTGCTCAAACGAAGTTAGTTTGTTGGCTACAGTATTAGGGTTTCTGAACAGCAATTTCAGGACATACACTTATTCAACCATTATGAACAGACTCATTTGATAATTATTAAATGACTTTGATCTCCATACTAATTAGTTAAAAAATTTACCAATATTACATCATTTTGGAAAATAAATACATTTAAATGGTGCTAAAATGCATAGCCATAGATCCACCTTATCACGCACAACATTAAAAGCTAGCACTCTGATATCAAAGCAATAAGCCAGTCAGTAGAATTTGAAGTTTTGCTTTCTAGGTTTTAACAAACTGGGGCAAGTAAAGACTATTTTTAATATTGTGAAACAGTATGAGTAGCTTAAAGCTCATGTAAGGAACTTTCAGTTTGTGCGGATTTTGGCGCCCCCTGTGGATGTAGCATTATTTGCATATCATGCTTGAGTAATGACTGTTAAAAAAACTTTGAATACCACTGACCGTTGATTGTCAAATGCATTGATTTTTGTAATTTACTGTGAATTATGTGGTCATTCTACAAAATGGCTGTTTCCTCAATTGTTTGGCAGACACCTGCCCCCTCACTTTGTTAATAACATTAAAAAATTAGGATATATTGTAAATATCATCAGTCTTGTCATGGATGGTCTGTTTTGCCTTTGGATATCATGATAAAGAGTCTGAACTTTAGACTATTTTGTAAGCACTAAAAAACTCCTTATAGGAGTTTTTATCGCCTATGTAAATTGATTGGTGTTTAGAAAAGATGAAACCTCGGAACATCTTTTATTTTTTTTGTATAACTCTCAGCTTGTGTCAGCTTTGGCGCCCCCTGTTGACAAAGTAACACCCCTTATCTCTTCATATATTTTGTGCTGTAGATGTGTTTTTTCACAGAGACTTTCACCTTGCTTCGCTCCAGCAGTAGGATGTTTAAATCATTGAGATTGATACATGAAATATAAAAAAGATTGCGCTTCATATTCACTTATTCTTACTGTATGAAAGGACGATGTTTTTGGTGGTTATATTCAGGGTTGTAGTCTGCTGTTCACTGCAACTCGGAGACCCTGAGTTTGAACCAGTGTTTATACATGTTACATGAATGAAAAAGGCATGAAACTGAAAGAAAGAAGGGAATCTGATACTTCAGCCTCATTAACATGCACATGAACATTGCGTCGGTCAGGCCCCAAACATCACCTTGTCTGGTGTTGGAAGAGAAATACACAGGCTGATGGAGCTCCTGCATTGCGTATTGATGAGTCTGACTGGATAGGATGACAGCGCAAAGTGAAACCAGAGACCCCTCTCAGGATGAGGCGGGGAAAGGGGGGGGCAGGCGGCAGCAACGACGGCAGTGGTGGCGGTGTGATTTAGCATTTTAACATTATCACTTAACTAGACAGGCCTGGCAGTGGCCCTAGTGCCAGGCAAATGGGAAAAGGAGGTAAGGAGGGAAGGGAAGGAGAGGAGAGAGGAGGAAAAAATATCCTGTACTATCGGGCCAGCATTACCTTCTTTATTCACTGGAGAGCAAGAAAAAGGGGGATGAATGATGTGAAGAGAAATGCAGATGAGAAAACAGAGAAAGAGGGAGGGAGGGTGCACTTCCACTAGAAACTTAATTATGCATGGCAGAGCAGCTGGAGCAAAAAAGAGAGGAAGAGAGATGGATGGAGAGGGAAAGAGGAGAGGAGAGGACCCACCTACACAAAAGGACGGGGGGCAGATGAAGAGGAGGGGGAGGAGGAAGGTCAGAGGAGATAAAAATGAGCAAGAGGAGGGGGGTTTCTGTCATGCTTAAGGGGGCGTGTAGGTGGTGAGAGTGGCAAATTCACATGGAAGTCAATTGTGTCGACTGAGCTGCAGGTGATGTTACATCAACAGCTAATCTGGTCCAACCACAGCAGTTTATCATGGGGGAAAAAACAACTCTTATTTTCAGTGTCTGGGGGTATTTTTGTAGTTATACTGTTACTCATCTTTCTCCTTTAGTATTGTTAAATCCAACAAAGTACGGAAATAAGCTAAGATAATAGATAATAGTTAAAGAATCAAATTTATTGTTTTTTTTTTTCTCAAAGAAATCAGTTTTGTAAAATAAGAGTAATTGAATATTTTTTTAACCAACCCCAAAAATCTTTCTAAAACAAGCTAACAGAGAAAAATAGTATTGGTAATATTTAATATCACAGTCCAATGTGAAAACATCTTGAGGTGCATTTCCACCAAACAGTCCAGTGCAGTTTGAACTCCCCACGTTTCATTAACTTTTTACATGAAATAAAACAACAGACAAAGACAAGTGGATAAGACCTAAGCTGTTTTTTTTACACTGTTTAAAACTGAGGAGCATATCTAACAGTGATTTTTTTTTCTACAGCAGACTTTACCCCTGGTGCTTCACACAGGCAGCATGTTGGTGCTGTTGTGGCCTTGGAATAGTTAGATTTTTGGCATACATGTCATAAGAGGCCACCATTTAGAGCAGCGCATCTTCATGCAAGCAGATCTCAGCATAAAAAAGCTAGAGGCTGTGTTTTCTCAACAACACCTTTGTTTATGTGATAAGCATGTCAAATATACTGTGATTGTGTTTTTCTGGAATTCTTTTCAAAGCAATAACCTACTGAGAAGTCCTGTGACAGTTATTTGGCAAAATAAGTAACTTGGACAGCTTTTTAAGAGAGTCTGCAATTAACTTTTGCTGAACAAAAAATTTGCCATTTGTTATGTTGGCTGCGAGTATAGTTCATTAAATAACTGAGATCAGGTTATCAGATATTTCTTTTTGTGCGAACAAAGATGCACTGTACTCAGTGCCGACTGTAATTTGCTAAACTGCAACATCCATTCACAGAAGACTGTACTAACCCTGTGCCCCTTTTGCTCCCAGCAGAGGAATGGCAAAAAATCAGGAAGGCATAGATCGGGTTATTAAAGTACCTTTTTCACATTATGATGATGGGAACGTAACTATTTGCACATTTAAATTGATCAAATCACTTTGTAAAAACACATCTTTATTGTTGTGTATAATCTCATTTGGTTTTGTAGGTCATTAAGATAAAACAGTATACATTTCTGGCTGTTTCATAACCATCTAAAAAACTCATCAAAGTAGCTTTAATCCAAGATTAGATTTGGTGAAATAAGAAGTTCTTCTCTGTTAGGATTGTGGTTTTCCTGACGTCTCCTGTGTTCAATGAATCAAGAAACCCATGCGCTATGCTCTTTCATTTTTTGAATAGTTTCCCACTGAATTTTTATTATTTATCAAGTGGTGTATTGAGTGCTGCTCTGTTCCAGCACAGAAATCTGCCTTAAGGCTCAGATGCAATATAGTTTACAACAGACGAAGTAGTCAATAAATGTATCATTTAATAGGTCAGGACATTATAGTAATTCAGCCTGAGTTTATAACGGCTCTCAGTTTACTTTTTGCAGAAGGCGCAATAGCAAAAAGAAGCTGGGGAAAAAACTTCTAGTAAACTGTTACTGCTACAAATCAGAAGATATACAAAAGTGACAGATAAATTACAAACCCTCCACCTGTTGACTGAATGCTGCATATGAGACCAAAGTCAAACCATTTAAAGCTGTATGGGTTTTATAGATCACAAAAGAAGAAGGACAAACTTGGGTGTCCCTGTGCCCTAGCCCATTCATTCTTTTAAACCTCCCAGGCTCAGGTGGACCCTCATTAATGGCACATCTACCACAGAGGGGGGTCAGACCCTAGGCTATTAAGTCTCTCTTTTCATTAATGGGTCCGCTTACTGGAAGTGACAGAAAGGCCGTGTTTCAATTTCTTAAAAAGCAGCCTCACTGTACTCAGATACTGTACCTGCTGTTGCTCTGTTCCACTGGGCTTAGGTATCCCGCAGAGTCACGCACACACACACCACACACACACACACACACACACATTAAAAAAGAAATAATGAGAGCTCAAGTGTGCTTCACAAAACCCTACAAGTACACACAGACTCAAGCGTACATATAGGAAAGCACCCCAGTTATCCAAGAAAAACCAGGCGCTTTCATTCTGGTGTCTCCGCACACACTGATGGAAGTAACTCAAGCAACTGAGCTTTGATTAGCTGGAGTGTTTTTAATGGACTGCTCCTGTTTTAACAGCCTCCTTTTATAATGGACCCAGATGATAACAGAGACATGAATATCAAAAGAGGCGCGTGATCACGAGTGTCATGAATGCAGTGTGTCTGTGTAAATGTGTGTCGCAACTTTAGAGGCTAAGAAATCAAGCCAGTGAGGAATTACCAAAATTGCAGTTCCTTGAGCGTCCACTAGAGGCTGGTGCCAAAAGTGAGTCTGTCTCCTCAGAGCCTTATGTAAAGGGAAAAATTGCTGCCCAAAAAAAAATGTGTAAAGCTGAATTCTTTTATACATGGCCACTGTGTAATGGGTGAATTTTGTATCACTTAGCTGCAACTTCAAGAGACCTCAGCCCAAAACCTTAGGCTAACCAGCAGCAGATAAGTGCTTTTGTCACTCTAAACTGACCTAGCTAACTTAATTAAACCTTCTGTTGGAACAATAGTACTACTGTGGTGAAGAGAAGTCTGTGCTCCAATTCTTTGGTAAGTTAATGTCTGTTGTATTTTTTATATATTTTTGCACTTAATAGATGGTGTCAGGGTCGTTTCACTGCTTAACAAGAGGGTAAACTAGCTCATTGATGCTTAATTAATAAGCTCCAGGTAAATACCGCCCTGCCTTAGTCTCTTTGCTCTACTCTGCTTCTATCATCAACAAGTGGTCACTTTTGGTCCCAGAAATTTAGCATGTTGGAGGCCATGTTAGTTTTCAGTTGCAGTAGGCAGTTGCACCATCAGTTGGTGAAATGGTCAGGGGCAGGTCCAGAGGGATCAACAGAATTGACACTGGCATGGCCAACCAGATTTGTCCCCCCAGGTGTCACCCTAAGATCCATTTGCCCTTGCCTTGTCTTGCTACATGCAGCATTTTTGTCATTATTCCTTCCAAAAACAAGACAATAACATAAACTAACAAGGACTGTATGAGGACAAAAATCATGGTGAATAACTTGACAATTTTGTTAGTAAACAAAAACAGGACCGAAATGTCTTGAACTCTCAGCTTCTCCTGCAAAGATCACCTCTGAAAGGCCATTACTTTAAGAGACTCACTGAATTTCTTCCGTTAGTGGCTCTCCCTGACCCAAGGCTCAGTTTCAACGACCCAACCCTAATTTTAAAGTCTCATTTAGTAATGGCTGACCATTTTTCTTGTGGAGGGTGATGGGACTGCACCTTACTGCCCTCTTTAGACCAGCTGCCACTTCCATTTTGACTGAAAGTAATGACTGAAACGTAATGACCTTTATAGACTAAAACTAAACTTAGGAGGAGTTCAAACAGGGAGCCTGTTGGCTGTATGATAGCCTTTATTCTCTTTCTTTACACTGCTAGTATGATAGATCTGGTCTGTAAATATGCATGCCGAAATGAAAATCCAGTCTAAAGCCTCCGTGAAACTAGAGAGGGCAAAAAGACTAAAATGTGTCTAAATCTAATGGGCATTTCCATCCAAAGACCAAGACTGATTCTGTAAAAGCTCACTAATTTAATGCTGGTCATAGGTGGCACTTTTGTAAGGTCAACCTTTAAGGCTGGCTTTCTTTGTGGTACATTTCTCTTTGTTGGTGCTTTAAAGTCTGAACAGTGATGTTTGATTATCTGTTTGAGTATTATCTGTTTGAGTAAAAAGATTTATGGTCAGTTGGGTTACTTTCAACAGTTAGAAATTATACACAGAGATGTAACAACTGTCTTATACTGTTATAATGCTAGTAAAGTCGCTAGTGGGACACCCCGGTCAGAAAAGCTCAGACAGCCTCAGAATCTGGTCCTTGAGAAACTCAGGCTGCCCTTGTCTACATCTTCTGTGAGGAAGAATGGTTTAAACAGATAAAGCATCATAGACTAAAAGTGTTACACCATCCCGTCCTCTCCCACATTTTCACTTCAACATCTTTTAGTTGTTCATCACTGAAACAGGGAGCTCTGCCAGCTAAGTAGTGCCACTCAGAAGTATTTTGTCAACACTCAGCTACAAACAGCCCAGTCACGCATGGCATGGTTGTATGGGAGGGAGTGACGGCCAGAGAGAAAGGGGTGCAGCGGAGCAGCTGGGAGCAGTTGTGAAAGAGCAGCTGGAGTAATCATTTTTCTGTCTCATGTCTCATTTTTCTCCTCTCACCCTTTTCTTTCTCGCTCTGTTGCTCACACACTTCGACACACATGCTCTCTCCATCTTTATCAATGTTTTCTCTCTTCATCGCGCTGACGTCTAATTTTCGTTTTTGTGTGTGTGACTTGTAACACTATCTGACGCCATTTCCTCTCTTTGCACTTCAAAGGTCACACACACTCATGCAAACACATAATAGCGGACAGATACACTAAACCAGCTGGGTCCTGGTGCTTATAGCGATCAGCATCAAGTTCACAGGCCACCTAGGATTCAGCTGCATGCATCAACATGCAGTCATGTTAGACTGCCAGGGGATGAGGCTTATACTCAAGAGACGAAAACAGAGGGCAGGACGTTTGAAGAAAAGACAAGGATTCACATAAATATAAGAATTAGCTGTCTTGTCCTTTAAGAATTAAGAAGGCCTCCGTAGCACAGAGATCAGGAAGTTAAAACTATTGGACGTCTTTTAGAGCGCAACAGCAGTAAGGTCATAGTTTCCTCAAATCCCTGCCTTAGCCTGGGTGTCAAGAGTATCAGGGCAAAACTCACGTCATCCATTATTATAGCAAACAGAATAAAGTTTTTGCATAGAGTTGAGCTGTTATAAGTTGAGAGGTGTGGGTGGTTTTCAAGACAGAGGGTGAATTAATATTCCTTCTTTCAAACAAGGTTTAGCTCTGCTGTAACTCTGTCTTCTTCATTATCACCACTGTCATAGTCCTGGTCTGAGCCCCTGTTACTGTGTATTGTCCCAAAAAACTAGGCTGGCAATGTTAATCAGCAACTCCAGGAAATGACTGACACATGAAAATGACAAATGGCAGATGAGATATCAGGAAAATTTAGATTGTAATTGGTCTTTAAATTGTTAAACTGATCAAAACTGCGAATGTTTTGACCTAAAATCAAAGCATTGGCAGAGATTAAGATGAGGCTACCAAACAGCCCTTAACTTATGCTGGCATGGGAAAAAAATATGGCATGTGTTCACTTTTATGTCATCCTTCTTTGACTGTTTCTGTTTAATAACCTTGTAATCTTTCGTGTTTAAAGCTTGATTTTACACCCACTTTTGCATCAAAATATTCCAATGAAGCAATAAATGGTTTGATTTGTTGAATAAATTAAACAAATCCTTATCTGAGGCAGCACACAGTTGAAGAATATCTCAGATGGGTCATATCAACCTATATTACTCCTTAAAGAAAACTGAAAACAAAACATTATGCATGTCCTCTCTAAAGTATCATAATGAGCAAAAATTTTCTGAGTGAAGAAATAACACTGCTGGAGGAGGTTGAAAGGATTTCCTGTGGTCCTGGGTTGTTGTATATAAAACAGCTAAGCAAACTGTAGATTCTCAATTATTCATCATGCCTTTCCAGCTGATTTGTCAGTAAACAACGGCGCAGAGCTTCTCAGTCTGTATGCTGCGCTGTGGCATTCAGCTCTGCAGCTGCAGAAAAGTTGCCTGCAGTGGGTTTATTTGCTGCTGCTGCTGCTGCTGCCACACTGCCCTCTACCAGCTCAGCTCTATTAGTTCAGCTTCACCACCTCCCAGCGGCCCAGAGGTTGTGACAAAGTGCTAGTTAATGTCTGTCTGTGTGTGTATACGTGTGTGTAAACGTGTGCGTGTGTGTGCGGCATGTGATTCATTGTTCTCTCTGGGCAGATTAAGGGGGTATAATGACATGCATATGGAGGACCATATACGGCGAGGAAGTAATTCAGGAAGTTGAGGTAATAATTGGCTTCGGTTCAGGGGCCACTTACTATGGAAATCCGGGACATTTAAGTCTTAAAGGAATAAAACAGAAAAGTGACACGACATACTTAGACCCAGGAAGATCCTTATTTGTAAAATATTAATGAGATCCCCAGGAAACAAATTAGTTCTTTGTGTCCATTACATAGATTTAAATGACGGCAGCTTCTTGGAGAAAATCTGTGATATTTTGATAAACAGCAGATATGCACCCTAAATCACTTTTATGTCTCTCAAAACATACAAACCTTTTTGTCATAGCTCCACTGAAACCTTTCCTGGAGCCCAAACTGAGACCTATAGGCTCTAAAGATGCAAGAAGTCTATTGTCTCCCAAAGGTCAGCCTGTAGCACATTTTTACACACTCAAATGTATTTTTAACAGACTCAACATGCTGAAAATTGTATAAAACATTCATTAATCACATGCTAAATAATAAAAATAAAATCATTAACTTAGAAATTTCCAAACTGTTCTTAAAAATTAACATCCAAAGTTTTTCAAGCATCACAAAAGTCTTATTTGAAATTATCAAAAAAAAAATCTTGAAAGTTTTGTTTTACTTCATTTTGAAAATCTTCAAAATACTTTAATTCAAATTTGCAGAAAATTCATCAAGTTCTACAACTGTTTTTTATAGAGGTTTTTAAAAAGTTGATTAAGATTTAAGTAAGTCAAATGTTCGAGACAGTATCTATTGAATACTAGTTTTAAGTTCCTAAAATTTTCATTATGCATGTTGACAGCAACCCTGACTATCGCAAGTTTCTTCTTATAACCCAAAGTTTCTTCTGAATACTCCTTCAAAATATTTTACTGAAGTTTTCATCAAAATCATCTGAAAAATTTATGTAACAAAGTGGGAATAATCCTGTTTTTTTATTTTTTATTTATTGAAATAAAAAAATCCCCAAATTTCCTAAAATATCTGAAGGTCCTCATAACATTTTCTGGGTTTCTTGCAAATTTTGCCAAAAATTAATCGCTTCTGGAAACAACCATAAATTTGTATTACAGCTCAGTGGCAGACCTACGGTATGGTCATCTTAACTGATACACTATGATCACTTTTCCCTCTTTCTATTATAATTCATACTGGTGACATTAAATTATTCATCCATCCATTTATGCTAACTTGGCAATGTTAATGTCTTGGGGGTGGTCAGTGATTGAAATCCTCTTCCTTCAGTTACAGGTTCAACCAGCCATGTATTAAAAACGTCAAGAACCAGAAAGTGTACACAGGCAGCAGTAATGACTGTAAAACTCGCTCTCAAGTTCTTTTAAATCACAAACTAAACTTTAAAATCAATTATCTTAAGTAATTCTTAAAGTAAAAGAATGATATGAAGCATTTAATGATAAATTATCAAGCTGCATTTCCTCAAGTTTGAAATCCATGTAATGCGCTACCTGTTTTGTTGGCAACAACCTACCTCAACATTCAGTGTGGCAACAGTGCTAAAGATAGTAAAACACCTTCTCCAGTTAGGCAGATAGGTGGATGAGAGGAGATCAGAGCCCATCACAGCAACAAAGCTCTTCTGGTAGCTCTGTCTTCCTCCTCCTCGTCCCCTGGGAGCAGCGTCTAATCACATGGAGCTCCTGAAGCTGTCACTGCTGGTCAGACTGTCTAACTGTTGTCAAACACTGAATAAGACAGACCGTCACATCACCGTAGGAGATGGCAGATGGTTCCAGGTTGAAAGATAACTGGGATGCACGATATTGAAGATATCGTTGGATGACATTTTTACCAGACTTTTCATGAAATCATAGCCTTTAACTTTAGGAAGCCACTAGAGCTGAGACGTTTGTTGAATCTTTTAGAGCTTTAGGACCACATACATTCAGTTAATGGTGTGTCTATCGGTCCAAATGGCCTCATAATGATTTCAAATGAGCGTAGTGTGTGAGTCCCTTGAGGTAGTGAGTGAAGCAAACATGAGGAAGACAGAAAGTGGATGAAAAACAAGGATTTGATATGATAACATGAATAAAGCACAGGCATCCCTCATAAATGTTAATTATGTCTGTTTTCTATCTGGGTGCAGCAGTTTCAGGGCTCTTGTTGGAGAGATTTGAAAAGAAATGAGATTCCTAATGAGGTTTTACTGAAACATGTGCTTTTCAGGCTTTAATACGTGTTTGGTTTATGCAATCTAAATATTCAGAGGGGCGCAACCTGTGTAGCCTCTGTAACTGGATAAGCATGATGAGATGTTTGTGGGTGATATTGCCCAACCCAAGGCTTTATTACCCTAGAATATGTACCCTGAAAAGAGGATGTAGTCGATGCTGAACTTCTATGAGCATGCATGATCCCATTTAGATTTGAATAGACAGGAAGAGCCCCACACACACACACTCACACCTATGATGATGGCTCAGCGTTGGGACAACCCGATTCCACTAATGTGCCCCTGTAGTATTCACAGTGTAAGTGAGACGTTTGGGCAGAGTAATTGCTGTGAATTTAAGAGGAAATGAGAGAAGGACTTGAGTGGATTCGGTCCTTAAGCTGTATTTGCTGACCTGTCTTTGTCTTTGTACAACTCGAATGGCAAAAATACTAGGATACTGTATAACATGTTAGAAAAACTGAATTTAATGGTTTGCAAAGCTTAGAAACTGTGCATTTTTTAAAAAGTTGTTCAGAGAGAACATTTTAAATGGAAAAAATGTTAGGATTGAATTAAAAATATGAACCATTGTGATGCCGGCAACATGTGTCAATAAAGTTTGGCACAGGACCGCGTTGACCGTTGGGCTGCAGCATTTCTGGATCATGTTCATATTGGGTTTTCTTTTGAATCATACATTCTCAACCTGCGTATGTGGATGCAGGGAAGAACTGGACTTTATTCACAGATAGTAGCACCTGGATATGATTTGGGGCCAATGCGGTGAATCCCACTGCAGAGTAATATCTGTTTTTCATGCAGTGTCACCTGAGGGCCATCATTGCCATCCAGCATCAGTTATCAGCTATGTTTTTTTTTTGTACAAAGATTTCTCTAGAGTCTCAAAAATGTTTTTACAATATCATGTAGCATAGTTGACAAAATCTTCTAATTCTTTGTAATTTTATGTTTAGGAGCTCTATTTTGGAGTCGCTCAACTCAACTCACCAACTTCAAACCAAATTTATTTACACCGCACCTTTCATATCTGTTATCATGCAGCCAAAAGTGCTTCACAACAGAGTGGTGAACCCTATATTTACTCCTCAGACACTCTGACTTTCTGAACACCCTTTTTTTATACCCAGCCACAATGCAAATTAACCACTTTGGCAAATTTGTATGCTTTTTTAGCACATTTTTTACTGGCATCAAATTTCAAACAGGCACATATTTTTCATACAACAATATTATCTGTCAGTATCAATGTTTGTTTTGTTGTCTTGGCATCATTTTCATTTAAATATAGGCTTTGAATTATGTGCAAACCATTAAAATCTGGTTTTATCAACATTTTATTCATTTCAAAGCATCCCAGCTTTTTTAAAGTGATCATTTAAACTGCATAATGAAAGTATAGATAGTTTAAGAACTTGCACTGTCCATGTTCAGCTGGAGTTATTGTGATCTTGATTTAAATCTTGTGAATTGCATTCTTGTTGATAGTTCATCTCCTAGTTAATAAAAGTGTGTAAGAAACCACAGAAGAACAACATGTTGACCTCAGATTTTATATTTTAAGAGCTATTATGTCGTGTAATCATGCCTCAAGCCCATGTATCTTGACTTTGACTAAATAAAATGATATTTCATATGTTCTAAGTGTTGTTTCTGCACTTTTTCTCCCCTAAAACTCTCAGCAGATTCTTTGTTTAGGAAGTTGGATATAGCAAGCTACAGAGTGAATCTTACAAGCTTCAGTCAAGATAGAAAAGCTGCATGTAAGACAAGACAAAGAGCCTGTCACTGAGGATGTGTTTGACTCAACATTTGACAGTTCGTGTTACGTAGACGCACGCCTGGAGCGCAAATAATAATGAAGACACAAAAACGGAAATGTCACTCATCTCCTTCAATTCAGCTCCCACACCCACATGTGCTCACTGCTTTCAAAATAAAACACACAAAAAAGTTGTTTTTTATAGATAATTATAGACACAAATTTCGAAAGGGTTTCCCTGTCCTGTACACACCCACACACACACGTCCTCATGCAGAGCACATGCGCTTATGTACAAACATGGACACAATCAAACCATGAAAACACAATCTATATATAAACACACACCAAATATAGCGTCTTTAGCATCGACACGTTTACTGTCAGAAACAACAGTCCTGAGAGCCATTTCATTTACATGCAAATTGACACCCACCAGTCCACCAAACACACTCTCCTGCCTGGTGTGTGTGTGTGTGTTAATGTGTGTGCGTAGTAGCTCTGCTGGCACTCGCTGAAGGTGCTGTTCTGTCCCGCTGCTTTTTACTGCTCACTAAAACTAGACACAAAGAGGTAGAGAGGCAGAAAGAGGCTCTGATTTTATTATCCATCTTTGGTGTATCAACAGACATGGTGAGAAGCTCATCAAAGAGGCCCCATGCAGCCTGGAGTTTGTCATCTCATGTTAGCATCGGTTAATAATGGGCAGGGGTCTGTGAGAGTCCTCGGATCAGATTTCTCCTTCTGACTCAAGGAGATGAAGGATCTCTTGAGGTGAGTGAGCATCTTTTAAATAATGAGCTCTGAGAGGCCGATCAGCACAGCAGGAGGGAAAGTGTGGCTGAGATGCAACAGGCTGAACCATCTGAGCTTTATTCTTGACATGGAAATTAAAAAAGGTCACTCTAAACTTCATAAAATGAATACACTCTCAGCTGACGCCTAATGGTGATGGGTAAAAGCCATTACTGAGTGAAGAGGAGCAGTGCTGGAGGTCGATCATCAGAAACCAGATATTTGTCACCCTCTACTGGTTAATATGAGGCCTCACAGGAAGAGCTTCAACTTCATCCCTTTAACCCTCCTCCTGGAGGAGGCTGCCTACAAGGACTTAGACATGCATTTGGATCTTTGTTGTAGTACAGAATCATGGGATTTTATCACTGCTTCTGTCAAAGTCAAACATCTTTAAACTCATATGAGGAGTTTTTAGGCCAACTATGAAAAATTAAGTGATGCCTCTTTAAACAAACAAGACCAGCAGCAAAAATATTAACAATTTATTTATTGTAAATTTTAATATCGGCTTCTGTTGCAAGGGGGTAAGTGTAAGAAAACATCATTTATAGCCCATGGGAAGAAAAACCCCTCTTTCATTTTTTTCTTGTCCACTGGGGGCAGAACAGAATTCCCTCACAAGAGCTTTAATTATAGTCTACTTTTTTTTAGAACTTTAGGGCTTTCAGTATCAAAATCAGCACGACAATGGCCCAAAACTTCTTCTAATTATTATTATTATTACCTTTTTTCTTTGTGGCATGCTACTTTGTCCTTGAGTTTGAGCCATCACATATGAGCTAAGCGTACACTTGCAGCTAATCAGACTGATGTTAGCAGGACACTGGATCATAAAAGCCAGTCAGTTTTGGAACATGCCAGTTTCCACAGACTCATGGATTGCACCAGGACATTCCCTAGTGGCCTGAGGTTCTTGCCCTGCTGTGGTTGGTTGCAAGATTGAGACCTCTCTGAATGCAAGCATCATCATATGGGAGTGCTCATACAGTTGTGCTCAGCCACCATCTGAAAAATATGACGTCATAGTGTACCTCATGGTGCAATTAGCAACTGTCCACTCACATGATACATGACAGTTTTGCTGCCAGGTAGGATGGAAAGGAAGAAAAGGAAAGGTGGAGCAGAAAGGGAGAGAATGAGAAAGGGGGAGGCTCTTCCTGCAGATGCGTCAAAGTTTAACAAAATAAACCCCCTATACCGAGCATGACTTGCCAAATACCCATGCTAGAATAGCCCATAAGCAACACAATGAAACATGTCACTGAGTAGTAATCAGCAAAAATGAGGGCATCAGGGTAATCATACAACACTGAGGGTTGTATGGTTTAACCAATCAGAACAGCAAAAGCTGAGAAAAGTGAAGACATACTTATCATGTTGACAGGGAGTCAAATTCCTGACCCGTGGACTTGAAAACAACACGAAATACTCTGGACTAAGAGACATACTCTGGTTGGAGTGGTGTGATATGTCAAACAGTACGAAACTGGAACTCCTAAGTATTACAAATACCACTGCACTGTCAAGGAATCACTGGATATCAGTAAGTAATTTATATCACAAAAAAATACATGTACACAGTTTCAACATTGACTTTGTTCTCCCTGATCAAGACACAGTTTCATTGTTAGTATGAAGTTGAGCAATGGTTTCAGTGGAAAATGGAATTAAAATTACATGGTTGTTTTAATTAGTCACAATTAACAATCAAATTTCAGCACTTAATAGCAAAATTAAAAATATTTATTTCACACCCCTATTTTAAGTGTACTAATGGTGAAAATTCATGTAGTGCAGGATTGATAAAATATCTTTTCTTTAATTGAAAACCTTAGTGTCCATATCCTTTATTTTTTGTGAGAGGACTCACACATTGAGAAACCTAAGCTCAAATATACACTACATATACAAAACAACACCAATAAATCGTAAGCAAATAATAACAACAAAAGAAAATTGTGTATGACAGAAAAATTAATTTATTTAAAAGATTTTTTTTCTGACATGTTTTTTTTATTATTCTTTTCCTTTTTTAAGACAATGATCGAGGAACTGTGTGTGTGTGTGTGTGTGTGTGTGTGTGTGTGTGTGTGTGGGTGGGGGGGGGGTGGGTGGGGGGGGATACTGTATGTCTATCCAAACACAAATACCAGAAACTGTGTCTGGTACTGAAAAATACAAAAAAAATTGGCTAAAAAATTTCATGTTTTTGTGTGGGAAGCTGACTAAATTACTCAGCTGAAATTACATGGCTGGTGCAACAAATCACTGACTTCAGAAAACCAAAAGTAAACACTGTTCCTGGCAATACTGGTAAGCATTGCCCTCTTGTTTGTTTTTGGGTTTAAATTTTCGCCAAATGTATATTCAATTGGTTCATATTGGTTTCTTTTTTAATAATTCATATGCATTTGACTGAATGTGTCATCACATCATGCTGAGGAACATTCGGGGATTGGTTTCTAGTTTAAAGCTTATTTATGTAGACCAAGCTCCATGACCTGACACCTACTGTTATAAACTCTCTCAGAGTTGTGAGCATGCTGCTAAAACCCCCAAACCAATTGTCTGCCTTCAACTTGATCTTAATTTAGAATTCTGATAACAAAACAATTAACGCAATTACACAAAAACTAATTGGTCATACAACACAATCCATCCCTCCAAAATAAAACCCATTAAGTAATCAGTCACTGTGGGCTGATTTCATTTGCTATTAGGAGTCGTTTAGTGAAGGCTGCAGTTTAGAGTAGCAGATAATCAGCACCACATTTGATTATCCATTGAGAGAATTATCCAGGCCGCAGTGTGAGGAACTGGCTGAGTTACAGAGATTGTTTCTGTAATTATGAGCCTGATTGGCTGCCCAATGGCCTCCATCCCATTTAGCACAATCAGAGAGAGAGCAACAGTGATGTAAACTCACAGTAACATTACTCAAGTGAGGCTCAGATAGCCTGAGTGTGCATGCATGTACCTCCATTCTCCTGTACTTAAAAGGTACCCGAGTTTAATGACCCATTTGCAATTTCAAGGTTCGTTTCATGACAGGTTTAATTATTTGATTAAAAATGGTTGGATGTTGTGCTTCTGCTGAGTTCACTCAGATAAAACACACATAAATACTGAACATACTGTATGGTTTAAAATGAATTAGTCGTTTTGACAGGAAGATCTTCAGTGAGTCCAGGAAAAAAAGCTCTTTATTGGTTTATTTACAACAGCTGCACCACCTCTGACTATTTTGACCCGTCATTTTTTGGAAAATGACTTTTAAAGGTTGACTGAAAAGTCTGGTTTTAAAACCTCCAGTTTTGCTGAACAAGTCAAGGCTTTTAAGACAGCAAATATTAAGGATTTATCTGGATCATTAATAGCTTTTTATGTTTTCATTCTGCTTCTGCATTCATTGCTTGTTTGTTTTTTAGATCAGTAACATCCAGACAAAAACCTTGTATTCATAAACACACTAGGCGGCAAAGCTCAATTATGCTTGTGATCTTGTGAAGAAGCTTACTGTCAATTCAATTCATCTAATTCGTCACTTTGTGAAGAGAGGCCATAGTCCTCGACGTGCATGGCCCTGTAGTCCTTCGCCTTTTGTCCAGTGGTGTTACATGAAAATATATATTTTTTGGGCCCTGTCGCTACAGCCTGAGCCAAACCCCCTCAATTCTGAAAACTACATTCATGTCCATTCTTCAAACAATCCAATGAAAGCTTTTAATAGCTACAACTTTGTTTTACAATTCCTAAATCTGGACTTTGTGATCACAGGAGTCAATGTTGTCTTTTCTCAGCGACATCTGAACGGCTTGCCCTCCATATATTTTGGCATCATTCTGGTTATGTACAGTCTTTCTTTATCTTTTTTTGCCAAAAATTGTGTCCCTTGGTTGATTGCTTCTCCAATTGTAGACCTGGATCATCTGGCAAAAACTCAAATGAACTTTTTTCTCTTTCTTCACTCTCTTCCACCCTAACTTCATCATTCTTACACATTTCTTCTTTAACACTCAAGAAATAATGATGGATAACTTCACTTGACATCAAATACAGTGGTTATATGGCATTATCAGACTCAATGTCAAGTCATGACTATACCATTTGAATTTGGAAATTATAATGAATCCAATGATATCGATGCTACCTCACCTTGAAATGCATTAATTATTGCACCAAAGATGACTGTCTTTTTTCAGTGAGGTTATATCTGTTACCCCCGGGATGTTGCTTAAACATTCGACATGATAAGGATAATAAAACATGATAATCTTGTATATGAAAATGAGCCTAAATATCATCAGAGCTCACATAATTTCAACTGACTGTATTGAATATAACTTGATAGTGTTAACTCATCATTTCTAAACTGCCTAAGCTGAGGTTACCTTCTCTTTGGAGGAAGCTTGTCAAAAGCTGTTTTCCCTTAACTTTATTTCCTTGTCTTTTTCTTTCGAACTTCCTTTCTTTTGAGCTTTTTTCTTTCAAGCTTTCTTTCTTTCTTTCGGTCTGTCTTTCTTTCTTTCTTTCTTTTTTCTTTCAAGCTTTCGAGTCCTACCAACTTTTCACTTTACACTCAATGCTTCACCACTGACATGTCCCCAGCTTTTTGATAAACAAACTGACTAATTTTGTTTTATTCTTATCAAACAAAATAGTAAAACAGGCAAATGCTACAAATAACAAATGAAATGAACAGTCTTCAATAATCTTAAAAAGCTTTATTAAAGTGTGATTTGTTAAAAATAAATCTTGATATAACAGTTCAGATATAATAAATTATTTTTGTATAAATAATGCTCTGTACATTGTGATCTTTGGCACTGTTTATAATTTATTGAATATGATCAAGTACCTAAAATAATCATGATGCATCATTATTACTTAAGTGTAGAGTGAACCAGAGTGCTACATAATTGGAAACATAGAGTGATTCTTCTCAAGTGTTATAAACTAGATGATCATTGAAACAACCTCTGAGCACAGAAAACACACAGTGAGACATTCTTTTCTGTGTTTCTAGCAAAACTGTATCAGTTCTTTCATGCTGCATCCTTTCTCGCAGCAAATATCAGATATTTTTCCAGCAGCTCGTCTGATCCGAGAGGACAGCGGGTACCAGTGAGGAGCCAAAGGGAAGATAGCCTTGTCCTCTGCGGCAGATCGTAGTGGGGTTTGGACCGTCTCTGTTAAATGATGTTCCTCTGTGGAGGCTTCATGGTTCCCAGAGGAGAGAAGACGAAAGGAGAGACTTGAAACTTTTTAGACACCCAAAAGAAAAAGAAACTGCTCTATGGTTGGAGTTATTTCTACTACAGTGTATGTTTGTAGTCAAGGTTGTCCCTAAGTCTTAAAATGTATAATATTTCTCCTATCTATGCACAATCCTGGAAGTTTTAAGAACAAGTTTAAGCCTGAAAATGCAACAAAAACTACTTACGGAAAGCATTGTATTGACCCTGCACAGGCTCTTCATCGATGCTCCTCCTGAGCCGAGAGTTACCACAGTACGAGACGGCCAGGCGTATCAGCTCTCTCCCACACATCTTTATCCTTTCCTGGGCATCAGCCACACACCCCGTAGCCACCAGCACCAGCATCAGAGACAGCAAAAACTTAGCAGCAGCCATCCTGTGATGTGTTTCTGCTCCCTTGTTGTCGAACGGAGAAAGGAACTGCGTGAGGCTGCAAGATGACTTACATTTTACACATGTGGAGGCTTATATAGCCAGTGTGTCATACCCATAAATGCTTAGGCCACATATTTGGAAGATGTATCCAACCTTGGGCAAAGAAAAGCATGTTCTGAACCAGAGCTCAGCTTGAGAATGATGCAGTCTCCTCAAGGCTGAAACCCTCATAGAGATAAAAACACCTGGTTTGACTGAGACCTACATCTTAGACTTATTGAGAAGGAAATTGCTGAATTCATTTGGCTATTCAAACTCAAAAAACTTGCTTCTGAAAGTTCTTCAGAGCTCAAAAGTGGTCTGTGTCCGGTCTGTAAATGTAAAAAGGACAAGAAGAACAAAACCAAGATGGATTTAGGATTCCAGATTCTTTATAAATTATCCTCACAAGCTGATCGTCATCAGTCTTTTTACTCACTTCTCTTAACTCTGCTTCACTCATAACACTGACGTATGTTGAAAATATCAAAACACAACTTTTCATGCCTCCCTTGAAAATGACATGCTTTTACACTTTATCCTGACACATCTTGATGGATGGCAGCTAACTGGAACATAGTGTGACAGCAAAAAGATGTCAAGGACACCGATGGAATGATTCACAGACATGTTTATCCTCGGCCAAAGTCGAGTTGCATAACAGAGCCAGAAAGGACGGTTTTATAAATCCATCAATGACTTCAAGTATGAAAGATGAGATTTTTATGTTTTAAATGAACTTCTGGCGATGCTTGGCATTTTGACCCTTTGTTTCATAGCCTTCAGCGGAAGTAGGATTAAAAACCCAGGTCCTTCTTTTCATTGATTTTGTCTTTATTTCATGGAGATGGCATGGTCAGTGCTTTTTACTTTTTTGGATCCTTTCTGTAAAGGAGAGTTTTTTTGTTTAAACGTGATACAGGCCAGTACTAATGCTGGTTTTAAACTGACGAGAAAGAAATGTCTTTAATGAACTTTGTATGCCTCTGTGTTTCCTGTTTAGTTATAGTGCTCACTGATTTGTAATTGTGTTTTGGATTATTGGCCAATTTGTCTTACTTCTTGTTGTGGGGCACTCAAGGCTCACTGTAATTAAAAATGCAAATTAGCTGCATAGTCTGTCTGATATGAAAGAACTGCTTTATTTTAAAAGTCTGGAGGTGGTGGAGGTGTTTTTTCTTTTTAGTATAAATCTGCTCTGAAAGATGAATGTAGGATATACTACATGAAATATGCTATCCATTCAGTGGCGTACTCTGGCTTTTTGAGGGGTGGGGCCAAAAAAAGGGCACCTACCGTGTGAGGTGGAGCAGCAGCTCACAGAAAATTATGATGTGCTGCTTCTGGAAAGATTGTTTGTTAGTTTCACAAAACTCTAATGAAAACCAAACATAGATGTGTAACAAGGTCAACAGGGCACCTCGTCAAGTTTTATCCATTGAAACAGCATCTGAGGGGGCACTTCCTATCGCTTACCCACCTATCTGTTAATTCCACAATTCACATTTCCCTGACTCATAATAAATGGATGTCTCTCACTCCAGGGGCAACAGTAGTGAAATCCTTTGATAACACCCAGGACCCATCGGTACTAAAACCATGAAGTCTAAGAGCAAACCTACAGGACTCTTGGCAAGGGAAAACAGTTAGTCTGCTATCAGGAGACGAGGACTGAATAAGTGTTGGTTCTAAAGTTAGTGGAGCTTCCTTTCCGGCACCCTGGAAACACCTCATGAACCTAAACCTGATACCGCAGTCATTGTACACACAAAATGGGACACCCCCATTTAGCCACTTGATTGAGCCCTCAGCATCTCTGGGTTAAATCTCATCCACACCTGGCATCCTGCCGTCTAAGAGCTTTTTGACTACCTTTGTGACCTTTAATAAGGATATGGGTGTGGCTGTCCCTAAAACCCTAAACTCTGCCATTTCAACAGAGGACATGCAGGTTGGTTTTAGGACATGTTCAAAGTGTTCCTACCGCTGCTCAAGAATATCGGAAGCCCAAATAAGCAGTTCTCTCCTTCGCCAAGAACATCCTGAGCGGGACCTTGATGAACCCAAACTTCTCTCATACCAAATAATACCTTTGTGATGCCTCAGGAGACTCATGTACTGACCAAGTTAACAACTTCTTTATGTCACCACCAGAGTCCACCACTTCTTCGATTCCACCTCCACAAATTGGGGCATCGTGTTCATTCAGACTTGCCAAAAACTCATGCTCAGTCCACAGTACACCAGCTGATCCTTACTAGCTCATCCAATTACCCTCTACACATCCAATTGTTAAATGTCAAAATGTGCTTTCTATTTAAACTGCTTCGGCCTACTTCTTCTGCAACCCACTTTGCAACACACCTCTACAACCTATTTTTAAAGTTAGATCTGATTTTATCGGTGTTAAATGTATTATTACTGATGTCTGCTCTTGTCTGCTGTCCTCCCTTTTTTTGGCTAACCCATAAAGCTCCCAGAACAGAGCCATACTGTAGTTAGGGCACCAATGGCTTTCAAGCCATAACAGCCAACAACCTCTCACATAATGTTAACTTTGAATATGACCATCGATGACTTCAAACATGATTTTATTTACCAAATCCTCCTTTTAGGATGCTCAAGAAATTCATTCAGAAGTAGGAGTTTAAAGGTTTCCTTAATTGAAACTGTTTCTGGTCTGTGATAGAAGTGATCAGGTTTTATCTGCTTCTCAGTGTCCATGTAGATTCTCATTCATCCAGGTCATGGTTTTCTGAAGACTTGAAAACAGGCAACCGGACTTAGTGTTTCATAAGTATGTGTCTGCCAGGTTGTCTGTCTTTCAGATCTTTTTCTTTTTTCTGATGTCCTTCCTCTATTCCTGTCCATTCAGACCTGGCTGACTCACACTCCACAGCCAGATTCTCTGTGCCCTCTTGAGGTTTAATTGATGCTGACGACACCATTAAACCTCTCTGGCGTCTCTCCCATTACCTTATCCTGTAATACTATTATAGAGGCAGCAGCATCCACCTGAAAACGTGACCCAAGTGTCTGTTAATAGACAGTGACATTAAGGCTCCTGTGGGGACTTTTTAGCTGGTAATAAAACAGACTGAAATTAATTCTGATGACTTTTTGTGACCCACAAAAGCATGTGAGACTCTCAGTGACAAGACTGACAATTTCTGTATCATAATTTTTGGTGGCTGTAACCACTGTTTGGGCGTAGGTGTCAGACCAGATGATTAACAGCACGCTGAAGAAACTGCCCTTTTCTTTTTTTCTGCAGTACTCACGATAAGTGAAACATTTGACTGTTGAAAGAAAGCATGATAAGATTGTCTTTTTCCAGATACACTACTTGCACATGCACAGGACAAAATGGGAAAAGACATTAGAGGTGGCATTTTGACCAGAGGGGGCGCCAAAATCACTGCATACAGTATGTTTCTCACAGGAGCTTTGAGCTTTTCATATTTTTAAGAAAATGAGGATAAATGTGGATTTTAAACAGTGCAAAAAAACTTTGTGGGATTGAGAACAAGTACCTTTGTTCATTTTTAACAAATGGGTTTTACACAGTTTTCAGCTTGTGTTTGTTTTATAGTTTTGTTTTTCATACACAAGAAAGAAAAGTAAATCTTACAGGATTTGCACACAGAAATGTTTTTTCACAGCCACAGTATGATAGATTAACTTTGTGTTTTAAAAATAAGAAAAACAACAATAAATGCCTGTGAGATAAAATACATTCAGGGAAAGGTTTTTCTTTTGTGATTTTCAACCATTGCACTTTTATCACATGCATACAGTCGTTCATGCAGAAAAGCTGCTAGATTGTGAGGAGGTTACACATCATCTCATCATAGCTTTTTAGTCTCTTGAAGAGCTACAGCTCTGAATAGGAATTGCTTTAATGGTGTTAGAGAAAGAGCTAAATGCAGCAGCAAAGTCAAAGGACAGTGTGACTACAGGAAGCACTTGATCCTGACATCTACAGGCCAAGAACTAGGAGATCTTCTCAACCCCTGCAGTGATGGTGCTAAATACAGACATGTCTGCTGGCTATTATGAGCACAGTTCACCTTGCATGACTTGTAAACATACTTTGGTATTGCTTTAATCTTCTTATTAGGATTCAACAACATATCAGAAATGAATTATATAGATATTATCCATAGAAGTAGTTTGCAAGAACTGAAGTAAAACCTGATTGTGCAATCCTGATCCCTTGTGCCACCAAAATAGCACCGGACATGATTGACTTCTGCCCTTGTCTGACCAGGCGGACATGCAAGCCCAAGTCCTGTTAATCCTTGACAACAAAATTACACTCATACGCTTGATCTCTACTGACACATCCCTGCTGCACCGCACCTCCTGCATAGGTACAGTTGAGAGCCTGCTGAGTGTCTGGAGTGGGTTTTTGACAGGAATACCACATGCTGACAGCAGGACAAGCTTGCACTGATGATGCTCTCAATTGCACACAGATCGGAGATGTTTTCATCGCTTACTTTGTATTTTCTAAGCTTTGCAAAGAGGATGAAAGTGTTGACAGCTCTGTACAAAATTTAAATGTGGTGGTACAGGCCAACAGTTTTACAGAAGACAGTTTCTTGTGTGGAGCCGACCCTGAAGGTATCCAAAATAGTTCTTTAATAGCACTTTTAATAACAACAATTGTTTAAAAGTGTCATTCTCACTTGAATCCTACTGATTGATTGCTATTTAATTCCGCCAAAGTTATATTGAAATAAGTGAAGTAGTCCACTGAAAGCGTCTTGTTCATTCAATGAAGGAGTGATCCTCTATGGCGTGCAAACCATACCTGCTGTAAAGCTGAGGCTTAAAGCTTATCTCAACTTGCTGCTGCCTCCATTTCCCCCTTGGATTGACTGTCTTACATCACACAGGCTCAGAGCTGGAGACAGATGGGGGTCTTACACTTTGTAGACCCATGGGTGATAAGGCCATTTGGGGTTAGAAAGATCACAAGTTGGCGGCTTTGTTCAATCCTCGTTCTCGTGGATTGTTTCTCTCCAGCTGGGCCTCCAGTGAGTCTCATCATCAGACTCCTCCAGCGGGGGTTCGAAACAGGTCTCAAACTTTCGCTGCAGACGTTTCCTGAGCTGGAAGGTACGCTCTGTGTTTGAAACACTGTACTCCTGTTCCTTCAGTTTGGCGTAGTAGTCAGAAAACTTGTTAAACAGGATGGAGATGGGCATGCCGTTGAGGATGATGCCAAAAGAGATGCAGCCGAATGCCACACAGCGGCCAAGATAGGAGATGGGGACAACATCTCCATAGCCCACCGTAGAGATGCTCACCTGGAGGGTAGCAAGAAGAAAGTGAGCCCCTGAATTTATACAACCTGTCTTCCATAGAATTAAAACTGTATCCAATTGGCTGTGTTCATATATCCCTGGATGGGATACTCATAAGCTGTTGTAAAATTCTTTCACTGATTTTGTTGTATAAGTCATATAGATGTGGCTAATCTAAAAAGCTTTATCATTTATAAAATAAAATAAAAAATAAAAAAAAACAATAAACTGTGCAAATCTGTAACAACATGGGGCCACATTTCAAGTTAGGACTACATATTTAGTAACCACTGAGCAGATAGCAACAACTAGGCTAATGTTTGCTTCAAGCAATTTTCTAGCCATCATACTATTAGCTAAGAGGCAAACTCGCAGCTTATATTACCTTTTGAAAGCATTACATGGTACAAAGAGGAAGGTAGATTCAGTTTTTAAAAAGCAGAAATAATATTTGATACCATCAGACAACTCTAATGTTAGCCAACAACCATTCACATGCTAAAGTTATTATTAGCTAAAAACTACTCTCCTTACCCGTGTACTTTAACCTGCTAATTGATCCACATGACTCCACCGGCTGATTTTTTACTAACTGATTATGAATTAGGAAAGTGTTTACTGTAATGTTTGTCGGGTTTTCTTGATTCATAGGAATTAGAGCTTTAAGACAAAGCATCAGAACAAAAACGGCTCACCTGAATGCACAACTCAGTTATACAGTTTGCCTGCTGGTATTACAGAAAGTGGTGGGAAGGTTTTCAAACTCGCCCCCAGAATACCCTTATGACCTGCCCTCTGCAGACCAGTTGATGTAAAAATGGAGAATAAAATGCACCTCTTTAACCTTCAGAAATCTAATACAATATTCTTCATCTCTGGTTGTAGTCACTCTTTGTGGCTACAAAGAAGACACCATATCAGAGGTGGTAAGACACATCTAAGTTAACCAGATAAATACAGTCTAAAATGAGAGGTGGGGAAACACAGAAGAAAAGCTGACAAACACACACTGAAATAAGATACTGTCTTGTTAATTTTCTTAATTTTACAGATGTATTGAGTTATGATTCATGTGGAGCTCTATTGCAAAAATGTTCTATTATAATGTCAATTTGCAAGAGCTGTTCTTCAGTGGTCAATTGTGTTGTTGCATACATACCATACCCAAAAAGGTGTTATAATTATGTTTCCTCCTTTTTTTATCATCAAAAGAACAGTTCAGTTTTGTAGAAAATACTTGTATTCAGTTGTATGCTTAAAACCTGCCAACCAGTGCATGTACAAAATCTTAAAAAATCAGCATGGGCAGAGATAATCAGGTATACTGGGTTTGCATGTTTCTACAGTAATAAGAGAGCTGGTGTGTGAAAGTATGAAATCACTATGTCACAGTTTGGTAGCTGTCAGTTCTTTACATCTAACATTATTCTCATGACCTGTCTGACATTGTGAGTTTTGTACCCAATAATTAATGCTGCGGTTTTTTTTTTTGTTGTTTCTTGCATTATACATTTATATTAATGCAACTTGGCTGACCATTGTTTTATAAGAATAAATTTCCATGTAGTATGTCTTGGTTGCTTCATAGTAGAGTCTTAAAAACAGCAAACAGCATAACTCTGTCTTGCACTTTGCACATTTGTCTCGACAGGCAAGCAGTGCAAATCCCAGGAGACTTAATCCTTGACAACCAAATGCACTGCTTGATCATAATGACCCCTGCCACACAAACAAACACTCTCTTCAGCACAGTCAAGAGGAACAGCTTAGCAAGGTTAATTGATCCGGAAGAATTTAAGTGGCAGCCATAAATAAAGGTCAGATCCTTCAAATACAGTGCAACATCCCAGTTTCAGCTGATAAAAAAAACATGTTACCGAACATTTTAAGTAAAAGTAGCTCTGGTAGTGATTCTTTACTTTGGTTGCACTTTTCCCCACATTTTGAAAAACAGTTTTATAATCCTCTTGTTTTTACTCTTCACACTTTTCAATGCAATTACAGTAAAGTTTGATGTAAAGGCATAAGGGCATCCTAGACAGAGTTTGATGTGCATCCTACTCACCGCAGCCCACCACCAGGCATCTGGTATGCTGCTGAAAGGTGTACCAGGCTGATCCACCTCCACAGAGTGCATCAGTGCAGAGAAGGTGAAGATGCCCATGGCAATGAAGAGAAACAGGCAGCACACCTGGATAAATGACAGAGGAGAACATGTCAACAGAGGTCCCCATTCAGATCAGAATGAATATGAACCAGCATATCAGGAATTTTAGACCAACAGTTTGAAGCTGTATCATGGCTCATGGGGATTACCTGTGTGTTATTTGTATTTCCAACAAAAAAAAAACAAGCTCATGAATTTGAAGCATATGATGAAATTACATAGCTGTCTCTTCAGCGCAGAAAAAAACAATAATAAAGTGAAATTGTTTATGTTACCTTTAAAAATGGGAGGCCAAAGAGTCACTTGTTGCAGATATTGTATACAGTAACCAATAAGGCCAGATGTAGGAATTAAAAAATAAAATAAATATAAATGACACAATGATAGCCTGTAACCTCTTATAGCACTTAAGGCGTTGTGTATAATAAGAGAGAGACATAAAATTAAAGCATCACAATAAGATAAAGTTTTGTTCCTCCAGTGCTGGAGATTTCATTACACTTTTAACATGAATTGAGCTCCAAAATATCATTAAAAACACCTAAAGTTGTGTGTTTTTTAACCGCATACCATGTCAAAGTAACGATTACAGCAAAACATACATTCTTTAAAGGGAAAAAAAAACTTTAGTTTGATTACCTGAGAGCCACAACTTCTGACAAGAGTCTGATGTCTTTGTGACTACATGAAACTATACCTTTTTCGTACCGCTTTCCTCCTTATGATGGCCTCAAAGGTTTTTAGGCCTCAAACCACAACGCTAGTTTCAACGAACCTCGACATTAGCATGACATGTTAAGAACACAGTGGCATTTTATCACCCCATCAAGTTTTAAGGTAAACTTGAAAGTAAGTGGTTGTTATTTGGGAACATTAGTAGTAGTAGTAATTCTTGCTCCTGTTCCACCCAACTTTTTCCCAAGCCTGCACAAGCAGTTCTGATTAACCTTGGGGATTAGATGAAACTGTAAACATTGCACTTGCATGTATCAAGTTGAGGTTTATAGATGGCGATTATCAGTTTCTGTCATACAAAAATGTATGAAAAAGGTGATGTATGAATAGACGTTGGAATTGATTTGAAGTGCAGTACTTATGGTTGATGGGTCAATGAAATCTTTTGTATAGCCACTAGGTAAATCACTGTCATTAGTTCACTCTGCTTTTACAAGTTTTGGTCACTACCAGTCCTAAAGGGAAATACCATGTGTAGCTGCTAAATGCACTACTAAATTAACAAGACAGTAGCTATACATTTGTTGTGTTTGGCAGGTAGCACAAAGTCTTCTCTCTGCAGATACACACATGCTCAATTCAAGGTGTGCTTACAATGAGTGCCCACTATTTGATGATCAAGTATCAGTATTTATAGTGGCCTTCACCCAAGTTCCCAAAGTTATAGTGGTAGCTCTATTGTTTTATTTTTGCATGGGTTGTGTCCCTGATTTCCCTCCATACCTGCTCAGAACATTGTCGGATAGTGAAACCAAACGCCCTCATGCCCGTGGAATGACGAGCAAGCTTCAAGATTCGGAAGATACGCATCAGCTTGACAACCTTGAGAACTTTGCTGACTTTACTGACTCTTGCCATGGTCTTCAGATCTTCTTTTTGACTGACATCTTCTGAATCTAAAACAAACGCCTCAAAAATGAGCTGGAGGAAGTAGGGCATAACAGCCACGACGTCAACAAAGTTTAGGGCACTTTTCACAAAATGTTTAATGTTGGATGTGGTGAATAACCGCAAAAAGTATTCCAAGGTGAAGAAAAGGATGGAGCTAATCTCTATCCACTCCATGTAGGTTCTGCCAGCAAGTTTGTAATCCCGGAGTTCTTTTACTGTGTTCATAGTCATGGCAACAATAGAGATGAGCACAAAGAGGCTAGAAAACACAGCAAAGGCTTTAGCTGACAGTGAAGAGTAAGGATTCTCCATCAAGTCCCACAGAATCTTCCGAAAATCTCCAAGAAACATGCTTTTATATCCCTCATCATCTTGGTGAGGTTTAATCTCATCAATCAGCTCCTGGTTGACCTTCAGCTGATCTCTGATGTCATCCAATTTCTCCTCAAACAGAATACGGCAGCACCTGGATGGACGAAAAGAGAGATCATTGTGCCTCTGTTAAAAAGCTGCTACATAAACTTATGCTTGATTCACACAAACAGCAACACACCACGAGAGACAAGACCAAGCTAAAGTATTCACAGCACACCTTGGAGTATCCTTCAGTTTCAAGCCCCAGAATGACAGCTCTTCCTCAAAGTTCACGGGGCAGAGACTATCCATCACCCACAGGACGTTACTGCAGTAAAAGTGGAAGATGTAATGAAAAAACATGGGGTCCCTATCAAAAAAGAACTCGTTGCTTTGAACGTTGTAGTCATCACAGAGCGTCAGACGCTTGACCGGATCGTTGCAGAGGGCAAGGATTCCAATCCTGGTTTTTGGGTATCGCAGGACCAGATGCTTTGGGATGTGAAACACCTTTCCACCAACATTCAGGTTGACAATGTTTGATTGCCGTGGGTTTGGTGGGTCTTTCTCCTGAGTTTTCTTTCCCTTCTTTTTATCATCAGATGCGTCAAGGTTGTCCATTGATGTCCATGCTTTCACAGAGCTGTCCTGGGAAAAGGGGAATTCGCCCTCCTGCTCTTCAATGCTCTGTGAAAAACTCATTTCCCGTTTTATTGTCGCAAAAAGACTGGAGCGACGCTTTTTCAGCACTTTTAACCTGGGCTTCATGGACGCCATTGTGTAAGCTCCTTAGTGAGACCAACCAGCCAAAAAGAAACAAACAAAAAGTTTTGAGCAAAGTTCAGATCAAGTCAATGTAGTGTATTCCAAAAGATCTCCATTCATGTAGAAAGTTGCCCTGTAAAGAAATTCTTCATGGTTGAAATGAAGATGAAGAAAGAGCTACAGTGCTTTCTCTCTCGCTCAGTGTGCAAGAAGATCAACGACATGAGTTAGGGATTCAGCCTCTTTACTGATTCTCTAATCCTATTGCTGTCCTTTCAGTCCAAACGCAAGTTAAAAATACTGTTCACAAGGATTAGCGATGTGATTTAAGGCTTTGAGTTCTGCAAGAGAAGGCAAAGCAGAGAGAGTGGTGTGATGAAGGTCCACCATTTCTTACAGAGCTATGGACAACTTTTTACATGGATATAAAGCTCAAGTCATGGCAATCTAAATTTGGTTAAACTATTGTATAAACTTAGATGCTTTCCATACACTGTATACACATACACTTCAATATCCATTCAATATCAATATCCTTGAAATGATTTGTTTTCTTTAAATGCAAGACAGATTTTGTTTGAAGATCACTTCAAGACAAGTGAAGCCAAATTTTGATTATCTAGAACTAAATTGAGTAACAAAACCATGACTGATTTAGAAGAATAATGCTATAGCCTACAGTACAATTATTAGTACAGTAAGTAATCCTACATTAATCGTATTATGCAACAAAAATAGCAATCAATTTCTTACATTTACACCAAAATAATCAAAAAGATGCTAAACCTAAACCAAAGCTCTTTTAATTGTTATTCTAACTACGTACAGTCCACAATTTCACTCTTTGGTGTTTCACATATTACATTATAAAATTACTACCTAAGTTTTACATAGACCCACATCCCATGACTGGAGAATATGTATAAGTAATGCAAGAAAGAGAGATTAAAAATGGTTCAAAGCAAACGGAACAATCTGAGTAGAGGTATCATTTCACTAATTTAAAGTTGGTGAATAAGTAGTAAGGGCTGTGAGACAGTTGCCTAATGGTACGGCCCTGTTCTCCACCTATGAATGGTGTAAATGGTATTGGCCGTACGCCGGAAATGGTAGTTTTAATCTGAAATAAAAAAAATTCCATATAAAATATTTATTTAGTATTTTCATTGCTTTTTTCGTTCTCTTTTTCAAAATTCTGTTTTACTTTAATGAAATAAAAAACTGTTTTCAAATAAAATAATAAGAAAAAGACCTGCGATATATCCCAGCCGTGCACCACGTGACTTCCTTTCCGGTCTAACCTGACAACATGGACGCCAGCCGCGTGCAGCCGATCAAGCTCGCAAGAGTAAGAAAATATACTTATACGTGAAAATGGCCCTTTCTTGGCGAACAGACAGCTACGCTAACTAATAATGACACACATGGACCTTGAAAATTAAAGTTATATGTTCTTAAATGTCCAGATTAACAAACGGCTCGCAAGCTCTCGAGCGCCCATCATGGAGGACCGTCCATGTTAGCTGTTAGCATCATTACTCTGCCACATTGTCCTGGTCCTTTTATCGTCGTGTAACGAATATAATGCCTGTTTTGGAACTTGTTACCGCAAGTAAAATAATGAATGTGTTGTTTTTAGGTCACCAGAGTACTCGGAAGAACTGGTTCCCAGGGACAATGTACACAGGTATGTCAATGAAGCTAACCGTAAGTCTTACAGTCGGGGTGAAACGGAGCTCAATGAAGGGTTTACCTGAAATCAGGGTCTTTCATGGTGCTCAAAACCTACTCTATATGTCAGTCTTTCTTTATTTATATCGGGTCTTACTTCTCACATGTGTTGCGCCCGTAAATTTCATCTGGAAGATATGTTTCATTTTAATAAATGCTTATTTTCTATTTTGAGCAAACACCAGCTACAGAAGAAAAACTCACCTGATAGAAGACAGGCCCTCCATTAACTGTATGTCTACAAGGCTGAAAGCTCAAATCATAACAGGGGAATTTGACTCAGTTCTAGTCAAATATCTCAATGCACTTTATAAAAGTACTACCTCCTGTAACAAGAAACTCAATATTTTCTTGGTCATTTCAATGAACTGAGTCTTTATTTTGACTCATGACAATCTTTATTGATCAGCCAGACATTTCCTGGTGTCTACATGCTGTACAACTGACAAAATATGCTGTAAAAATATAGGATAACTTCAGGCTGGACAGGTGTAGAGTGACAATGACTACAGACATATGCAGTGAGTTTGGGAAAATCTGCTCTCCATAATTTAGGGGCTTTATCTAAATCCCTTCACTCCCATGACTGTTAAAGGGATATTCCTGCACAAAATTAATTTAGGGTCAAACACACCGTAACACTGAGTTAGACACCCCCTCGAGAGATGAATGTTGCCAACCACTTACTTCTCTAGTTATACCAAATTAAGTAAGACGGCACCATAGCGATACAAAATGGTCTGAGGAGCCATAAACAAACCTCAACCAAAACGCCGCTCTATAGCCACAAATAATGCTCAGAACAGCACCTAACTTCGTCAACAGTACAAATAGGGTCCCAGCCACAGCACTAGCTATTTGTTAGCGAGACCTCTGGCCAGTCCATTAAGGTCTGCTGCGGGGTGACACAGCTCAAGGAAGAACATTTATGATAATTTCTTCGTGGGACTGTAATCAGACCGAGACGCTAAGGCAGAAGAACTGCCACGTCTGTAGTGTAAAATTATTAATACGATGATCATTACTTCAAGGAAATGATCATGAATGTTCTTCCTTACTCACTCCACCCCTGTTTATATGTACTTTTCTTGTACTCATGGCATTTTGACTGTTCTTCTCGTAGGTCCGTGTTGAGTTCATGGATGACAGCAACCGGTCCATCATCAGGAACGTGAAGGGCCCAGTCAGAGAGGGAGATGTGCTGACACTTCTGGAGTCTGAAAGAGAAGCCAGGAGGCTGCGATAGGTAAGAGTGAGGAGTTAAAACCCAGCTGGGGTCAGTCCAGGTAGAAGCCGTAAAATGTTTTGAGTGTAAAAAATACTGTTCAAGCTCTTTAACCTTTTAGCAAACAGACTGAACTTGGATCAAATTTTTACATGCATTGATGATGAAAAAGGAGGTTGTATTTCTCTTTATCATTGGATAATCCCCTTTTAATGTTTACATACACCTATGCTTTGATTGTTGTCTTAGGCTTCAACAATACAGTGCAAGTTAATCTGGATCTTTTTTTTAATGCTGTTGGCAAAAACTAAGTTTCTCAGAGGCTGTCTGCAAATGTTCTCAGAAGTAGATTTTTCCATATCAACTCGAGCCTCTGTGTGATAGATAGAGCCTCTCTACTTCAGAGGGGCTCATATTTCGTAGTAAGTGTATTTCTGTCCTGCTCAAGCTCTCGGCCTTGATTGGGAAGATTGCCCACTTGTGATATAAACCCGACAAACATGTTGTGCTGAACCACTCTGACCCTACATTGGAATATCATCTGACAACGAAGCTCAAAGGGAAAGAAAAAACACCAAACATATTTGTATTAAATCTATTACTGTGTCATAGTGATGCATCTCAGAAGTCAAGGTCCATTCAGTAACTTCAAAATAAAACCAAATATCTCTGAATCCAAGTGGAATTCAGTGAAAGTTGGACTTGCTAGTGAAACTTTGTTGATGCCGTGGCCAAGCGCATCTGGTCTTCAAGGCTGCTTTTGGCTTTCATGTTTGTATTTAATCCTGGGATGCCAGAGTGGTGCACTGAAAGACAGGTTTGACATACCCATGGTTTTTTGCATGGACTGTCAGCATTAGAAAGAAGAGGTGTCAAGCTAATGCCTGCAGACTGCTATTCCAGGCCGTTTTTTCAGAGTCTGCACTTCAGTATAATAGGAGGGCTTTTGACACATCATTTGATGTTTCCTCCTGAAAATTGGAGCCATCCACCTACCTCAGCCAGGTTGTCATAATGACAGCAGTACAATGAAAATTGGCTCCAACAAAAATCAACACCACTGCTATGAACGAGACAAGAAAGGAATGACATACTCTAGAAAGTAATGCAAGTCCTTAAGTTAAATACTTGGAAAATAACTCGGTGCATTGTTGTCTCATTTTCTAAAGTAAAAACATATTATTGTAAAGAAATTAAAAAAAAAAAAAAAAAAACTCAACATCAAAACTAAGAGCTGCATTTTGGAGTGACTCCGCCAGATGATGAAGGATACCTAAAAATCGCGAATATTTTAGACTTGATGTTAGGCCAGTGAGCCATTTTGGAGTCAGCCCTGAGATCACTTTTAAATTATGCCTTGTCTTACAATCTAGTTTTTGGAGATGGTAGACCATCTGAATAACCAGAACAGTCTCTGCTGTTATCTAGTCTCTAACATCACAATCTGTAAAGAGATTGAATGAACAAATACTTCACCTCTGTTTCTCCATATTGTCCTCCACAGTGTGAATAAAATCAGAACATCTTCACAGTTTACCCTGAATCACGTTGTGTTGTTGTGAACTGACTCTTGTCCTCTCTCCACAGTGAGGAGCAGTTCCAACATGGTGAAGAGGAAGATGGCAACATTGGATTGGACTGTCCAAAAACTCACTTCTGCAGATGTTTTCAAATAAATTTGGATGTTAAGATGAGAGTGGATGTCCTGTTTTTTTTTTTTTTTGTCAGTTAAATGTAGAAAAATTCACATGAAATCATTTACATTTCCTGAGGCTGCAGCAGTGAGCAGATCTGAGTCCGAGTTAACTGTTCTCTGCACAATGTATGTACAGTGGAAACTAAAAGTCTTCTGACCCCCAATTGTTAATTTGCAGCAATTTGCTTAAATCACTTGAGTTGAATTTTATTTCCTCATCAACATACACAAAGCAGTCCATTTTGACAGAAAATCTCAATTGTAGAAATATCTGCAAATCTATGAAGAACAAGAACTGATATCAGATATAACTGATATCACATGGTCACAAGTTTTCAGACCCTTTGCTGAGTATTGAGTAAAAGCTCCCTTTGAGTAATACAGCCAAGAGTGTTGGGAATGATGCAACAAGGTTTTTACATCTGGGTTTGAGGATCCTCTGCTGTTCCTCCTTGCAGATCCTCTCGAGTTCTGTTGGATTGGGTGATGTGTTGATGGGCTGCAGTGATTGTTGACTTTCTAGAACTTTCTGACATCTCTTCACTGCATCTCTGGAGCTCATCCACAGTGGTCTTTGGGTTCTTCTTTACCTTTCTCCTCCTGTTGCTCAGGCTAAATCTGTACGCTGCAATTCTGTCTCTGAGCTCGTCAGGCAATTCCTTCAACCCCATGTTTCTCCTTTGCTCTGACATACTGTGAGCTGTAAAGTATTATATAGACAGGTGTGTCCAATCAATTTAAATTAATTGAACACAGCTGGACTACAGTTGAGGTGTAGAACGTCTCAAGGATGATGAGAAGAAATGGACAGCACCTGAGGTACAAACACATGCGTCACAGCAAAGGCTCTGAATACTTATGGCCATGTGATATTTCAGTTTTTCTTTTTGAATACATTTGCAAAAATGTCCATAATTCTGTGTTTTTTATATTACATTTGCACTGAGATGACTGATGGAAAATATTGATCTTTTTCATGATATTCCAGTCTTTGGAGGCCAATAGCACTTGAATCCAGAGTAATATGAAGAACCTAATTTTAAAAATAGACTTCATCATGAACTTGATCTATTAATATTCAAAGAGGCTTCTCAGCATAAACACTGTAACTGGAGTCGTCCAACTTCACAGGGTCAAGTGAAAAGGAGCCTGTGTTTACTGACTGCAAGGTTTCCTGTTGTTTCTTAGGAGCAGTTCCTATTTTCATACACTGTGATGTTATATTTTCAGAGCATGTTCAGAGCAAATGTAACAGACATGTTAGTTTCAAGTTTAATTTATTCAATGCGTTTATTTCAGTCAGTACAGTGTACTGCATATATAGTACAGTCTCTGTTTAACAGTCTAAGTTAGGTTCACACTCTGCCCATTAGGGGGCAGCATCCCTCTTGGTTGATTTTCAAGAAGTGACTAATGTGAATGAGTTATTCCTGCTTCTCCTCTCTTGAACTTCTAAAAAGATGAACTCAGAGCCTCTTTTCATTTAAAGCAGTGATTTTTATTTACCAACGACAAAACTAACAGAAACCAAACCTTAGTCCAAGAGGTCAGAACAGAATATTAACAAAAGGTCTTGCTTAACACAAGAACAGCTGTACGATTTTTGTCTCCAAGTCAGCAAATAAAAACATAGCTAAACAGCAGCTCCTCCCTTTGAGGGTTTTATATTTTAATACGGATCTTCAATTCTTTTTGAACTCTGATATCATTGCCAGGATCACTTAAGTATTCAATATATCTGGTCTTCCTCTGAATAAATTCACATGTGAGGGCTATCAAAGTAAATCCAAACAGGCTGCATTTCTTAATTCTTTAGAAATTTTCCCACCCTTGCTCACAGCTTGAGTTTGGGCTGAAACCACTTTTCTGTTGGCCGCACAAATTTATGGCCCCCGCATCAAAGGTTGCGACTGAATCCATGTTAATACTAAAGGAAGGAGTCTGATTCTCCCGCATGAAGATGTGGATTTTTATTTGAGGTGTTAAATTGTGACTAAACCCAGTGAAACACATTTTATAAGACTCATATGTTGTCAATTTTGAGGTAACATTTCAGCTCCCTCCCAGATTTTGACTCTTTCACATTTCCAAGGAATTTCAAAATGCTTTCAAATGAAAGCCTCTTTCAGAGTGTTTCAAACAAATACCTAAAAAGTGGCATATTTATGATAAATAATCAGTAAAAATCAAACATGTATAGCAATTCTGTCATAATATGTGTATATTTAAACATTTGTGTTGATAGTGTTGTTTTTGGACATGGAGGTCTTTGGCTGAATTCCAGCTTGAGGTTCATGAGGGGTCTCAGAGGTTAGACAGGAAAGCATGTCAGTTTGAGTGATGTGTTGTTGCGGTCCTCTTCAAACTGAATGTTTACTTTGGGTATACATTGACCTACATTAAAAAGAGATATGTATTGACCTACTTGTGGATAAGGTTTATTTGTTTTAATCATAAAATCAATATTGTATACAATCAGTGCCTCTTCCACACAGCCGACCCTGCTGTACTATGCTGTGCTGATGTTTGTATAATGTTCAGTCTCCTGAATGAAGCAGTAAAAAATCCAGCCCTCTGTAAGGACTTTTTTACCAATTATGAAACAGACTAAAACATACAGTGATTCCTTTAATGGCCTACAAAAACAAATACAACATAATTGACCTTAAATATGTCAAAACAAGTGTTCCTTACTCCTTGTATATTTTAGGTCCTAGTGATGGCTGATCTCTTTGCTAATCCTGCCTTGCACATACATATGTAGAGTTTTTTGTTGTTTTTTGTTTGTTTCGCAGCTCTGCCCATGTTGGGGTCAGGTGTACAAGATGCATAAGTAAAATTCAGTCAACCAGATAGTAGTTGAGAGTGTTTATGTAAAGGCATTAACTTCCTGTTGTCAGTAGGTGATGCTTTGAAAGTGTTGGAGCTGAGATTCCTCATCAGCACGGGGAATATTGTGCAGATTTGTTGATGTATTCCTGAGGTAGAGCAGTCTGAAATTTTATGGTGAGACATCAGGTCAAAGTTGAACTTTGAAGCATCACACTGACCACACCCTCTAGTGAAAATATATATATATTTTTGGCACATATCATGGTCGACATCTGAGGGGTGTCTTAAACAAAAGAATGATGTGAAAATATTCAACAGTCCTGAAGGTTCAGCTCATAAATTGACAGCATAACATGCACTGCCTATTGTAGGTGCTATAACGAAGATTAAATGTGATCGCATGAATTTGGTCAGGTCTTGACCTCTATTATCTGGCATGAGTATTGTTGAGATTAGAGCATGCATGGCCAAGAAAAAAAGCAACTTCCTGTGT